TTCTTCCGTACGTATGACGTAAAGCAAAAACACGGACGAAATATTTGCGGTGGAATTTTAAATCACAGTTTTAAGCGTTATTGAAATAACAATTAAATGAGTAATATCGCGCATATTGCATCGTTGTGTTATCATGCATGTTACCGTAAGCATAATAAAGTAAAGTGTAGTAAAGTAACAGCCTATACATGTCCCACTGCTGGGCAAAGGTCTCATTTATACAGAATTGTTTATAATTGTTGTTTTGTATTAGGGCATAGTCCACCATGCGACCCCACTGCGGATTGGCGGACTTCACATGTCTTCGAAATATTTTTTTTGTTATTACTTCAAAAATATGCAGGTTTCCTCACAATGTTTACCTTCATCGCTGAGCACGCCATAAGTCAACACTTAAAATCAACAATTTCATTGGTGCCGGCACCGGGGATCGAACTCAGGTTGCTCGAATATATTTAATTGAAGGCGACCGCCCGGACACTGAGCTATCACAGCTACAAGCATAATAAATAGTCACTTAAAGTAATATTTTAATGACATACTGTGCACCTACAGGGAATTCATAACTATAAAAGGCATAGTCGACCACGCGGCCACATTGCGGATAGGTGGACTTAACATATCTTCGAAATATTTTTATTATTATTTCAAAAACATGCACGTTTCCTCACGATGTTTTCCTTCACAGCTGAGCGCGTGATGAGTCAGCACTTAAAATTATCAATTCTATTGGTACCTGCATCGAGGATTGAACTCAGGCTCGACAAGGCACGCTACTAGCCGCGAATGGAATAATAAAATTTGCGAAACTAATTTGTTTACTATCTCTGCTTACCCCCGTTAGGGCTTAAAAGACAGACTTTTTTACTTCATGTAATCACTGTACATAAGTATGAATTACTTTATCGATGACCTACACTAAATTTGTTTCACTTCTTCCAGACTATCGGTACTCTTACGTCCGTAGGTACGCAGAAACCTCAATTATTCTTAGCTGGTATTAACCTCTTCCATTTGCGAAGCTCCGTCTGGAACACGTGTTGAGGCGACTGCTCGAAAAGTTGAACTTAAGACGTTTACTAACTGACTTTAAGTACAGCTCTGGCCGTTATATAGCAGTTTGGACGGGCCGTATGCGCGTAGATACTATTTTATAATATAATAATTTCAATTAAAACCCCAGACCAATCGTAACAATTATTAATAAGACCAAAGAATTTTGATTGTTTGACTTAAATGTGAGTTCGTATATTGTAAAAGAGCCGAAAAGGCTATTTTCAGTTAAAGAAGGAATAAAGAAAAAATATTATTTTGCAAGTACTAATAAAAATAACGAAATAAAAATCACCGTATAATAAATAAAATTAAAACATATAAGTTATTGGAATGGTTCCACACAGGTCAGAATGGTAGCACCCAACTTGACAAATCACTCTTTCGTTGAAACGTATCCCTATAGTTTATTATTTTATATCAATTAATATATAAAATGTTCATAAAATATAAAACGTATTTTATGATAGTATGTACGTGAAATATGGATAGTGAACCTGTTTGTAAAGCCAGGGTTCGATCTCTGCTACTGGAATATTGTGTAATGAATTTGGTGTTCTTCCAATGCGTTGTCTGGGTATTTCTTATTATATATAATATATATTTATATATCTTTAAAAGTATTTATTTTTAATTATTATTGATAAAAAGGTTGACTTGGTTGGCGGATATAAATTGTGAACACTTATCACTATAGTATAAAGCAAAGTCGTCCCGCTGTCTGTCTGTCCTTATGTATGCTTAGATCTTTGAAACTGCGCAACGGATCTTGATGCGGGTTTTTTTACTAGCTAGAATGATTCAAGAGGAAGGTTTATATGTATAATACATTACACCGGCGCGGAGCCGAGGCGGGTCGCTAGTCTAATGATAAAAGCCTAACTAAAGGCCCATTTACACGATGCCATTTTCTTGTACATGCAAGAGCAATAATTGAATGCAATAAATTGCGCGCAATAATTGGTTAGACCATTTATTGTTTAGACCATGCAACTTATTTATTGCTTCAATTTAATTGTATACAACAGGCAAGAAACTGGCACCGTGTAAATGGGCCTTAAGGCGCAGTGTTGACTATAAAAACAATTAAATATTTCTTGAATACCTCCATAAAAGAATCACCAACGGCGAAGAAAGATTTCTAATCCAAATATGAAAACCAAATATGTGCTTTAAATAATTAAGTAAGTTCAGAGGTCGCATTTAATTAATATCTTTCAGCACCCATACAAATCACCCCACCTCAGACAGATAAAATTACAGATTTTTGGCGTAATACTTTCCAATAGTCTTTTTTTTTCATTACTTTTCAAATATTAAACTTTGTTGAGTTTTTTTGACTATGTACACGAAGAAAAAATACGTGTACCTAAGTTTTTCATTGAGAAGAATATTAGTTTAAAATAAATTTTGATCCAAATATAAAGTAGACTGTTAATCGCTTAAGCATTTTACAAAATTAAACAAAATGTAATAATAAAATAGTGTTTAAATTTTTAAGCGTCTAATGTCTACGTTATTCCGGCGTCATTAATCGTTCGTCAATACTTATATAGTTTGAATAAATTCAAAAAAAGTATATCAAGTGATCAATTTTAAATCTTTTCTATCTTTTCAATTTTTTATAGTGTATTCCCGGTGTTTTATTTGTTCAGTTGTTTTATATTTCATAGTTAAAATAACTTCTAAAACTATTCAAATAAAAAAAATCAAAAGATGAGTTAATATAAGGTGTCAAATGTTCAGCAAAAGGGCAGTCATAACATGTCATGGAGGTCAAGGGATACAGAAATATACCTCACCCCTTCTTGTACTCGCAGCACTGAAAAGATAGAAAGGGATGGAAAATAGGGAGCGGCCTCCACTTCAAACGCGTAATATTCAATTTATTCCAAGGGTCGCAAAACTCTTCCCGCGCTTGCGCGAATCAATAATCTACCACGTACTATGGAATCAAAAAATTCACTATCAAAGAAGGTGACAGATTTCCATTGCGGTCTATATTGGTACAATCCAACGGATCTTGGTTGCGAGACGGTCAATGGAAATTGATGTGACGAAATCTACAATGGTTAATGTATTGTTTGGAGCGCCTCTAATAAAGGCTCGCGTCTGCGCCCTTCATCCCTGGACCAATTCCTGTGCAAGTGTAACATAAAACTGTTGTAAAGTGTTGTGTTTTGTGTTAAAAATATATTAAAAAACAAATGTGAGTACCTAAACTCTTTGAAATTTCTTCATTAATTAAATCTCAAGCTATTCATACATATTTCTAAACTATAAACATAATTATATGGAAACTTATATTTTATACTATACTTAATTACTTAACATTCCTTTAGTTTATCAAATATATTCTTGAATGATTTCTTTTCTGCCTCTACGAACGAAATTGAATGATTATTTCGCAAAAGTTTATTTATGTTTTTTAATATTTCGGACAACGCAAAAAATGGTCAAAAAATACTCGTAAAATTTGTAATTATTATTAAATAGTGTAACTTTGTAATTATATAAACCAACAAAAACTGTCCATAGGTGTCATTGGTCAAGTAATAATATCATGATAATTATACGCGTCTCTATCAACAACGGAAGCCGTTACTCGCTGAACCGACGATATTGTGCAAATGCAAAGCAACTGAACAATAATTAAAAGTTAAATAAAGTTTCCTTTATTTATTTATTTGAATGACTATTAAACATTTGTCCGAATTGGACAAAGCATAACTTAGCAGCATAGGTATTCGAATAAGTCACTTTCACTTTTAACGAACAGTATATTATTGCCACTTCTCATGGTGGTCTACTCATCAAGCTCTGTTTACTCGAGGTCATGAACGCTGCCTTACAAGGCTAATTCTTATTCTTGTGTTTACTCTTATAAACACAGTCTTCAGGAATTGTCATAATGGGACCCATGGGATGGCTGTTCAGATCCCGGAAACCTTCGCAAGTTTTTTTGCACCGAGTGGGTATTAGTGGATAAAAATTTCGCTTCATTCTATCCCCCCCCATCTTTTGAAGAGCCATGAGTGACGATACTGGTGCAAATATACGAACTTTTATATACATGAAATATCCTTTTATATCGTATGGACAATAAGGCCGGAGCAATAGTCGAGGGCTCATAGAAGATCGATGTACAGTAGAAGTATTTATTCTTTAGCGTTTGAAACACTTTTTATCATAAAAAAACATATTGGATAGTTGGTTAATGAGAATTTAATTCCAGAAATTGTATTATAACAAGGTTTTGCTTGAATTGCAACATAAATCGCCATCACGGTTCTGCGGCAGTCAACTGTAGGAATATAGGAATCTTCTGAGGCACGCCACACAGCTAGATCTTCAGCTATGCACGGCCATCTACCAACAGCAGCTGGCACAGACTGAACAATGATTCTGTGGTACGGCAACAGCTTCGGCTGTTGCACGAATGCGTAGGTCGGCCCGGGTAATGACCACGACCTCACAGAAGAGCGGCTTGAACTGGAAGTGTCATTCGCGTTTCGTCTGTCGACTGAGTTAGCCGGGGCGCGATTTAAAGGTGGCAACGCATCTGCTACCGGGTGTTGCAAATGTCCACGGGTGGCAGTCATCATATCAGGTGAGCCGCCAGCTCGATTGCTTACGGCGGCTCTGCTTTAACGGTGGTAGGGCCACGCAGCAGCGTCGGCTGTTGCACGAATGGGCAGACTCGTCCGGGTAAGTACCACGACCTCATAGAGGACCGGCGTAAAGTGGAAGTATAACACTTTCGCGTTTCGTCTGGTGAGCGAGGTGGCCGGAGCCCAATTTTCCAAAGGTTGTCAACGCATCCGCAACCCTTGGGTGTAGCAGATGTCCATGGTTAGCGGTATTCACTTAACATCAGGTGGACCGTCTCGCTTGGCAACTTTTCACATTAAAAAAAATTGCCACCTTAAAAAAAATTCGCTCGTAGGATGTCTTGCGGCTCTGAGTGCCTGTCGCTGGGTCCACCGCCGGACTCCATAGCGAGGATGCCCCCTCCCCCGCTGCCGGCGTTCCTATCGAACGTGGCGAACCTCACGCCGCCCTGCAAGGCCGCCAAGTGCCCGCCGCAGCAGAGCAACGAGGTCAACGCCCTGTTCCCCGGTGTCGAGTACCACGAGCTGCCACGCCACGGTGCGTTGGGGTTTTTGTCGGCTCTTGCACGATCGCACCGGTTCGCCCGGAGAAGTACCACAGACTTGCAGAAGAATTTCAATTTACCTTTTATTTCTTTCTTATTCGAAATAGTTTAATTTAATCAACTATAGAAGTTACTATCTATCAAGCTACTTCTTTGATTGAGTTTTAAAAAAATTATAAGAGTAAAATTTTGACGATGCGTGCGGACTTACGTTTGCCAATGGTTCCAAGTTAAATAAATAAACCGTTATCAATTCCATTTAATTTCTTTACGCTTAAAAAGTATAACTTCTTACGTGCGTACATAAGTACACAAATATTTTATTTTTATTTTAAACGTTGTCAAATCAGTGTTTTAAACTGTAATCATTAAATCTCATTTTTATCAACAATTACTTATTATGCATGATGTGGTTACCTATAATTGTAAGACCAGTTAGAATCTAACACCTATCAATTTAGACTATAGCAACCGTAAATTGCGTTGGTAATCCAACAAATCAATAAGTAAATAAATAAATGACAAAAATGAAAAAAAAAACACTTACGTTTTGTCAAGTGTATGAGATAACAGGAACACAGACTCTCAAAACCTGGCAACACAAGTGCATAACACGAGTTGAGCATCATGTGGAACGCCTCTTTCGCAATGTAGAATAAATCGAATGACTGAAGTTTTTACTAACTGCCTGAAGGGAAAGCGTTTAGTATTAGTTTAAACATGTCTGCCACGGAATCGTAGTAGATGACTTTTTGGCAATCCTAAACAGAGTAGGATTGTAACACAGTCTTTGCTGGATTCGAACCAGCTCGAATCAAGACAGTTGGGTAAATTTTGAGCCATCATATTTTGATGGATGGGCTTACTTATCCACAGACCTCAGAAAAAAGCAAAGGTATCCACCAACTGATTACACAAGAGAGCGAACAAATATATGTGTAGATAAGATAAGATTTGTAGAAAAAAAGGACGAAAACTTTCCCGCCGTTGCGGGAATCGAACCCACGTTTTCCGGATTCGCGCCCAGACGCTTTAACCTTTTACCTTATTGGCTCTAGAGAGATTAGCGCTAAAAAAATTAAAATCATATATAGGTTTTTATTTCCATGTTATCTTTTCGCAGAGCCGGCCGGTTACGATGACACGTGGTTCTTGGTGGTCATCACCTGCTGCATAGCCGTTCTCTGCATAGCGGCTCTACTGACCCTATTCCTTCTTAAGTGCAGAGAGTAAGCTCTCAAAATACTTATAATTGTAAAGTAACAGCGTATACATGTCCCACTGCTGGGCAAAGGCCTCCTCTATACAAAAGGTAACAGGGCATAGTCCACTACGCGGCCCCACTGCGAATTGGCGGACTCCACATGTCTTCGAATTTTTTTTTTATTATTTCGAAGATACTTCAGCGCTGAGCATGCGACAATGACACTTAAAAACAACAACTTCACCGCTGCTGGCACCGGGATTTGAGCTTAGATTGCTCGGGTACAAAGATCGGCTCGGTTCATCTCAAGTGGGAAATTGAAATGAATCACCATAACGATAAAGCACGCGGCAGGCCGCTTTCGAATATAAGTCCACGGAGTGACCGTTTCCGGCGCTCGTAGGGGGCGCGGCGGCTGCAAGGGGGGCGCGGGCAAGGCGGGCCCGCACGCGCTGTACGGCGCGGCGCTGGACTCGCGCGTGCTGTGGGCGGCGCTCACGCCGCGCGGCACGCGCCACTTCGTCGCCGAGGCGTACCCCGACGAGCCCGACGACCACCACTACGAGTGCGTGGAGCCCCTCTACAAGGCGCCCGAGGGGCTCGCGAGGGGCTGCGCCGACTACGAGGAGCCCTCCCTCATAGAGAGCTACGCCGAGGACTACTTCCGGGGCGCCGAGACGCTGCGCCGCGGCCGCCCGCTCGTGTCCTCGCCCACGCGCATCGAGCGCCCCAACCTGCCGCCGCTGAACCTGCAGCCGCGCACCCTGCGCCGCCCCGCGCACTCGCGCCGCGTGAGCGACGCCAACGGCGCCGAGAAGACCAACATCTGAAGCGAGGGCGGCGCGGTCTTCTCCGTGGCGGAGTCGGCCGACGACCGCCTCGTCTGAGCGCCGCGCCCGAGCGACACGACTTCGCGGATAGTGCTCGTTTCGAACACGACGTTTTGATCTTAACTTGTGAACGTAATTGCATCCGCTCGCTATAATTCTTTTTTATAAACACAATTTTGAACAACGATCAAAACGTCGAGTTCTGAGTTAGAATTTATCGCGATGAAATCAGTAAACTAATCTCATTGAAATTTTTAACAGTATCGAGGTAGGTAGATATAATTCGAGTAATTATTTTAAATGTAGTTCGAGTTGCTTCAATTGTCAGCCAGTTGTGTATTTTACTCTCTGAATACTATTTTAAAGCACTAGATATTTGGATACTTTAGACGTATGTGTGAAAGATGAAGTGCAGTGCTAACACTTCTACAACGGCTTAAACAGTTAAGATCATTTCACATTCATTATTATCTATACATATTTTTTATTAAATGTAATATAAGATATAATAATAGATTTTACAATGTTTTCAGAGATTTGGTTAAACACGGAAAGAAGCCGACAAAGTTTCAAATTTACAGCGGTGTGTTTATTTGCAGGCCACAATGTAGTATTTTCTAACTTTTGTGGACAGGTGGGTTAAGTTTCACATTGTGACCTTCTTCTGACTGACCGAAATACAACGAAACAGAGCAATGGGAGAATTGTGGAGACTTACAATCGTTCGTTTTCGTTCGACATGAACGACAACACTACACGGACAGACACACATGAGACATCCACGGATTTGAGATTTAAAATTATACGATGTTATTCAAATTTGTACGGTCTTAAAAAATATGAACAAAAGATTTTTTCTACCGCTGCGGGAATCGAACCCACGTACTCCGGGTTCACGTCCAGGGTCTTTAACCACTAAGCTAAACGGCTGATTGCCGAACCGATGAAAATCTCAATGTATTTTATCACTATTTTTTTTTGCATTCTAAGCAATGCTTGGCGCATCACCATCAATCAATTCCAAATATCTATATACAACGACAATATAAGGTCTTATTACTGGCCATTGTCGAAACCATATCAATGTGAGTTGAGCAGTTTGTATTTTTGATTGAGAGTAGTGTTGTGAGTTGTGAGTGAGTGAGTGAATTAATTAGGTATAATAAATAATAATATAATGTAATCGAGTGTAATATATGGTAATCCTAAAGTACGTATAGTATAGGTATATAAGTGATTTAAATGTAAATATAAACACAGAAAGTGCTCCACGATCTGCAAACAAATTAGATATTTTTTTTTTCATATTATTATAATGTATCATTTTGTATTTATTGTGTAATTATCTAATACTAGCAGCTACCCGTAACTACGTCTGCGTAGAATAGACTGAAGGTGTATCATTAAGACATAAATACAGATATACATGAAATATGTATATAAATTATAGCCTATGTCTTATTCTGATGTATAAGCTATATTATTGTAAAGTTTCATTAAAATCCATTCAGTAGTATTTGCGTGAAAGAGTAACAAACATCCAACCATACATACCTACAAACTTTCGCCTTTATAATATTAATAAGGATATATTAGTAAGGATTTACAAGATTAAATCTATCTAAAATTATACATGGCATGGTGCCAAGAACGCTAGCTGCATTTCCTCGCTGAATAGTTAAGTAACCTTTGAACGAGAAAAGATCCAGCTCTCTTGTCACTAGCCGCGCCGTTAAACCTAAACTTTTAAAAAGTTTTGATGTGCGGGGACCCCACCGACCTAACAGAAAATGGCACAAATACATAATCTAAACATAGAGACTCATATTTGCGCCATTTACTTACTTCCGCTGCCTCCGATGCCGCCCAGGCCCTGACCGAAGTACAGCCAAAGTGTTTACACAAGTAGCGTCCCAAATAAGGGTTTTGCCTCTCTCCCAAGGGATCGAAGTTAAACCGTCGGGTCTCTTACCATCGTCGCGAAAAATGCCACAGGGCTCCAAAATAGATGGAACATTGATGGAAACAAGAGCCCTACGGATGATGTCGTTCAGAGAACCATGGCGGGAAAAGCGGCCAGCACTTTTTGGAGAATAAAGTTCGTGGAGACAAAATTAGTCTACACTGACACCACAAGGGCGTTGTTGACAAATTGGTGTGGTTGACAAATCGGTGCCCCCAGACGGATTCCTACAGCAATGGGTGAGTTTTCTTCGTCAAGTAATGTGCCCAAGTTACTTGATGTTAAAGCGTGAAGCCGATAACTCGATTCTTTAGATGAGACGCCTAGGATATAGGTGAACCCTAAATTACTTTCTAAAGATTGAAATGTATCTTTCTGTACTCTCCGCACAAAAGGAACATCCCACTGTTTTTGTAGGTTCTTCCAGTAGGATATTTTCGTTGAAACAGATAGACAGCCAAGACATCCTTGCCTCCTCGGCACAGGAAAGGTCTGAATTTTGATTATGGATATTATTAAATGAATTATTTACGCTATGCAAGGGAGCAAAGAAGGCAGGTAGAGCGACGCTAGAAATTTTCCTTCATACCACCAAAACGAATTGGCAGCGTAGCTTGAGTCGAACTTAATTCATTAAAAGAAAAGATAAATTTAGAATTTTTTCTAGAGCTGATTTAAGATGAAAATTTTTCGTTCAACTTTTCACTTTCGTTCAAAAAGTCACCCCATTTCAAAACTGGACTCTAGCGAAGGAGGTACGTAAATTTAGGTACAAGAATACAATGACGTAGTAAGCGCAATATGCGAATTTAGTAAAAACAATTTGTTAACATGATCTAAAAATAGATTTTCCTTTAATTTTAAAACAGTTTCCAAACTTGGTATTAACAAAGGAGCACCTAAGAGGTACTCAGGTAAAGTTAATCTGAACGGACTACTTTAATTCTGGTGGTATGATAGAGCTAAAATTTTGGGTCAATATAATTTTGTGGTGTTATAAGAAAACATAATATTTAAAGGTTAAGATATTTTTTTCTAGTGTGTAGCTGTACTTTATCACACTCTAGTCACAAACTTATTTATTAAGGCTGTTGGTGGCAATTATATATAAAAATATATTAATGTCTATTCTTGACCGTAATTAATATTCTGTAATATGTGTATTTAATATTAATTTGAAACATTTTCGTACTAACGTGCAAAATTTTGTATTCTAATTATAATAAATCATGCATTCTTAATAAACAAACTTGTAAAAAAATTTTGTACTTACACTAATCTAATAAATTGATACACTATGAGGAAATTTTTTTTATTTTTGGAACGAAGTTCCTTACGGCAGGCTTGGTTATTTAATGAAAAAAAAAAGGTCAGTGTACGTTTTTTTCTTAAATCTTTAATATTTTTATTGAATCATTAAGGTAAATATACATTTTAACCCGTAGCCACGCAACGGTCCGGGTAATAACCACGACCTCACAAAAGACCGGCGTGACGTGAAAGTGTTAGACTTCTGCATTTCGTCTGGTGAGTAAGGTAACCGAGGCCTACTTTATTATAAGATGGCCACGCATCTGCAACCCTACGAGTGTTGCACATGTAAATAACATGGCGGCTATCACTTAAACCAGCTTCTTACCACAATCTCACATAAAAAAATAAAAAAAAATTAAATAACACATAACGCTACATTATTTGTACAGGTCCGTTTTATATATGACACTTGAAATGCTGAATTGTATTTTGTGTTAAACAATGTGTTAAAAGACACATGCGTTTTGAAGAAACGAAAACAAATAAAGTTGTCGTTTTTATCTGTTTCTATTATTCAATATAATATGTATGGCTATTTAAACATTATATTTATGTCGAGACATCATCAAGCATATCCACCACGGCTTTCAATATAAGATAATTCATACTATCCACATATGGTCACAGTTTGGCGAATACGAAACTATGTACAAAGTACTATTGGGGTAAAACCAGTGACCGGTCGAAATTATAAATTCAACCACCTTCTTTTAAAAAACAACACAGTTTTCAAACTTACAATAATTACTGTAGATTTACTGTAATTTTGAATATTTTTTTTTAACTGTATTTTGTAATATACAGTCTAGGGATCTACTGTAATAAAAATCAATCCGTGAAACAAAACCTATCAAAATGAACTGCATTACTAGCTGGGAGAAAAATGCCTGATGAATCAGTTGTTCTCCAAATTGAGTAGAATTCACTAATTTATACTACATAAACTAACAGAAACTCGTCTCTGTCACATAAAGGAAAAATACAGTAGATATTTATTTTTTAATCGTTCATTCTAATTGTTTGTTTATTCGGTTAAATTTTTGATAATTTTTTCATTAGCGCCGTGTGTTTTTCGACCTTACAAAAGTTTTTATTCGGTAGAGAAAATCACTAACGAAATAATCTACAAGCAGGATTCTCTGGTCACTTATAGTTTTTGAGAAAAAAATCTTTCTTCTTTCTTTATTTTTTTAAAAACATTGCCATTACTTTAGGATAAATAACAAGTTTAAATATTGTTTTTCTCGAAAACTATAAGCGAACGGAGAATTCAGCTTATTTTTAAGGTCATCAAACATAATTGTATCGAAAATACAGATTGTTTTTATTTTAATATATAATCAAATAATCTCTAATGACACTCACTGTAATTGTCAATGTATCAAAATTTTGAAAATACTGTACGACTATTTCCGAATATACTTTCTTTTTAACTGGCAGCACTGTAATTCTTTTTTTTGCGGTCTGGAAGCACTGGTTGGTCGTCTTGTCAATCTTGTCATAACTCTTAAAATTGTCACTTTTGACAATTCTGTTAGAAAGCGCGACTTTTCGTGTTACTGTGTACTTTGATTTAGTTATATTTGCAATAATTAAGGACCGCCAACTGCATTAGAAGAAGAATATTTTGAAATAATTAATTGACAAGACAATAGAATTTATAGTATGCAATTATACCTGTAGGAAATAACTAATAAAAATGACGGACGAAGTGATAAAACACTCTGTACACACGCTTGTGTTTAGATCGTTAAAAAGATCTCATGATATGTTTCTGGCTAACCAAGGCTTGCTACCGCCAATCGATGAAAAAGCGTTAGTAAAATTTGTAAATGGATTTCAATTCAAATTCTATTTAAATGTACAGTCAAAGCTTTAATTCGAATCTTCATAAAAATTGTCGCTGATTGTGAAGTATTTATACCCGCACAGCGACGACTAATGAACACATTTGTTATTTTAATTTCACATTTCATTTTTATTTTAATTATTACGAAAATGTATTACGCAAATAAAAATGATTATTGCTTTCTTTAGGGAAAGAATTTTAAAAGGTGTTAAATCGCGTGATAGTTACGGGCTAGTGATGTCTGCAGTGGAAAAATCACAGGCAATAAAGCAACATGAAGCACAAAGCCGCCCAGAGACACCTCACGATACAGGTACCCATTATTGTAATGCTAGACTTTTGGTACTTTGTCTTCTGAAGATAAAACCATAGATGAAGTTAAATTCCTCAGGTAGTGCCAATGTCCACAGGGAGAGATTTCTTGCCATTAAATGAATTGTTTTGTTTTTTGCTATGTCCTCAGTAAAGAACTCGTTAAAGGCTTATTAATAATAAGAGTCCAATTATCAAACAAAATATGCGGTTGGTCTATATACAAAATATTTTATTTTTTCCCATTTAAGAAGTCTGAAAAAATTAAATTGATTTTCTTGGTGGGATCATCCGTCACTAGTGACATAGTTAATGTGAATTGCTAATATACTACATACTCTTTGGTGAAGAAAAAACCTTAGAGTGTGTAGATTATATCTAAGAAATAATTTATACATATATAATAATGGTATGTGAAGTTATGGAAAAATGTCAAATTCAAATATCTTTAATCAACATAGGAGCATTACTCTCACTTATTGATTGTCAAAATGCTGCCACCGGTACAGAAAAGAAAGCTACTGTACTGAGAAGAACCGGCAAAAAAAACTCAGCAAAAGAATATTACATATCCCAGCCAACAACAACTATACAGTTTCAACTCATTCAACTCAACCAATCATTCTCACTCATATCTTACACAGAAATGGCAGAGTCAGCGGCACTTGGTTCAGACGGCGCTATGCTGCCATACAACCCTGGCTCGATGGCCGCTCCAGCTACACCGGGGGCCCAAGGACCCACTGGTGCGGCCATCACGGCGACCGTGCCCCGCCGGCCGCCGGCAGCGCCGCGCCCTAAGTGGCATGCCCCTTGGAAATTGTTCCGGGTCATCTCTGGGCATTTAGGCTGGGTGAGATGTGTGGCTGTCGAGCCGGGCAATGAATGGTTCGCTACAGGTAAGCATATTTTGATTCAGACAGTCTAAATGAAATGAAATTGGAACATGTTTCCAAAATCTGCATCTTTGTAATCTTTTAAATTCATATCACATAACTAGTTACTATCATTTATCCTGTCTCTTCTCTGAATTTGTATCATACAAATTCAATCAAAAGTAACTTCTTGATGACTCCGTGGCGCAGTTGCCAAGGTATTTGCTTCAGGGTGGTGGGTTCGATTCCCACCCGGGACAACTATTTGTGTGACCCACAGATAGTTGTTTCGCATCTGGTTGTCTGTCCTCGTGAAATTTATGTTTGTAAAACATCTTTACAACACAGGATAATGTAATCGTAAAGTAAGGGCAATGTTTTTTTCAAAAGAAAAAAAAAAATATATCATTAATTTAAAATAAATGAAAGCATTTCCAGTTCAATACCCACCTGTTGACTAAATAGAAGATTTCCAAAAAAAAACTGTTAACAGCTTTTTGTTAAGGTTGAGTCTTATTAATGTAATAAAAATGTTATACAAATTTTCAGGTGCAGCAGACAGAGTTATCAAAATTTGGGACCTAGCAACAGGCAAATTGAAAGTATCGCTCACTGGACATGTTAGCACAGTAAGAGGTAAGATATTTTCGATGGTTATAAAAAGTATTTGTTGCTTGCATATATGGAAGCGCATCTCAAAAAAGAAAATCAGAAAATAACAATCACAATTACGTAAGCGACGATTTTTATGTAAGACTCGACGAAATATGAATAATGACGAAATTTTTCATAGCATTCCAAAACCTTTAATTTTTTTCATTAAAGAAAATAAAACTTTTTTACAAATCAGTTGTCATTTGAATCATAAAAGCTCCAACCGAATCTTATTCTTTCAAACTATATTATAAAAAATTGGAATTTATACAAAATTTGTTTTGTTTTTCTTTAATCTTAAATTTAATTTACAGGCCTTGAAGTATCACCGCGACATCCTTACCTGTTCAGTTGTGGTGAAGACAGACAGGTTAAATGTTGGGACTTGGAATATAACAAGGTTAGTATGCTTTCTTTAACTTACTTTAAGAATTGATAAAGTAGTTTCATTAAGAAGTCCTTTGTGGTACTAAACAATTCACAAAAGAACACATATTCATGGCTGTCTTTATTTTGGAGCATTTCATGAAACATTTATAGCATTTAAACATTGAGGGCTGGTGTCTGAGTTGTGAGTATTGCCCAGTATTGGCTCCAATTGGGTTACTCATCAAGGCTCTACAGAAAACTAGTAGAAAATTGCATTTATACTTAAATAAAAAGCAACAGTTGAATAGCCATCAATATGTTGAGACATTTATATATGGCAAGCTAACAATCTCATCGAACGTGATGTCAGTTTAATTGTAAGATCCTATTATATTCACACATATAGAAAATATTTAGAAAATGAAAGATCCTTTCTAGGGAAGTATCTCTGTAACAACAATTATCTGTGTCTTCGGTTTTTTTAATGTTAAAGTTATCAAGAGAGTAGGTGGTTCACCTGATGCTTAATGATTACCGCCTTGTATGGATATTTACAACACGCTAATACTTGTCTCGTGTGGGAATCGAACCCGTGACCCCCGGCGCCTAATTCAATACCTTAGCAACTGCGCCACGGAGTCGTCCTACCATGGATCCTCTCACATGTCGAGTGGATGCCTGTCAGATCACCTGGTGTTAAATGATCTCCCATTGACATTTCCAACACCCTTAGGACTGCAGATGCGTTAAAGGTAGCATTAAATAAAGTGGGCCCGGCTACCTCACTCACCAGACGAAACGTAGAAATATGACACTTCCACTTCACTTGGGTCTTCTGGGGTGGGGTCGTGGTAGTCTCCCAGACGGACCTGCCCAGCCCAGCACAGTAATCCCGTTGGCAATGCGCGCAGGTGATCCGGCACTACCACGGGCACCTGTCGGCGGTGTACGCGCTGGCGCTGCACCCGAGCATCGACGTGCTGGTGTCGGCGGGGCGGGACGCCACTGCGCGCGTGTGGGACGTGCGCACCAAGGCCAACGTGCACACGCTCACCGGCCACGGGGACACCGTCGCTGCCCTGTCCTGCCAGGCGGCGGAGCCACAGGTATATACAGCGTGTCGTTACCATCGCGCCAATAAATGAACACACATATAGGGGATAACTTTTTAAAGTTGTATTAAACATTTAAATTCTTTAAACATCAATATTTACAGAGTTATAAAATTTTCCAAAACAAAGAATTTTAACACAATTTGAACACCCTTACCTATAAAAGCGTAACGTAAAGTTCATTTGTAAAGGTCACAAAGCATATGAATGGATTGAATGAATTTAAAAGAGACAAAACATACTGTTAGAAGGAGAGGCTTGTAATACGACGCTGTGGCGCGAGTAGTAAAGGTGTTACAAATTTTGTTTCTTTTTTACTTAATTAGTTTGTTTGAAAAATATTTTTTTTTCAATTATGGATTTTGTTTTACGTTAATATTTTTTTATGATTATTGGCAAGTAGCGTTAAGACGGTGTGTTCATTTATTGTCGCGATGATAACGACACGCTGTATACCCTTTCTACGGACATCCAAATTCCTCACTGGGGGAAAGACTTGTGAGTAAGAGAGAGAATGGGACATGCTCACCAAGGCCGACCTTCACAAAATTCCTCTCTGGAAGCCAACAGCCCTACCTAAGGAATGTGCTTCCTCATCAAAATAAATACTAAAGAATATGCTAGATTGTCATGCGCTCGAGCTACCGGTACTTTTTTTCAGTACAACCGCATTGCACACCGTGGGCACAACTTGAGAATATGAAAGAAATCGAACTAGCGGTTGACTCCTCAATTTCATTAGTGCTTGCAACATACACTGAACTGAAATTTGACTGTCATAGATATCAATATTAGAGAAAGGTCTAAATAAGCAATCTTGGTGGTGACTTTTTTTTTAAATTTTAGAGTCCCAGTTAATAGTAGCCAATTAGTGCGATTCCAGCAAAAAAGAACAAGCCCATATCTCGCTCTTCCTTGGCATTACTCGCAGCGCACAACATGCCGCATGATGTACTAATCATTGAATTTATGCCATTGCCAATAATGTTTCATCCCAACCAACTTTTCATCATAGCCTCTACATATTCAGCTGCAAAGCACTCACATAAAACGGCCGTTGGTTGCAGATAATAACCGGGTCGCACGACTCCACGATCCGGCTGTGGGACCTGGCGGCCGGCAAGTCCATGTGCACGCTCACCAACCACAAAAAGTCGGTGCGCGCGCTGGTCATCCACCCCACGCAGTACACCTTCGCCTCGGCGTCCCCGGACAACATAAAGCAGTGGCGCTGCCCCGAGGGCAAGTTCATCCAGAACCTGTCCGGGCACAACGCCATCGTCAACTGCATGGCGGTCAACCCCGAGGGCGTGCTGGTCAGCGGCGGCGACAACGGCACCATGCACTTCTGGGACTGGCGCACCGGCTACAACTTCCAGCGGCTGCAGGTATTTCTTTTTATGTGAAAAGTTGCCAAGCGAGCAGACGGTTCATCTGATGTTAAGTGACTACCGCCGCCCATGGATATCTGCTACACCCGAGGGTTTCCAGATGCGTTGACATCCTTTTGAAAATTGGGCTCTGGCCACCTCACTCACGACGAAACGTGAAAGTATTATACTTCCACTTTACGCCGGTCTTCTGTGAGTTCGTGATACTAAACCCAGACTAGTACTTTGTGGGTTATATTAAGGTGGCAACCGAGTGGGCGGTTCACCTGATGGTAAATGATAATTGCCGCCCATTGACATTTGAAACACCACACTAGACAAATCCTGTCTATTTAAACCACGTCATAGCTCACCACGCGACCCCACTGCAGATTGTCGGACTTCACATATCTTTGAAATCATTTATTATTAGGGGATATTTATTTCTTTGTTTATAATTACTGTTATTTCGAAAACACATGGTGTTTTTCGTCACTCAAGTATGAGAAGTATTTCTCATTAAATTTCCACGACAATTAGTACTTCAACAAGGGAGCCAACTCCCTGTAGCTAGAACCGCAGCACATGTAATTTGCCAACTGGTAACAATGCTTATATTTCGGCAGGCGCCTGTACAACCGGGGTCGATGGACTCTGAGGCGGGAATATTCGCGATGACCTTCGACCAATCGGGCTCTCGACTGATCACAACGGAAGCGGATAAGACAATAAAAATATACAAAGAGGACGAAACCGCCTCAGAGGAGACACACCCTATCAACTGGCGGCCGGAGATATTGAAGAGGAGAAAGTTCTAGAAGCAATAAAGAGACTTTTATATGACACATTTTGAAATGTTGATTTCGATTTAATGTCAACACATTCCATCGCTTTCTCATAGTTGACGAAATCTTAATTGAAGTGATTAGAACAATCCAATGAGTGTTGATTATCAAGACGACAATTAGCATGTAATTAGTGTTAATGTTCAACTATACTTGACAAAATGAATTTACTTTCGGGACACTTTTTACACAACACTATCTAGTCCCAAACTAAGCAAAGCTTGTACTATGAATACTGGGTAACTGATAAACATCCTTAAGTACATAATATAGATGTACAAACAATAGAAAACTAAATGTTCAGCATACAATATTTTTTCAACAGTTGCTATCGGACACGCCACCCTCTGTCGTAAGAGAGAGGGTCATCCATTAAGCCAATTGGGTCGTCGAATATAAGTCAATGAAATTATATTACGCATTTTAATTCCAGACGTTTCGAACCTTTTGACAGCGTTCATGGTCACGGGACAGACATACTGTTAAATAGTTTCGTTTAATATTCGCATTAAAACAGGAAATCAATACATATAAGTGAAGTTTTAGATGAAAGGAAACCAAGTGGTATCATCAACTAATCCTATGGCAACTCTAAGATAATAAAATCAATAATTGATATTTTTTAACAGGATGTGGTAATTAATAAAATATATTTCTTTAAATAAATTTATTGTTTGGTTATGTGATAAATGCAAAGAACAATAATACAAACATATAGTTCTACCAAATGTTACTACTGCATTGAGTATTTATTAAAAAATTAAAAATGGTTCCATCGCGCGGAATGTTACATATTTATCTAGTTTATAATGAAAACATGATTTCACACATATTAAAATCAGTTCAATAATGCTCTAATGCGTAACTTTCAAGCTAATATTAAAAATATTAAATAGGCTTATTTCTCATATTTTAAGTTAAGTTCAATATAAAAGTATAAGTCTTTGATAATTTTCGACGCAAGATATTACACCATCAAGATACAATTTCTTCTCAGTCCTACAAGTGTATAAAAATTCATACTTAACACTTCTAATTTATTAGCAAACATACCCTACTTCCATTCTTAATCATACCATTTAAAATTTAGCCTGCCAGCAAGCACACAGAGATAAAGACCTAAAAGTATTGTGATTCTAAAAAAATTCAACGCCTATCAATATCTAAATTGCAAATTTTTACTCAACAGAATGGAAAATAAGTTTATATAAGTGAAGCTTCAAAAAAATAAGTCACATTAAGCACCTTTTGTATCAACAAACATTGATTGTAATAAGTTTTTTGAGCTTCTAGAAAGACTTGCAACAACAAACACTCTAATCCATTTAAAAGCGGTCAAAGACTTGATATAAATTAAAAAAAGGCAATATGGCGTTTAAATTTCATCCAAGTCGTAGTCCTCCACGGGGAAGTCGCCCACGGTGACATACATCGGTTTCACAAAACCACCGTAGTTCGGAGGGCAAGTAAAGTACCGTTTGCCATTAACTCTGAAATTTTAAACATTGTGGTCATTCAATTAAAGTAGTTGTAGTAAAATAAGTAGTAGGGTGTATTTTATACTCAGCTAGCTGCTCTGGTGTTCTTTATAAATTAGACCGTAAACAGCCCGCGCCCCTAACCCCGAATATTCCATTTAAATTTCTGTTATAAAAGTTGCTGAAACGGACGCAGAAACGGATGTGAAAAACGCGCGGAAGCAGAATATTTGACCCAGGAAATAGATATCTCTTAAAGAATTTCAAAACCATACCAAAAATATAATACTAAACACTAATATATTAATAGTAAACATTAATTATGGTAACATCACAAAGAGAGAACTTACTCGCCGTCGTTCTTGCCGAGTGGCTCATCATACTGCACCCCTATCCAGAGGCCACGAGTACCCTCCAGTGGCCCATTGTAGCGCACAGTGGCGCGGCGTGGGGGCTGCTTAGGCGCTCGCACCTCACATCTCGCCCCAACTAATACACCAGTGGCCAACCTATCCATGCACAAAAATATATTACTTAAATACGTTGCACAAATACTGGTGTTGTATTTAAAACCAGGGACACCAAAGCCAATAACTTAGCAACGGGGCCTCTGAGTCAGTAATTTGTTGAATGTAATGACTGTTTTTGATAAGAACATATGATTGTTTTAGATGAAACAGTTTTTTGCCAGTGAAATATTTCTTTTTTTTATCTTGAACTGCAGTAGGACGTAGTAGTGTGAATGGGCAACCTCATCCATTTATGCACAATCAATAAACACACATTAATTTTTTTAATTAATATTTTTGTGGTTAGTAATATTGAAAATCCTCAATATTTGCAATATTACTAGCCACAAAAATAGGCAATGATAAAAAATGTTTTTTTACCCATTTTTTGTTATTTAACATTCTAATTTGAACTTGGTAAATGTACTATATGACATTGTTTGGTAAAGATAAAATGGCAGTAAAAAACTATCTATCTATATATTTTTATCACTTACTCAGCTTCCATTTCAAGCTCCTTTTGCTGTTGTTCCTTGAGCTTTGTCATCTCCTCTTCATTGTATTTACCCAACTTGTTGCGTTGTAAAAACGACCGGAGGGTATCTCCTTTTTTCTCATACTCCTCTTCAGATAATTGGAATCTACAATATTTTTCATCAATATTTTCCATTTAATCAGTACATAAACTTACTTAATGATGTACGCCGTATTTGCTATTTATAAAATGCATTTCTTTTGTAATCATGCTAGATTGTGCTCAGAAGCAGACCTAATAAACTTAAAAAGAATGATTTTCTTATTTAGGTCCCTTTAAATGTAAAGGTGCGTTAATATATAGTACCTGGAGGATGGAGTTTTGCTTGGTTTTTTTTTTTTTTTTTTCGTAACGTGTATATTTTGGAAATTACATTTAGATACAAATTACTGAGTAATGAAATATGCATAATATTTTACGATCTTACCGACGTAATAATAAGAAAATATGAACTGGTGTTTTTCACAAAAGAAAGAACTTTAAAAAAAAAGGGAAAAGGAACAAAATCATCTGGATGGACAAAAAAAAATAAAATCAATGATCTGGAATCGAAAAAAAAGTAAAAAAATAAGTATGTAAATGATCGTGACATGAACCACTGTCTTCTGTTTTTTTTTTCGGCGAAATTTACCGTCATATTCGAATGATATTTCCTTGAAAACTGGGATAGAAGGACATTTTCTAAAAATGAAACCTAGCTAGATCAATTTTTCGCCCCCAAATCAACGCACATTGTAAATTTCATGGAAATCGCTGGGGCCGTTTCCGAGATTATATATATATACATATAATCTCGGAAATGGTATATTGTATATATATATACAAGAATTGCTTGTTTAAAGGATAAGATATATTAAATTTATATGTTATTTAAAAAAATATATATTAACATACATATAAAGGGACCTAATGAATAATGCATATTTGGGCTTTAAAAATATCTTTCTTTAAACACACACTTACTATTTTTTCGTTTTAATTCCTAAGCGAAATTTTTGGTCTTAGTTAATAATTAAAGAAAAAAGTCTCAGTGGTAATTATAAAAATAATCCCACCTTTCAACACTATCAGTGCTGGAAAAGTCTTTCATTAAAGAAAAGTTGTCTATGACATGTATCCGTGTACCATCATCAATGGGGTATGACCCTAGAAGGGCATTATCATTGTCAATGTCACAAATGAAATTATTTTTGTTGTCATACACTTTCAATTTCATTGTACTAGCAGATCCTCCAGTTACCAGCTCCAGTTTTGTCTACAAACAAATATGTTAAAAGTCAAATACCTGTACTGTAATAACTAGAAGACAATCAATAATAAAACAAAACAATATTCATATAAATATCCTCAGAGTATAAGAATGGAAGAACTTTTCACAAATCCTCAGAGTATAAGAATGGAAGAACTTTTCACAAAAAATATACTTATTGGAAAAAAAATCTAGTAAATACTACGTAGTTAAACGCCGGTATTAAAACAAAGAATACGAATTTAATTAACAAATTTCTGGTATAAACTAAAAATTTTCATTAACCCTTTACGCTAGAAAATATTTTCGAAGAGTTATTTAAGTTAAATAAAGACTTACGATAAAAAAAACAAAAAGGTGTGAATCATACCCACCTTAAAGTCTAGCACAGTTATTTCTTTCTTGAATCGTCTTTCAATAGGGGCTGCATCTTCACTGTCAGACTTTGTAATATTAACATTCACATAGTCCTGTGTTATAACTTGAATTCCCTCCATGATTAGAAAATAATTACAGAAATAAAAAAATACTAAACAAATTATTTCTTCCCAAATTAATGACAAATTGACAATTGACAAAGATATCAAGGTCAAGCTTTTTTTTTTTTTTTATTATTGTGGCATTTTGTTATCCTTTATGCCAATGACAAGTAAAAGGAAGGAAACAGTGGTTTTGTTGAAATATAAATTTATTTCAACAGGACTAGGAAGCGGAATTTGGAAAAAGGAAAATAATCGAGAAGATTTACGATACATATATTCAATGTGATAAAGTATTATTAATTACAGAATATTTATTTTTATTAATATCGTATTTATACAAATACACATAACATATATACATATACACACACACACACACACATATATATATATATACACATACACATACATTTATATATATAAACCTATTAACCAAATTATACTATAGTTTTATAGCATTTTTCTGAATAAATGAAGCTAATGTTTTATCTAGACAAGGGTCGTTATATGATAAAAGGAATGGTATATTAATAGGAAAAGGTATCCGGAGCAATAGAAGATCAGTAAAAAGAGAGGAGCGGTCATATAATGGACAAGAAAGGAAAATATGGTTCAAATTTCCTTCTTCCGTTCCACAAGCACATAAAGAAGTATCTACAACATGAATCTTAAACAGAAAAGACGGAGAACAGCAGTGACCTAATCGCAAACGAATTAAAGAACTAGTACAATATTTATTTAAATTGACTTGAGTGTACCAAGGCTTATTTGGAATTGTCGGTTGAATTGAGGAGTAGAATTTTCCTTTCACTAGGCTAGTAGATGTCCAGTAATGTTCCCAGGACTCTTTCAAATATCGCTTCGACAAGGAAGATCGTGACAATAATTAGTGTAAGGATATACAGCGTGTCGTTACCATCGCGACAATAAATGAGCACACGTCTAACGCTACTTGCCAATAATCAAAAAAAATATTAACGTTAAACAAATCCATAAATAAAAAAATATATTTTTCAAACAAACTAATTAGTTAAAAAAGAAACAAAATTTGTAACATCCTATATAACTCGCGCCACAGCGTCGTATTACAAGCCTCTCTTTCTAACAATATGTTTTGTCTCTTTTAAATTCATTCAACCCATTCATATGCTTTGTGACCTTTACAAATGAACTTTACGTTACGCTTTTATAGGTAAGGATGTTCTAAAATTCTTTGTTTTGGAAAATTTAATAACTCTGTAAATATTGATGTTTAAATAATGTAAATGTTTAATACAACTTTAAAAAGTTATCCCCTATATGTGTGTTCATTTATTGTCGTGATGGTAACGACACGCTGTATATCACCGCTTAACACGGCTTCATTTGCTAACTCATCTGCCTTTTCATTTCCTTTAATGCCGCTATGCCCGGGAATCCATGCAAAAACTACTGTAATGTTTTTAACTTGGCATTTGTATAACAATTTTCTTATTTCTAATATTATAGGATATTGGCATTTTGATTTAAGCGGAAAATGTGCTAATGTTTGTAAAGAACTTAGAGAGTCCGTAAAAATTATAGCTTTACATAAGTTTGCTAATAATATATATTCTACTGCGCGAAATAGACCAAAACATTCCCCAGTAAATACTGATGATTCGGGAGGTAATTTAATTTTTTGTACAATATTATACTGAGAATGAAATACTCCAACCCCAACACAACTATTATTGGTATGTTTAGAAGCCTCACTATATATATAGTGCCAATTCTCCCAGTTATTTTCAATAATGAATTTGAAAGCTGTATGAATTTCTATTTCATCTTTTTTTATTCCAATATTGAGTTTTATGGAGGGTGTAAGAGTCAAGATTTTATAATCGGTTTCAAACAGTGGAAGAGTTTTGGAACGATACATGGGGGCTTCAATAGCAAGATATTTTTGGTAACTTTTAACAAGACATGGTAATTCTTTGAGTTTCCAATACGAAGATGAATTAATGACTTGACATAAGGTTTGTAGTTTTGTTATTAGAGGATGGTTTAAAATTTGTAAACAACGAAACAGGAATCTATCAGCTAAATATTGTCTTCTTAAGTGGAGCGGCGGATCTCCACATTCTAATTGAAGACCATTAATGGGACTGGATTTCATTGCACCAGATATTATTCGTAAATCTTTTGATTGAATTAAATCGATTTTTTTAAGACCAGATGCGTTACAAGGTTCCAATAAAAATGGACCATAATCTACAATGCTTCTTATGATAGCGTTGTACACTAACTTTAAGGAGATGGGGTGCGCACCCCACCATACACCAAAAAGGCATCTTAACATATTTAGTTGACGTTCACATTTTGCTACTACATAATCGAAATGCGGAATGCCAGTAAGTTTTGAGTCCAATATTAGACCAAAAAATTTTGCATTATTCTTAACTGGAATTGGACTATTTTTATAAGAGATGTGGATTTTTGGAAGAACACGTTTTCTGGAAAATATTACAGTGGTACTTTTAGAGGCAGACAATTCAAAACCATTTGATTCACTCCAAATACTCAATAGACGCAAAGAGTAATTTAAGCACTCACAAGCTTTATGAGCAGATTCATCCGAAACATACAGAAGTAAATCATCTGCATACTGTAGAATATTTGCAGACCCATTAAGGAAATGTTCTAAATCATAAGTGTATATATATTATAGAGTAACGGATTAAGAACAGAGCCCTGGGGTAATCCTTTCCAAGTCGTCCTGGATATTTTATGTCCATTTTCTAAAAAAATATGTATAGTCCTCTCATATAACATGTTATAAATGAAGTTAATGAATATTTTTGGAACTTTTAAATCAATTAATTTCTGCCGTAACAGATGCGGAAGAACACTATCATATGCAGAATTTATGTCTAAAAACGCAGATAGAAGGAAATTATTATTTGTGAACGCCAGTCTTATATCAGTAGTTAAAATACTCAAGCTATCTATCGTACCTCTTCCTTTCCTAAAACCAAATTGACTGCTTGCTATTATATTTTTGTTTTCAGCAAGCCATTCAAGCCGGTTTTTCACTAAATGTTCTGCAAGCTTACCTATTACAGATGATAATGCTATTGGCCTGTAAGATGTGGCCTCATTAGAAAGTTTCCCGGGTTTAAGAATAGCTATGATTTCCTGTGTTTGCCAAGACTTTGGTATATTGCTAGTTGCTATTATGGAATTTAAAAGATTTAAAAAGTAAGACAAAATTTTTTCGTCTAAATTTGAAATAAAAGAGTATATAATACCATCCTCCCCAGGGGCAGAATCCTTAAGATATGATAATATGCCTTTTAATTCTGACATAGAAAACTGCGAGGCTAATTCGGAGGGATCTCTTAAATTACACTCTAAATTTGAGTGGCGAAATTCTGGAGCAAAAGGGGGGGCAAGTCGGTCTGTAAAATCTTCAGCAAGATCTATTGGAAGAGATATTGAGGGAGAACTAATTTTACTACATCTGAATCGTCTGATATTTTGCCAGAGAACTGAAGGATTAGTATTAGGAGAGATCGATGAACAGTAATTTTTCCACCCTTCGATTTTCTTCATCTTTAAAATTTTGTGTGTGTTGGTACTTATAACTTGAAAACTTTCGAAATTTTCTGATGTCATAGATGAACAATATTGTCTTTCTGCAGTCTTTCTTTTTTTAACAGCTTCAGAGCATTCTTTATCCCACCATAGTGGGGGTGAAGCTTTTTGGTAGGTACCGTAAAATGGGGTGAATAGAAACGTTTTTAAGTTTTCGATAGATTTTTTTTAATGTTTTCTATGTATTTCAAAAATAGCAGTTGTTGCATCTCGTGAGTTAAAGATTATTAAAATGTTTTTTCAATTAAAGACGAACTTATTTTCCTAGTCATTTATTTAAAAATTAATAATATATGCGTGTTTTCTATTTACCCGTGATATGGGTGAATAGAGTCGAGAACGGGGTGAATAGAAAAAAATGCCAGGGATGTCAAAAATTTTGGAGTACATGAACAGTGGAAGGAAGGATATTATTAATAATTTTAATATTATTAAATTGTTTGTCTAATGATTTATTTAAAAAATATATAACAGCAAACATACTGAGAGCAAATCACCTAAAAAAAAAAAGAATAATAATCAAACAAAAAATATAGAAAATAACTTAGAAAAATATAAAACTTTACTTTACTTTTACGGTTTTGACAAAATACAAAAAAATTCTACAGAAAACAAAACCTGCAAGATGAAATTAATGAAATAAATAAAAATTAGAGTTTAGCACGTAAGTAATTATACGATTATTTGAAATATTAGTTTTTTTCAAATATTATCATCTCGTAAGTCTTTTAGTACATCGTCATCGTTTTTATACTTTTTCGGTCTATCAGTCCTTTTCAAAATTATTATAGGCGCTTTGGGGGATACTTTTTTGTATTTTTTAGAGTCACAAATATTTTTGTGTGTTTCTAAAAAATTTATATTTTCTATAATCTGTATTTTCTTCTTTCCCATCGGTAAATTATTTGTTACAGTTTCTGCAACTGAATTTTCTTCTTCATTACTTTTTAATTGACAGTTGGACAATTATCGAATCATTACCCATCAAATAATCTTCCACCGCTTCCTTAAGAACATTTTTGTCATACTTTTTATAGCGCATGCTTCCAGGTTCAGGCTTATAAACTCGCGGCATTATCTGAACAAGCAAAATAAGCATTATTTTTATTTAGGAAAGAAGCAAATAAGCAAATATTTTAACTATAAAAACATTTTATAAAATTACCGTTAGTACAAAATACCTACATACAAAAATATAGTAGGCATAATCTTGTTTGACAGCCCTAGCGATAACAATTCTAATCACCCCGGACGCATTACTAATCACCCCTCACGCGTTTCTATTTAGCGTTTACGCGCTTCTATTTACCCCCATTCTCAAATCTATTCACCCCCCAGGCGTCGTCTTTTCACCCCGAATAAGTTCAATTTATAGGTAACATAACTTTTCGGCACATTTATAAAAGAAATCAGAATTAAATTGGCTTACCTGTCACTTATTTAATAATAAAGTAATTAACACTCTGAATGAATTTGAATTAATTACCAAGTTCGGTTGTAATACTGAACAGCAATAAAAGTATTAAGCAGCTCAAAACGATGACCGTTATGGGTTCACTTTGAGACACTATTTCTCCTATTCAGGAACAACTTCACTACTAATTACTTTTTTGCCATAAAATAACCAATGTTGCTGTATATAAAAAAATACATTTTAGGTAATTTCATTGAACGCTGTGACAGCATTCTTGCAAAGTACAAAGTTTCGTTTTTTTTTCTATTCCCCCCTTGAATTCTATTCACCCCATTTTACGGTATTTTATTTTAAAGGAAAAGCTTGTTCCGCAGCGTTATTAAGAAAATTTACAAAAGCATTATAGGATTCAATTTCATAAAATTTTTGGACATCTGGCAAGGTAGAAACGTTCTGTAGTGTGTTGCTTTTGTAAGTATGCCAGCCTTTAATACTTAATCTGTATTTCATACGTGAACGCGGAACTTTTTGATTCGGAAGGTTATAGAAAGGAAACGAAATAATTATTGGAAAATGATCACTGCCTCTATGTAGAAGACAAAATGTCCCACTCTAGAATAGAAGAAAGATTGGGAGTACATATAGATAAATCTACAGCACTCACACTCTCATTCGATTCTGTACGTCTTGTCGGCTTTGAAGTGTTTAGAACACATAAAGTATGATGATCAAGGATATCTAACATTAGATCTCCATTAGGATTAGAAAAAGAGCTACCCCAGGATTGATGATGACAGTTAAAATCACCCATAACCAAAAATGGCTTTTTCAATGAAGATAAGAGATGATTAACTTCATTTAAAACTTGTTGAGATGGGTGAGGAACATAAATAGATACATAACAAACATTATTGTATGAAATCCCAATTGCCGAAAAGTTATCAGAGTGTGGAGGCAGTGGAACATATGTGAAAATAACAGTTTTTTTAATTAAGATTGCTACACCACCATATCCATCTAATCTGTCTTTTCTATGGCAAATGTATCCTTGCATATTAAATGATAAATTTGGCCGCAGCCAAGTCTCCGAAAGAGAGATAAGGAAAGGATTAAATTTGTTAATCAAATATATCAATTCACTTTTTTTATTAACTATGCTCCTGCAATTCCATTGTATAACTTTGGCTTGATTGTCCATTGTTGAGAATTTGTTTAAGAATATCAAATGTTTGAGCAACATTGTTCGGTGAAATTATTTTACAAAGTAACAAAGAATTAATTAAAGGTATTACAACATCTGTAAATGTCTTGTTTTTCATTCCCATTGGGTGTTAATGCACATCCGTTAGATGACATTGGGATTTCAAAGTCCTTAATTAGAGCTTGATGAGCTGCTTTGTCATAGCCTTTGTTGAAATGGGGAAGAGGTCGAGTTTTTAAAGAAACTGTCTTTTTATATTAGTTTTTCAATGGTTGGTTAATATGTGATGACAAAGAATGTTGTGGCCTCATAGACTCAGCTGAATATGTGCTAGAGGAACAGATTTAAGAATGTCAACATAAGACTTAGTGACAGGGGGGAGCATTTTGGAAGCCTCTGCATATGAGATGCAGTTTTGTGCCATGGTCAATTTTATTTGTTTTTGTCTAGCCCATTCAGGACATGATTTGCTAATAGCAAAATGTGACCCAGAACAAAGGAAACAGTAAGCACAGTCATCATCTTTATTGCAAGAGTCACTTGTATGAACATCTCCACACTTAAAGCAGTGTGGTTTGGACCTACATTGAATTTTAGTGTGACCATATCGACAGCAGTTGTAACATTGTATAGTAGGATATGTGTAAAATTCGACAGATAAAGCATTATAGCACATATAAATATGTTTTGGAAGAACCTGACCATCAAATGTTATAACTACTGTCTGTGAAGGTTTCCAAACTGGAGACCCATCAACAGTTGTTTTATAATTTAATCGTCTTATTTTTAAAATTTCACCACAACCCATTGGCACAGTTATGTTATTTTTAATTTCATCTGGGGACCATTCAGCTGGCACTCCTCTTACAATACCCATCCTAGTTATGTTGAAGGTTGGAATAAAGGCTTTTAGTTTCTGTGTAGACAAAGAAGGATGATTAATAAAAGTGTTAGCATCAGTAAAATTGGAAAATGCAAGGGAAATCTTGTTCCTACCAATTTTTTTTATACTGCCATTGATGATATTCCTAAATAATTTTTTTTAAGAAAATTGCCAAAGGACACAGTGTGGAATGAAGTACCATCGTTAAATGAAGATACTTCTTTTTGAACATGTATAATATAAGGTGATAAGTCACTGTTTTGGTAAATCTTTCTATATTCGACACTAAGTTGCTCGGGCTCTTTTGATTCTGTTGTTACTGGTGATGCAACATTATTTTGAATGGTGCTGTTCTCATCACTATCGCAATGACAGGCATGCTTAGTTTGGTCATTCTTAGTACCAGAATGACTGCTCCTCCTTTTTTTATTGCAATGTTTGCAAATTTTCTGCAAACGTGAGCGTTTTCTAATGATAAGAGTATTCGACGCATCAGTGTCCATACAAGACTCGCCATTAGAAACTTCTACATTGCACACAACCTCGGGGACTCCACCCCCGGGATCAGGGGGTTCATTCATTATAATAAAATATATAAAACTTACCTAGGTATAGAAATTAAACTATTACTATTAATAATTAACTACACAAAGTAAAAAAAAATTACATATATACACAAAACTTCTCTGATTATTATCACTAAAATTAAATAAATGTGATTTAGAGAAAAAAACGCGCGCTTAGCTTTCAAAGTTTCCCGCCCTTTTTCCCAAGTTCAAGTTGTAAATGACAATTGATATATGTCAAATTTTTACCATAGATTTTTTTTTAACTTGTTATGGCAATTGTGTTAACTTTTGCCAGTTTCAAGGGAGGAAGATTTTGCTTTAAATGTAAATTCACAACATAAGTTTGGATGTAATTAAAGAACCATTATTTATCCTTCATCAAAAGTTATCAGCTCAGATAATTATTATTATATTTTTTTATCTGAACAGTTGCCAAACGAGCAAACGGTTCACCTGATGTTAAGTGAATACCGCCACTCATAGACTTCTGCTACACCCGAGGGTTTGCAGATGCGTTGACAACCTTTTTGGAAATTGGGCTCCGGCTACCTCACTCTGTCGAAACGCGAAAGTATTTGTCATACTTCCAGTTTACGCCGGTCTTCTGTGAGGTCGTGGTACTTACCCGGACGAGCCTGCCCATTCGTGCAACAGCCGAGACTGCTGCGTGGCTCTACCACCGTTAACTCGGAAATTTTCAGCTACTCTTCATAATTTATATACCTGTCTGTTCAATGAGGCTTTCGAAATAAAAATGTGAAGTAGCTGTACATTCCGTTAGAACTTCTATAATTACTAATCTGCGTTCGATGAAGCTTTAATAGTCTCATAGTAGAGCCGTGATAGCTCAGTGTAGAGGCGTGATAGCTCAGTGTCCGGGCGCTCGCCTTTAATTCAATATACTCGAGCAACCTGAGTTCGATCCCCGGTGCCGGCACCAATGAAGTTTTTAACTTTAAGTGCTGTCTTATCACGTGCTCCGCGGTGAAGGAAAACATCGTGAGGAAACCTGCATATTTTCGAAATAATAACAAAAAAATATTTCGAAGATATGTGAAGTCCGCCAATCCGCAGTGGGGCCGCGTGGTGGACTATGCCCTGATACCCTCTATATAGAGGAGGCCTTTGCCCAGCAGTGGGACATGTATAGGCTGTTACTTTACTTTACTTTTTACTTTACTTTAATAGTCTACGGACTGTAAGCGCTAACATCAGTTAAAACAAAACAACAATATTTTTTTGCCGATTTGATGCCTCAAACAGAATACGAGTAGCACGATGAGGTGGACTAATGAAATATCATTGGTTTACATCTTTTTTATTACCATTAGATTCTACTTAACGCGATACGAAACATGAACGGAAGGAGATTGAATAAAAGAAAGAGGTCGATTTCAAAAACGAAATATAATTTCGAGTGAAAAAACACCCCTCAAGAGTCGATTCACAAACGGTTACACGGTATCTCTAGAATAAATGAACGTTGTGCGTGAGCCACGTCAGCTGGATTAGCGCAAGGGCGGCGTGCGGGGTGGCGCTTGCTGCGGCCGCGCGGAGCGACTCGGCCGGCGGGGGGGAATGCTTCGTGGCGTCCATGGAGTGGCTGCTGGAGGGAGAGCGTGCCACGGGAGCCTGCGAGCTGGTGGCGAACTGCTCGCGCGCCCTCATCATCGGCGTCGCCTCCTCATACTCAGCCGCGTTGTCGCCGTACTCGCCCGCCTGAAACGCGCAGACTCACCAAAAGGCACAAGCCTCTGATGATTCATCGTAGCCGCAGTGGCTTTCGATGTGAAACTCCTAACATTTTCTGAATGCGTATTCCGTAACACGAGAGAGAAGAAAGATGTAACGTAGAGAGTGTGAAACAGAGAGATTGTGTATCGAGTACAGTTTATTTGAGAAGTTTCAATTTTCTATAACGTGCTGCACGAGTCAAGGCCAGTAAGGCCATATGGTTGTAAATCTTCTACAACGGTTATCTCACTTGCGAGAGTACTTGCAAAAGACTAAATACTTGTACTTTACGCCGTACTTCCGTAACGCCGGTGAACTTCTCCAGTGGAGCGAGCAACAGAAGAAGCTCCTATCAGCTCTGCTTAAGTGTACTAACAAATGTAGAAAATCATATATTATTTATCTGAAATAAGGTCCTATACAATATTACAAGCTCAGTTATAAGACCTTGAAGTCGGGACGGTTGGGTTCGAACTCCTGAGCATGCCGCGACCGTGAACTGCAGGCCCGGTTCGACGGACCCTTCGGCGAGCGGATCTAAGATCGGTTCGGTGGACGTCTGCGCCGCTGACGACTGCTTTCGGCGCCGTGTTGGCGTTTCCGCTACAATTAACAACAAAATGGTTTTGTAGTTGAAAAAAAAAAATGTCACAACTTAAAAGGATCTCATTGCGTACCTTTTGAATACTCCGTAGAACACATTATCACAGTACGGCTAGCCCGATAGGTATAATTCAATTTATAAGTTAAGTTAAGTTAGTCAATGTTAGGACTATTTTGCAGGGAACATCGACTCGATGTGAGCAAAGATATTTTGAATTTGGATTTCTGTAAACTCGGACATTAGCGTAATTTGTATATAATTTTTATTCATGCATTTATTTACTGGGCGCTTGTCTATTAACCCACAAACAAAACCAAAAACTTAAATGTTTTAAAGTGAATCTCACTTGGTACTGAATTGGCGGTCGACACAAACGGCCGAGTCCCAACAGTCTCTATTTCTGTGGTTGAGTCACCGTTGAGGAGACGATGCTCGCTGCACAGCGTTTCACAATCCCCTCTGAAATAATAAAAAACTTCTAAATAATTCTGAAATAACTACTTAAGCAAATCCAACTAGGCCGAATAATTGGTACGGATCTGGGTGTTTGTCCGCGTGAAATTTGTGTATGCGAAACGTATTTACAATACAGAATAGTGTTATCCTACAGTAAGTGGCAATGTTTTCGAAGGGAAGACTACAATAGATCTTCCAGTGGTTAATGGGATCTACTGCCACAAACAATTAAGTGTAAATAATTTTAAACATTTTGTATAAGCTACCTTAATGGAAAGGGCCTGTTATAATGTCAAGGATTCGAGGAGACATTGAGGACAAAGATGTGTGGAAATGACTCTTGCGCTGCACTTGCAAGTCCCCTGGCTGCTGCTAATTTTATACTCAAATACTTTTGTGTGTATACTTAAATAATTCAAAGACAAAAAAAAAGTTATAAGACCGCGGGGTTTCTTGCCGGTACTTCTCTGGCAGGTCTAGTTTAGTGAACACGTGGTAGTTTTTGGACGTTCAATAAGAGCTTAAAATAAGACAATTTGAATAGAGAACTCTTGACTTTCGAATTTGAAATCCATTCCACGCAAAATGCAATCGAGGTGTACCGTCCGCAAGCGCGTAGAGTGTGGGCGCAGTGCAGGAAGCTTCGCCAGCGGGCCACGCTCTGCGCCACGTGGGTGCCACCGCAGCCGTCGGTCTCCGTCGACGCGGACTCCGGCACCGACTCGCTTAGCACACCGCACAACTTGCCTCCGCACACGACGCCCGTGCCGCGATCGTTCTGCCGCATTGGAACAATCAACCATTTTAACTGCGGAAGTAACACCAATCCGCAGTGGGGCCGCGTGGTGGACTATGCCCTAATACCCTCTGAATATAGAAGGCCTCTGCCCAGCAGTAGGACATTTGTAGGCTGTTACTTTACTTTACTACGGTAGGGGCATAGAGCCACGCAAAAGTCATCGTTTTTGCACGAATGGACAGGATCAGGTAAGTCAATCAGGTAAGTGCGACGACTTCACAGAAGACCGGCGTGAGGTAGAAGTGTTATACTACTGCATTTATTTTGTTACTTAGAAAACATACAGGTTTCCTCACGATGACTTCCTTACCACTAAACACGTGATGAATCAGGAACTAAAAGTAACAATTTCAATGGTGCCGGCCGCGGGATTTGAAGTCAGGTTGCTCGAGTACATCGAATTAAAAGAGAGCTCCCGGACCAGTGTCCGCTAGCTCAGTAGCTATCACGGCTCTTTTTTTTTGTGAAGTGTAATCAATGCCTACTCTATGTCTACTACATGAATCGATGGCGCCCGTTGCCAAGCTATTGGCTTCGGCGTCGGATGTCATGGGTTTAATTCTTACACGGGACAAGTACTTGTGTGACCCACCGATATTTTTTCCGGATCTTGGTGTTTGTTTCCCAAGGAGGGTTGACATCAGGTAGCTGGTCGTAAAAAACAGAGCCAAAACCGCTTACAACATAATTAACATGTTGTGCCGACCCCACCTAGATGGGATAAGGACAGGAGGATGATGATGCACTCATAATTAGTGTCTACACTCTTGCATTCAATCTAGTAATTAAGTCAGTCGAGGTCCAACTACCACACTCCCTGGATGCAGCCAGTGTACCGTGTTGCTTACGGTTAAGGTGAACTAAACACCACAACAATATGCCATAAACAGAGCCCGCGACGGCTACCCACCGTGCACAGCTCGTCGCCGGCGAGGCACAGCGCCCGGTCGCTGATCTCCAGCCAGTGCAGCACGCGCGACGCACAATGCGAGCCGGCCACTATGGAGGCGGTGACCACGTGGAACCGGGCGCGGTGGTGCCCCCCGGCGGTGGCCGCTCTCACCGCGTGGCAGGTCGTCTCTTTCTCGCATTCACCGCGCGACGTCGCCATCAGTATAGGCCGGGTGCGCGCCGCTGAGCCGAACGGCGCCTCCAACTCGAGCACGGCGAGATCGTCCAGGTATACGTCGTCGCCCTCCTGTATAAGAATGATATGTGAACCGACCATAAGTACTATATGTACAGTTAAGGCTTCGGTAAGTTCTTGGCGCGATTTACATTGAACAAGGACAGTGGCAAGTATCGAGTACAAGTACAGCGGCGAGTCGCGGGCACCGGACATGTGGCTGTTTACACTACAGCAAGTCCAGTGGAGTTTCTCCGTCGAAATGGACTAACAACATTACAAAATACATGCAATTTTGATTTGCCGCAAGCAAGTGGCAAGTCATGTGCCTTGGGGGGAAAAGCGGGCGCGCGAGAGGCGCACTTGCACGCCAACAGCTTTAAACTTTAAAGCCCATTTGCCTTGCTACTGTCCGATGGTTTACACCACACTTATCCTCTTCACGTATGTTAGTATTCAATCTTACTCGTCGCATCCGGCCTTAAATCTTGTTCACATAGATTAACCGGTCAAGCGTGATCACGATAACTACAGCTCCCGCCCTGAATGCAATAAAGATTAGATCGATAAATGTGCTCGGAAGAGTTACCCGTCGGCGGTCGCCAGCGAGGGCGATGCGGGAGACGCGGCGGGCGGTGGAGGCGGGGGAGGTGCCGTGGCGCGGCGCGTGGCGCTCGTCCGGGTGGGGCGGGCGACGGGCCAGCTGCGCGGCCGCCAGGGCCCACAGCTCGCGCGGCAACGAGCCGGAGCGGCCGCGCGCGCAACGCGCCGACGTCACGCCCGTCCGCATCGACACCAGCGACGCCGCGCAGCGCCAGCCGTCCTGGTGCTCGACCACGATCTGAGAGCCAACGTTGATGAGTCCGTGGCGCGGCTGCCGCGCTATTGGCTTCAGCGCGGGTCGTGGGTTCGATTTACGCACGCGGAAATTGCTGCGTGACCCACAGATAATTTCTTCGGATGTTTGTCCGCGTGGAATTTATGTGTGTAAAACGTCTTACAACACAAATGTTATCCTATAGTAAGGGGGCAATCTTTTCGAAGGGAAGACTATAATAGATCTTATAGGATAGGTCGCAATGGTATTTGGGTCGTACCCAACCCCTTCCACCCAAAATACAAATAAAATATAAGACTCAACGTTACCATGAAATGTGGCCGGTTAATGTAAATGCGATAACAAAGAAACGTCACACGATCACGTTGGAGACTTGGCAAAAGCATTGTTTTAGTGAGACACCAGACACGAATCTTTTTGTAGTGAAAGGAGCAAATTGTTTAAGCTGGACACTATTATACAATTTGTTCCCCGAGTAAGTCTTATAGAGCTATACATGGAGTACAATATACTAAAAACGAATATCCGGCTCGAAGGACCACGAAGAAGTTTGTATAGAGTTTGTAGATAGTCTGGTAAATGGTTTATTAAAGTCGAACAAATGGGATATTAACACATATATGTAATGGTATGGTAAATATACCATTTAAAGCGCTAAACACTAATTACTGGTTATTGAATACGGGGTATAATTGTTATGGTATTGGTGTTTCGATGGTGGCGAACCGCGTACTGGCTTAAATTCATACACATATGTACGCGAGTGAAATGTGCATATGATGTACAAAATGACAACGTTGAGCTGTTCGGTTGCGTAATTCCGAACACTACGGCTAAGGGATCCGGACTCATTGGCAGGTGGATGAGAAGGAAAAGGCTCCGCTTATCTGTGTAGCCGAGAAGTGGTGAGCGGCGAAACCATAGACCAGGTCCGCCACTGGGGACTGGGAAGCTTGCTGCATGTTAGCAGTGGCTCTCCCAGTTTAAGGGTCTCTGGGCAGGAGGCTTGTGGAAGTTGGCTGTCCGTACGAAAAAGGCTGAGTTGGAAGGCAAAAACGTTCCCGCAGTCCTGCCGATATGTGGCCTAGGTGAAACGTCGTAGGGTTTTAGTGCCAATACATAGCCCGCTCTTATCCCCGCGAGTGGTATAGCGCGATCCACGTAGGCAAAAGTGGAGATTATTTGAAGTACCCCAGATATTTAAAATTATTTAAAGTAGTTGTAGTAGAAGATGATGGATTCTTGTCCATCGTGTCCTAAGGCGACACCCTGCACAATTAAAGAATCAATGGCATCTACAGATCTGCTAAACTGCGAGTCCTTTATCCTTTTCTTTATAAATGACTGTTATGCTGTCGACAGAAGAAGCCTGAGAGACGTCAGTCTCGTCCGAAGTGATTAAACGTAGGTTCTAAACTTTATTTAACTATATTTTCGATGCGTTAAGTTGCGCTTGTTGAGAAAACTATTAAGATCTTGAGTATCAATTATTAGAGCTTTCTTATTAAATAAATTAGCCACTGTTGTATAAATAAAGCATCCAACGTATCAATACCGGTCGATTCACTCAGTTAATTAACACTCCTTTAGTTATGCGCATTATTGAGACGGTAGATGCTTGCTGGACTGAAAACCGATGTCGGGATCAGAACGAATTTTAGTTACTGTATCTCGAGTTGTATGTCTCTTTTATCGAGTTCCGTCCGTTTCACGGCCTTATGCTGCTACACAGGCCTTCACTTACTGTTATTATTTTGTTTGTTTTTTTGTTGTTTACATTTATTTTAAATTTTTCTAATATTATTTTATATATTGTGTAGTAACATTATTATTTTTAAGTTTCGTATGTATCCATTGTGCTTAGACCGTGAATAAACGTTTCTTCTTCTTCTAATAAGCGTTATGATGAAATTGGAACGAAAGGACATGTGTCGTGGTCTGGGATGTGTGGGATAAGGGCAGGAGAAGGAAGATTAAGCGTTATAAGACAATTGTAAATCCAGAAATAAGTAAGCCACTTAAGCCATTCTGCAGACGCCAATTAATTAAGAACCAATGACCGACGAGACATCACAATGAAACAAGCAAACCGAACCAGTCACAACGCACCAAGAAAGAAGCAGTATCGCTCTCCTCGTCCAAATCGTCTGACGTTGTGCTAGCGGTGACGCAGCCGGGTGACTTTCGGCCGTCGGCGGACGCAGCGCACTCGTCGGCGCCGCCGCCCGCCAGCAGGGTGGTCACCAGCGCGCACACCATCACCGCACCACACCATCCCGAGGACGTTCCGCTCATAACCGCGCGCGCTACCAATTCCTCGCTTCACGTACTAATCACAAAACAGAACGTCCCGACATCACTGACAGCCCCATCGCTGTGACAACATCTATCACCTTTCAAAAGTTTTATCGTCGAATAGTGTTTCGTTGACCAGATTTTTCTGATCATAGACGGTGTTGTTAGAAGAACTAGTGGAACAGTAGTTTAGGTTCGTAAACATAATATGTATTTATCAATGAAAGAAAGAAAGAAAGAAAACATTTATTGCACAAATACGCCACATAAAGATTGAACCGTTCCAACATCTTAGGTATGTACATTTATACCGCAAACATAAAAAATACATAGTAAAAAGAGAAAAAAATGTATTATGAAACAAATATAACACATTTAACACTCACGCGTGTGTGGCGTATACGGCAAACAGACCGCAATCAGCTTAATGCTGCAGTCGATACAAGACTACAGCGCTGGTTTTCAGTGGGCCTGTGAATTGACGTACGGACGACCACATATTAGAGTGAAAATTAAAGTTTAAACACAAGTTTAGATAGAACAATGACCCACCTCCAATCCGATTAACCTTAAATCAATAGCGAAATATTTTTGAGACGAGTAGATCTTATATAGAAAAATGTTGGCAACTTCTGCCACAGATGATTTATAGCTAAGGAAATATCTATGGACGAAGGAGAGAATTTACTCTAGTAGGGTCACGCAACTGCTTTCACTGTTGCACGAATGGACAGATCGATCCGGAGAACTACCACGACCTCACAGAAGATTATCACTTAACATCAGTTGAACTACCAGCTCCTCACATAAAAATAAAGAATTCTATTTAACCCTATGAGAATTTTTTTTTTATTTGAAAAGTTGTCAAACGAGCAGACGGTTCACCTGATGTTAAGTAAATACCTTCGCCCATGAACATCTGCTACACCCGAGTGTTCCAGATGCGTTGACAACCTTTTGGAAATTGGGCTCCGGCCACCTCACCCTCAGACGAAACGCGAAAGTATTATACTTCCACTTTACGCCGGTCTTCTGTGAGGTCGTAGAAGTACCACGGAAGTACCACACCCGGACGAGCCTGCCTGAATTTGCGATTAGATTTACATAGATGCGAAAGTTTATAACATGTATATAAGAAAGTTAATATTTTGAAGTTATTGTTCTTTTGGCGCGTTTCTTTTGGCTTATTTTACGATGCTCACACCTACATCGACATGACGAAGTTGGGTGCAAAGCGACCAAGAATTTGTTGAAATGATTCTTGCTCCCTTCCCATTCTTCTAAACATGCATCATAAAAAAAAGAAATTTCAATACTGCAGAGTTTCTTCCCGATTTTTCTTTGGCCAGTTCTAGATTACTGAGACGGTGTTAGTTTTTTGACATTCAATAGGAGCTTTAATTAAAATACTAAAAGCCTATCTTAAATAAAGTTTAGATGTTGACTTTGACAATTTATAAACTAATCGATTGCTTAAGTTACCGATGCGACGGTACCGCACCAATGGGCTGTAAACTAATCGCGTTTCAACTTTCTTACTATTATTTTTTTTTAAATATTTTATACTTTGAATGCTCAAAACATTTCATAGTACCCACAAGTTGTGTAATCAATAAAACAAACACAAATTATCGTTATTTTTAATTCGATTTGAGTAGTAAAGTAAGCATAATACAACCATTACAATGGACCATATGAATAAATAGAATCACTTATGCTTATGTCTCGGGAGATACGTCTTAGTGTTATATCAACCATCGTACATACTATTTACACATTAACAGACTTGTTTAACCATCACAAGTTACTGAGACAAGCCAAAAGAACCTTAATTATTATAAATGCTTATTATAACATTTAAGAACACAACAAGGATCAAGGATCAAGATGTATACATCAAATACATTATTTACAGCTCATGTAAATCTCTACGCTTTTGGCTAATTTTTATATTATTTTATTTTGCGTCATCTTTTAAAAATTACAACGACAAAAAAATAATAATAAACATAAGTGTGCTGTATTTCAACTTCCGGGCCTGGACAGAAATGTTCCTTTGAATTACTCCATCGGCTGTGCTGGCTGTTCCGAACCGTGGTCCGAGCGCTCTTCAGGATCTTGTTGCATTTGTTCGGTTCGGTCCGGACGTTCCGGACTCGCGTCCGGTTGCTTTTCCCCGCCTCTGTCCGGTTGCTGCTGAACGGCGCCCGCGGCGGCCGTGGCAGGTGGCAGCTCGAGGGGCAGCAGCTCGTGTGGCAGCGCGTGCAGGCGTAGCAGCTTGTCGAGCAGCATGTCCGCCAGCGCGGCCGCCTCGCCGCCGCACCACGCCGCCCCTCGCACGTGCAGCCACTGCCACAGACATTCATTACGTTCATAACCACCATGTCACTGCCACGGAGACGCACACATAAACTCATTTAGAGATATTTATTAAGTCACCTTCGACTTATGGTCTAGTACTCTAGAAGTGTGTATTTAATAAATAGTACCCGGAGAACCTTTGCTCGGTTTTTTTTTTTTTTTTGGTAAATCGTGTATTTTGGAAATTACATTTAGATACAAATTACTGAGTAATGAAATATGCATAATGTTTTTCACAAATGAAAGAACTTTAAAAAAAAAAGGGGGAAAAAATAACAAAATAACAAATCGACAAAAAATTAAAAATAAAGAAAGCAATGAAAAAAAAAAAAAAAAAAAGTAAAAAAATTAATGTGTAAATGATCGCGACGCGAACCACGGCCGTCTGTTTTGGGGCCGCCCGATTACCGACCGAGCTATCATGACATTTTCGCTTGCGGCGAAATTTACCGTCATGTTCGAATTATATTTTTCATTCCCTGAAAACAGGGATAAAAGGGCATTTTCTAAAAAATGAAATCTAGCTAGATCGATTTTTCGCCCCCGAATCTACGCACATACTAAATTTCATGAAAATCGCTACGTTTCCGAGATTCCGATTATATACTATAAAATTTTCATGAAAATCGCTGATAAATGCCCACTATTAGATCACCAACGTGTGTATTCAAGAAATATGTTTACTTTATTTTATGTTGATATTACAATGTATAGTATTTTTTTTTTTGGTAACATGAGAATAGTGTGCTCGTTTAAAAGGACTATAAGATTTTTGCCCACGGGTTTGGGCCCTATTAGATCACGTGCAACGTGTGTATTCAAGAAATATGTTTTTTAACGGGCTTGCGACGCGTTGTGTTGTTGACGTTCGCGTTTGTGTCTAGCTGTGGGTTGGTAATTTGCTGCGCTTACCACCAGAGGGTTGGGATGATGTTCGGCTCTATCGAAGAACGGTTTGGTCAGGTCTTTAAAATATTCGCGAATCGCCGGGAGTCTGCAATCGCTGTGCAGATCAACGTTGCGTTGATACCACTGCGCACCGGTTGCTCGGCGGATGAACTTATTTTGTACTATTTGCAGCTTGTACAAGCGAGTAGGGTGCGTGTGGGCGAAGATCATGCATACGTAGGACATAATAGGTCGTACGCAGGTCTTATATAATAATAATTTGTGCCTTAAGGGCATTTTACTTTTAGCGTTAGTTAAATTGTGTAGCCGGCCGGAGACGAACGCGGCTCTATTACGAACGTTATTAATGTGCGTAGTAAATGACATACGCGAGTCGAAAGTGACTCCTAAGTATTTGACCTTTTTCTCCCAGGGGAGCGGTTGGCCATAAAGGGATATTTGCTTGCCCCAACTTTCTGCATTGGTGAGGACCATTATAAAGATGTGACGGGTAAGTACTTCGTGTGAAGTGAATCGCCACACTCTTTTCGGGATTTATTTCTATTCTCCATTTGCGGAACCAATCGCCGAGGCGGTCGGCGGCGCTTTGGAGTCGAGTGGTTAGTATTCTAAGGTTGCGGTCTGAATAAAAGAGCGCGGTGTCATCTGCGAAAAGCGCGAGATTGAAGTGGCGGTCTTTGGGTATGTCGCTCGTGTAGAGCGTAAAGAGCAAAGGCAGGAGCCTTGTGGAACGCCGGCCGTGAGGCGGCGGCTTGTGGAGAGGGTGCCCTCGACTCGATATCGAAAAGAGCGATTCAACAAAAAGGCCCGGATGGTGGGTACGAGCCTATCTGGCACTTTGAGTGTGTACAGCTTGTAAAGTAAGCCGTTGTGCCAGACCTTGTCGAATGCCTTTGCGACATCGAAGAAAAGAGCCCCTGTACTGATATGTTTCGGGTGGTTTAGGCCTTTTAGGGCGGGACAAGAGTGTCTAGCTCGAAAGCCGAATTGTTCCGTCGGCAGAAGGCTGTTGGAAAATAAGTGCTTTTTGAGCCTGTTTAATAAGAGCCGCTCGTAGAGCTTCCCCAGGCAACTGAGGAGGCTGATGGGACGATAGTAGTGTTTTATGTTAGAATCCTTAATACGACTTTTCAATGACTCTTCTTTTCAAGTTTTACAATCAATGTATATTTACTTACACTTATATGGACCACCCAAAATTCAACTGATAGATAATGCTAGCACTAAGTAGGCCTTTGTACGTATTTCGTATGCACAAAGGATAAATAAATGAATAGAGTTTGATAATCTTTTTGATAATAATAATAATAATAATCGCCGGTTTCTATCCCTTTCACCCTAACCCTCGGCCGTTTAGTCTCCCCTGCCGAGGGCTTCCGTCTGGTTGGGTCCTATTTATATATGTAATATATACAATATTTATGTTTATTTTTATTCATAATATTTATTTTATATATGCAATATATATCTATATGTTTATTTTTTATCTATAAACCCAACCAGACGTGAAAACAAAGAAATATCCCCAACATTAATCTTTATTTGCCATTAAACTGGATGATTAAGAAGTTGATTTACAAAATTATTGACCTCCAAGTAAGGTAAATAAGTAAGTAAGTACTAATAATATATGGCATGCAAATATTTGTTATATAGTATTTAATAAGTAGTTTTATATTTGATTGAAATTGTTCTGATTGATGTCGATTGGTTTGACAAGGTTGAGGCCCATTAGTTTAGTCGGTAAAGCACAAGGGCACAAAACCAGAAGACTCAGATCCGAATCCCGTAGCCCCAAAAGATTTTATTCGTTTATCTACAAAAATTAAAAATTTATAGCTTTTTAAAAACAAAAAACATTGCCCTTACTTTAGCATAACATCATCCTGTGTTGTAAGGACGAGGACGAAACAATTATCCGTGGGTCACACAAACAGTTGTCCCGTGTGGGAATCGAACCCACGACCCCCGACGCCGAGGCAATACCTCGGCAGCTGCGCCACGGAGTCATCACAGTAGGCATCAGCTTGATAAGCTTAATACGATTGTGTGCGGTGAATATGCGTGCAGGATCATGTGCGTGCGTGTGCGTGCGTGCGTGTGCGTGCGTGTGACGTGCGTGCGCGCGCGCTCACCTTGTGATGAGGCGCGGCCGCCAGCGCGGCGTAGAGCGCGTGCGGCAGTCTAGGGCGCGCCGCCCGCCCCTCCGCCTCGAGGCGGACGGCGCCGCCCAGCGCGCCGCCCGCCCACACGCCGCCCGCCGCGCCCAGCACGCGCCGCGCCGCCCTGGCCAGCGCGTCGCTCTCTGCACGATACGGGCGGTTCATTTACAAGCGAAGCTGATGTTGTCAAATTTATAAGCGTCACTTTCCAAGTGCTCCAAACGAAATGCTATAAACGCTTTCGTCTTTAACAACAATGTGGTGTTCACTCCTCGGATCCAGTCAAAGACTTCAATTTAAGTTTTATTTTTCATATTTCACACCCAAAAATAATACGAGCATGATGTTCTAACGTAGTGAGCTCTAGCAAATTCACCAGAGGTTGGCTGTTTGTGTTCGCCATCTGATAAGTCATCGCCGCAAGGACGGGGTTATAGGGGCTTGAAGGGGTTAAGAACATATCAAGCACCGCGCTCTCAGCGGCGAACGCGAGGTCCCCGATTCGCAGCCGATACGATATCCCCATCTTGGACATCTTGTAGTTACTGTTATTTAATTGCGAGTGTGCTTAAGATCATTCGCCCGATTTTCGAAGATTAAGCGTTTTAGTTAATAAATTAACTTCGTAAATCTCTAGTGTTTCGTAGAAAATATTTTTTTCTTATAATAATAATTGTTTTTTAATCTAAGTTTCTCTGGTGACCGACCTTGTTCCTACCCCTAAATAGGTACCACTATCGATCGCGGTCCAAGCCGCGATTTGAACCGCAGTTTGAGGGGGAAATCGGAAAATTCCGTGCCTCACTTTGGCAATGAAGTTGTCCATATTTAGTCAACAAGGGTCGCGGAGGGGCAACGGAGCGATTGGCGTGGTGCATCAAGTACATTTCTACAGAGTCTGCGGGTTTTATGCCTGCGGACCTCTCCCGAAGATGTCTAATGCGCTGAGCAAACTACAAACAAGTCAATTGTTTATTAACGAAAAACAAAACCGACTCCAAATCGCTCTGTATTCATTTTATAATTGATTTTCAGGAGATCCCTAATTATCTCCGGCGCCCGAGATCCAATATGAAATAAATATGGGACCACATTGGAAGCACTAGCTTTCAAACAAAAAAAGAATCATCAAAATTGGTTCAAATTTGTCTAAATTCTGTCTAAATTTCTGAGGTTTTTTTTATGTCGATTGAAAAAGCAACTTGTACTGGAATCGCTGAACTAAATGTAGCGTTCGGCTGGCAAAAATACTAGAATCCGTTTCACTAATAATTTTGGATCTGTTGTATTGTGGAGGATTGCATACTGCTTTCGTGAGTTGTGGAACAGATTTATAGAGGCATTAGAGTATAGTGTATATGTATATTAGTACCTTCGGGCGCCCAGTCGGATTCCAGCGCGCGTAGAAGTTGCGGCAGCACGCCGCAGAGGGCCAGCATTGCGCCTCCGCAGCTGGCGGGCGGAGGGGCGCCCCCGCCCCCGCCACCCGCGCCCCGCAGGCCCGGCCGCCCCCACAGCGGCGCCCCCGCCCCCGCTGTGGGCAACAGAGCGGTCGGCTCACATATGGTGTTTCATTATCACTGTCGCCCATGAACATCTACGGGAACAGATGGGTGTCATATGCTTTCATCATCATCATCATTTCAGCCCGTTTGAGTCCACTGCCTAACATAGGCCTCCCCCATAGACTGCCACGAAGTACGATCCTGACCCATCTGATCCATCGACTTGCCGCACATTTGCACGGGTCTTAACTCCATTTAGTGGGGCTCGTCCATATGCTTTGCCAACCACTAAAATTTGAGCCCCCACTACCTCTTACGGCAGACGGAACTCGAAAGTATCTTCCACTCTACTGGAACTATAGCAGATTCAAAGCTCCAGTAGGGTCCACATCTATCATCTCTCGCGAATAGGCAGCTATCGAAATATTAGGCAGCTCATAGACATCGACTCTGCCAGGAGAGTTGTTTACTTCAGTTATTTTCACAGCATCTTGTCGCAGGGCATTCTGTAGTGGGTTTGCATCTGATATGAATAGACACCGGGGAAAGAGATGGAGCGGGGGCGCACCGACGGCGAGGTAGGGGCTGTGCGCACAGTGGCGGGCGAGCGCGCCGGCCACGGCCGAGCTGCGCGAAGCCCGCGCGAGGACTGTGCCGCTCTGCTCCCAGTAGCGGGCCGCCTCCGCCTCGTCGCCCTGCAACAGGTCCATATCGTCCAGGTACGTATCGACATTCATAGGACATCGGAGTGATCCCTACCACTGGAAAACGTGTTGTGTGACGCGTCATTTAACAAAAAACAAGTCGATGTCACCAATACAGGCTTATTGTACACGGAGTATAAGAGAAAACAAAATTACAAAAAAGAATAATTTACAAAGGCGAGCGAAAATGTACGAAAACTAAGTTAGAGTATTTGTAGTGTACGAGAGATCGACAGATTCGTGTAGCGAAAAGAGGAAGACTGAGGAGAGACAGGGAATTGGGCGGGAATATACGAATGGAATAGATGGTAAGTCGATACATACCTACTATTCCATTGCGTATACTCTAACTGGAGAAGGGGAGAAGCATACGCAATAGGGTGAAGGGGCGAGGAATGCGGGTGGCGGTTAATAAGGTGAGGTGAATGTATACGCAATGGGATGGAGAGGTGGGGACTGGGGGGAGCACACGTAATGGAGTGGAGAAGTGGGGGATTATGAAGATGCATACGCAATTAAGTGAAGAAGCGTATGCAATGAGATGAAGGGGGACCGTACGTAATGGGGTGTCGGGATGGCAATTGAGGGGGTGCACGCTAGCATACCACGTAGGGGCGCTCCAGGAGCCGCGCCAGCAGCTGCGCCCTCCGCCGCGGCGCGGCCAGCAGCGCCCGCACGGCGCCCCACTCGGCGCGCGAGGGCAGCAGCGCCCACTCCTCGTCCCCCGCCCCGCCCGCCCCGCCCGGCCCAACCCCCTCGAACTCCCGCTCCAGCGCCTCGCACTCCTCCTCGCACTTCCACCGCGAAGAACAGTCTCTTAGAGAAAGGTGGCAACAGCCAGGGTTGCCGGCGATTGGTACACGTTTCTGCCCAGAACTCGCTTACCAACCCTGCGGATGTCTCGGCAGGGGTTCCGTAAAGGGGTTTTATCACCTGAATTAAAAGTGACCGCCGCTTCTCGGTATCTCCAACACCGGTGGGGTCGCTCGTCTGTTTTCAATCTATGAATAGACCGGCCTGAAGTGGAAGTATAATACGCTTGCGGCTGAGGTTACCGGAGCTAGGTTTTTTTTGCTCGCAAAGGCATGCAATGCCGCTGCTCTCGCGTAGATGTTGTCAATGGGTAACCGTAATCACTTAACATCAGGTGAACCACCTGATGATAAGCAAACTTGCTTAAGGCCTTGTCATAAAAATTCGCAAAACCCCGATTTTTTTTTTGGGCTGGATGTGCCACTGTTGGCCTTAGGGGCCTTTACAGTTCCGACGGGCTTGAGGTGGCCTGGCGCACGCGTAATAATAATACGCCTAGCCTGAACCTCGCGTATTATTATTACGCGTTATGGTGACTAAGTTCGAGGGCTCCCGGGGGAGCCTCGGCTCGGGCCGTCACGCTATTATTATTACCGGTTTGGGAGGCCGCCAAGCTCTTAGGGCGCTTTGGCGGGCGCTCCATGGAGTGACCAGGCTCAAGGGTACCCGAGAGGGGACCTCGGCTTGGGCCGTCACGCTATTATTATTACCGGTTTGGGAGGCCGCCAAGCTCTTAGGGCGCTTTGGCGGGCGCTCCATGGAGTGATCAGGCTCAAGGGTCCCCGCGAGGGGACCTCGGCTTGGGCCGTCACGCTATTATTATTACCGGTTTGGGAGGCCGCCAAGCTCTTAGGGCGCTTTGGCGGGCGCTCCATGGAGTGACCAGGCTCAAGGGTACCCGAGAGGGGACCTCGGCTTGGGCCGTCACGCTATTATTATTACCGGTTTGGGAGGCCGCCAAGCTCTTAGGGGGCGCTTTGGCGGGCGCTCCATGGAGTGACCAGGCTCAAGGGTACCCGAGAGGGGACCTCGGCTCGGGCCGTCACGCTATTATTATTACCGGTTTGGGAGGCCGCCAAGCTCTTAGGGCGCTTTGGCGGGCGCTCCATGGAGTGACCAGGCTCAAGGGTACCCGAGAGGGGACCTCGGCTTGGGCCGTCACGCTATTATTATTACCGGTTTGGGAGGCCGCCAAGCTCTTAGGGCGCTTTGGCGGGCGCTCCATGGAGTGATCAGGCTCAAGGGTCCCCGCGAGGGGACCTCGGCTTGGGCCGTCACGCTATTATTATTACCGGTTTGGGAGGCCGCCAAGCTCTTAGGGCGCTTTGGCGGGCGCTCCATGGAGTGACCAGGCTCAAGGGTACCCGAGAGGGGACCTCGGCTTGGGCCGTCACGCTATTATTATTACCGGTTTGGGAGGCCGCCAAGCTCTTAGGGCGCTTTGGCGGGCGCTCCATGGAGTGACCAGGCTCAAGGGTACCCGAGAGGGGACCTCGGCTCGGGCCGTCACGCTATTATTATTACCGGTTTGGGAGGCCGCCAAGCTCTTAGGGCGCTTTGGCGGGCGCTCCATGGAGTGACCAGGCTCAAGGGTACCCGAGAGGGGACCTCGGCTTGGGCCGTCACGCTATTATTATTACCGGTTTGGGAGGCCGCCAAGCTCTTAGGGCGCTTTGGCGGGCGCTCCATGGAGTGATCAGGCTCAAGGGTCCCCGAGAGGGGACCTCGGCTTGGGCCGTCACGCTATTATTATTACCGGTTTGGGAGGCCGCCAAGCTCTTAGGGCGCTTTGGCGGGCGCTCCATGGAGTGACCAGGCTCAAGGGTACCCGAGAGGGGACCTCGGCTCGGGCCGTCACGCTATTATTATTACCGGTTTGGGGCCGCCAAGCTCTTAGGGCGCTTTGGCGGGCGCTCCCCATGGAGTGACCAGGCTCAAGGGTACCCGAGAGGGGACCTCGGCTCGGGCCGTCACGCTATTATTATTACCGGTTTGGGAGGCCGCCAAGCTCTTAGGGCGCTTTGGCGGGCGCTCCATGGAGTGACCAGGCTCAAGGGTACCCGAGAGGGGACCTCGGCTTGGGCCGTCACGTTATTATTATTACCGGTTTGGGAGAAACCCCGAACAATACTTAATTTCATATAATAACAGCGTTAAATTAAAGTAACCTTTACAGACTTCAAATGTCGTTCATTATTTGTATTTAAAATCTTGTTAGGAAATTAATTCTATAAAAAAATTCTGCAAATTTTCAATACGACGTGATACCACTTAAAGGTTGTCTTTGACAAGGTATCACTTTAATTTCAATAAATCGTGTATTTAACAACTAAATAAGAAGATGTTGAATGTATTCCATAGAAGACGAAGATAGCTTCGTTCAGTGTCCTTCACATACAGCGCAATTGGAAGCAAACAACTCGATGAACAATGGTAACGCACGCGTTGCAAGGCCAGTTGCAGGTCGGCGGGCTGTGGTGGCGCATCGAGGCGATCCGCTCGGCGCAGCACGGCTGCCACCAGCGCGCTGCCACCGGCCTGCCCCACCCCACCGTCGCCACCAGCCTCGTCCACTTCGCACACCACTCTGTACACACGCGTCAGTCAGTGCTGGGGATGTCGAAAGTATATAATACATCGATATATCATATAACAGAAATCGATATACATCCAAGAGAAAATGTCCACATATCGGATGTAGGTCCTAGAAACACCTATGTAATATAAAAAGGTCAAGTATTAGATATTTAACGCCTACGGGCTCTGTGGCGGATTATAATTCGAAAAAATAACGTTTTTTATACCATTTTCGATATTGATTAGTTTATATCGATATATAGATATTTTTTTGACATCCCTAGTCAGCATTCGACACTCCGATACGGAGTACTATCGTTCACCGCGGACGCGAATAAGATTGGAAAAATTTGTTTCGATACAAAATATATTGAAATTAGTGAACAGGCAATGTATAGACTTGTGAATGTTTAAAAAATAATTCTGTATTCCGTACTTTGGTAAAATAATTTTCATATATATGTTTTGCACAAGTCTCTATTTCATGATATGTTCATATTTTTAACTACTTTCGAACTGAAGATAATTACGGTGGGCCCATAGTAATTATCTTCAGGTCAAGCACCCCAAGGTTGTCTGATGATAGAAAGCGCTGTCTTCGCTATTTTATATTTTTTGAAAAAAAAAAAGAATATTATTTTTATAAACAGATACACAGTTTTATGGTTGTCAACGCATCCGCAAACCCGCGGGTGAAATAGATGTCCATGGGCTGCAGTACTCACTTAACATCAGGTGAACCGTCTGCTCGCTTGAAAACTTTTCACACAGAAAAAAAATTCGCCAACGAAACGCAGAAGTACAACACTACCACTTAACGCCGGCCTATTGTGAGGTCGCGGTACTTCCCCGGACGGAGCTGGCCATTCGTGCAACGGCGAACAGTCGCGTGGCCGCCACGTGGCCCCACCTGGCGATGTAGAGCAGGTGGCAGTGCGGGGCGCCCTCGTCGGCGAGCGCCGCTCGGAGCGCGTGTTTCGCCCCGCGCAGGGCCCTGTGCGGGGCGCCCCCCAGCGCCCCTTCGAGGCGCGCCCACTCGGCGAAGGGCAGGGGCGCCCCGCCCGCGGCCCGCTTCAGCAGCGCGCGCGCCTCGCCCCTCACGCGGCGCGCCTCGACCTCGTCCGCCCCCGCCAGCGCGAGCGCGCGCAGCCAGCGCAGCCGCCAGCAGAGCAGCGCCTCCCGCCGCGCCCCGCCCGCCCACGACCAGCACGCCTCCCACAGCGCGCCCACCCAGCTCAGATACCCTGCTGGCCCGAAGGTAAAACGGGAGCATATTGATCAGACTCCGCTGCCTGTCCGTCCGTCTGTCGCCAAGCTGTATCTCATGTACAGTGATAGACAGTTGGAATTTTCAAAGATAGTGTGTTTCCGTTGCCGCTATAACGACAAATACTAGAAAACGGAATAAAAAATATTTAAGTGTTGCTCCAATGATTACATGTTCTTCTTTTTGCCGTTTTTATAAGTAATGGTAGGAAAACCTCCGTGCGCGAGTCCCACTCGCACTTGGCCGGTTTTTTTCCTCGTTATGGGAAAAAGGACATAAGCGGCAGGTTCATCACTTAACACCATGTATACCGCATCGCTGCTTAAAATAAAAATAAAAATCCACCGAACACCCAATCACAACTGAGCGTTGTCAGTCGTTGAAGGGATCGGGGTGATGTAGAAGTATCGCACAGTTGAGGTCAACCGCAAAACGAGTTCATTGATCGTTACCAAGCGTCGATTTTATGCGGGGCGGCGCAAATGTCATCACGCTGAGTCGCAATTTAAATCAACACCGTGGCACAGTTGCCAAGGTTGCACACGCGGGACAACTATCTGCGTGACGCACAGATAACATAATCCGGCAGAAAGGGTATTGTTTTGGCTTAAAGGCCTCGTTACCAGGCTATAAAATCTTTCTTATAGCCGTTATCTCAATTGAGTGTCCATGCACTTACGTTGAATCATATATAAAAATACTCTCATATAGAGTCTCATTAAACTTTATATGCCTTTTAATGTTAAAATATCCACAAATTAATGACGTTTTAATGTGAATTCGTTTATCTACCCATCAGTACGAGCACCAAGAGAGCGCGGCGATAGTACAGTCGATAATAATAATAATCAGGGCATCGCGGTCACCTTGGTCGTCGGCGAAGTAGTGGGGCGGGTCGAGGAAGTGGGCGAGCAGAAGGCGCGCGGGGGCGGGGCGCGCGTGGGCGGGGTGCGCGGGGGGCAGGAGGCGCGCCTCCGCCGCCAGGGGCAGCAGCCCCTCCGCGCACTCGCCGCTGAAGCCCAGCGCGCCGGGCGCGCCCCAGCCGGCGCCGCACAGCAGCGGCACCTGTCGCCGAACGGCTCTCGCAACGACTTGGCTAACGGACCTATCTGGCCGCACTTGGCTACGTGTCAGCCGAATTATCATGCCACAGTTGACTCCGTGGCAGCATACCTATCTGGCCGCAGTTGGCTATATGTCAACAGAACTATCAGGCCGCAGTTGGATATGTGTTAGCGGCCTCACAAGTCAAGGTTGACGGCTCAGTCGACGGTAACATGACTCAATAGTCGTTGTGACATGTGTATAGGTTTAGATTTTCTTTATATGCACAAATGTGTTTATCGAATATAAATTATAACATCTGCAGTACTTTTCAATAAAAAAAAAAAATCTAGGCGATACGCTAAGGTCACAACAGTCGCAACTTCGTATTTATGGGGTTCAGGAATTTTCCTAAAACTTGATATAATTTAATAACAAAAATGTATAAACTACTTGATACTGATAAAAGAGAACGTATGAATGAGGCGTGCAATTGACGCCGTTTCGTGATTATGTCGAGTTTAGCTCGTGCATGGAGTCTTTAAAGAGCCAAAAGCTCACCTTGGCGAGCATGAGCATCCTAACGGAGAGGCGGAACAGCTGGTGAGGGTCCGCCACCGGCTGCAGCAGCTCTGCCACGTCGTGTGGCAGCGGCCGCCGCTGCGGGTCGCCCTCGTCCTCCTCCTCGTCGGTGGCAGGGCGCCAGCGCGTGGCAGCGCGGGCCCGCTCCACGCGCACCCACACGGCGCTCAGCGGCAGACCGCTGGCTATGGCCTATGTGAACCAACTTGGCCTCTTCGAGCCTAGGCCAACAGAGCCCGGGGTCCAGGAGCCAGCCTGGTCTGGTGAAAGGCGGTCCAAGGGCTCCAGGAACCAACTTGGCCCCTTTAACATCGACATCTATCTAAATAGAATATCGGTATGTACCTCGATATACCGATGAGAAAATATCGACATATCGGATGTAGTAGTCTTTGACTGGGTTATTAGAATAAAATTTCGTTTTTGATACGATTTTCGATATTGAATACTTTGTATCGATATATCGGCGCCAAATGTATCGGCTGAAAATATGGAAATAATTACTTGGCATGTAGTACTTGGAACCCTCGACCATGGACTGACCTGGTCTTCGATGTCTCTAAGGCGCTGTTCGCAGCGCCGCCGCTGCTCGCGGTCCACCGGCGGCGGGAAGGGCGCCGGCGGGAAGTTCATGGCCGCCACCAGCTCGATCAGCTGCACCAGCTGCTCCCACAGCCCGCCCGCGCGAATGAACAGCCCTGGGGACACACGCCGGCCCTCCTCAGCCTGTTAGAGCCCACTGCTGGACATGCCCCCCCCCCCCCCTCCCACCAGCATCCATCGACTTCCCGCACACTTGCACAGGTCGTCACTCCATCTAGTGGGGGGGGGGGGAGGTGCTACAGTGCGATGGCTTCATTTCTTCCCTTGATATAAAACACTTGATACAGTTTAAAACAACTGTATTATCAGAAAATTAATAAACAACTTGATACTGATAAATGACAACGCGTGACATGCTTGATGACTGACAGCGAACTGCGAACTTAATGCCGAATATCTTTGTTCTATTACGGATATCTTCGTTGCGAACTCTGGCACGCAGAGAAATACGGAGCGTAGCTGGCTCCATAGCTCACTGAGCGATTTTGAGCCTCCTCACCTCCTCCACATCAATTTATAAAAACAGCTAAAGTATGCTCGGGTCACTATATAAAGTGTGGACACATACCAGCCCACGCCTGTTTTAACGTCGCGTTGTATGTTACACGTACTGTTCTTCGATGGAATGCTAAATTATCGGAGATATTTTTTTATGACGTGATCCGAAAAATGTACTACAGGTACTAAGTAACTTACAAATATATTTTTCGTAAAAAAAAGACATCATAGAAATGTAAAACTATGTTCAGCAAACAACTTTTTTACTAGTAATGGAAATCCAATCTTTTCTTTCTGGCACAGAAGCTAGGTTTACTATTCCCTATGCCAATGGGGGTTTCTAGTAATAAGTCTCGATGTTTTAGATAAAGTCTAAGGAAGGAGAGGTCTAATTTTCCAGTTACCATCAAACACACCATGACCTCAAATATACCGTACACATAGACCGTAAAATAACACCTGTAAGGTTGCAGATGCGTTGCCACCTTATAAGCAGAAGTATAACACTTGCACATCACGCCGATCTTCAGTGAGGTCGTGGTTACTGTGTTACATGTGATTCCCCCGGGTTTGTGCGTGTGTTGATCGTGTGAAAAGGGGGTGCGCTGTGGGGGAAATGGTTACAACCACATGGCCCTACCGAAATGGTAGAGGAGGTCGGGGTAGGCGCTCGGCAGGGGCCGCATGTCGGCCAGGGCTGCGCCGGCGACGGTGGTGACAGCCCTGGTGCTGGCGTCCGGCGCCGAGCCCAGCACGTTCATCAGCTCAATCCACAACTCCAGGCGGACATCCATGTCTCGCTCTGCGACGTTACGAACACAGTTTGAAGTTAACATTGCGTGGCTTTATGTGGTAGTAGTATAAGGAACATAAGTATAATAAAATGTTATTACTATCTTTTTATGTGAGGTGTCAAGTTAGCTGGCGGTTCACCCGATGTTAAGTGATAACCGCCACCCGTCGACAATACCCGTTTGCAGATGCGTTGTCACCTTTTATCAATGAAGTGGGCCACGGCTATCACGCTCACCAAACGAGACGCAGAAGTGTAACACTTCCGTTTCACGCCGGTCTTCTGAAAGGTGGTGGTAGTTGCCTGCCCATTCGTGAAACAGCGAAGACTGTTGTGTAACCCTACCAAAGTTAATGGTTTATCTCACCCTTTTTTTTATTTTTTTTTTATTTTAACAAAGTAACTACAGACTCGTGGTCCGTACTCTTTTTTGATTAACGTCTTTTTTTTTGTAAATTTTCTTTTTTTTTTGGGCTCTCACCGCCCGTTTCATTTATCTCACCCTTATCCCCCTTTAGGTGACGCGGCGAGGTGTTAGTGGAATTATTGGCTAGGATAGATCTATGTTCTTCGACCGGCCGCCTGCTAGGCTTAGCCCTCTTTGGGAACACACAACATGAACAATTATGCGTTGTACTTGTCCCGCGCCGGGCGTCGAAACCACGACGCCCGGCGCCGAAGCCAATAATTTAACAATTGCGCCATCCCTTTTATGTAAAATGTTACTCAAGCGAGCAGGCGGTTCACACGAGGTGAATACCGTCACCCATCCACAACACCTGAAGGCTTACAAACGCGTTGACAACTTTAAAATACTGACGAAACTCAAAAGTATTATACTTCCACTTCTCGCTGGTTTTCTGTTAGGTCGAGTCTGCCCATTCGTACGTAGGTAAGATAGGTATTAAATGAAATGACAAAAAATATATTAAGTAAAATAAAAGAAAACCAATATGATTAAATTGGTTCCCAGTTATGGGACAGATTTGTCCCATTACTGGGGAAGGCCTCCTCTGTACAGCATGTTAAAGGTTAATCCACCACGCAAAACCACTGCGGATTGGCGAGCTCCACCTATTTTCGAAATATTTTTGTTATTATTTCGAAAATATGCACATCATAATGATAATAGCCCGTGAGCGCATGACAAGTCAGCACTTAAAATTAACAATTTCATTGGTGCTGGCACCGAGGATCAAAATCACGTTGCTCGAGTATATTGAATTAAAAGCGGGCCCGGACAATGAGCTATCACGGCTAGCAAAAAGGTCTAAAAAACATACGATTAACTTGCTTGTTTCTTCTTTAAAAAAAACCTAGTTTTAAAACCTGCTAGCAAAAGTGGTCCTTGAACAGTTTGTAGTCTACACCAGGGGTGAGCAACCTTTTTAATCAATGGGCCAATTTAAATTTAAAATTTTTTTGGCGGGCCGCACATAATAACTTACGAAACTTTATTTATAATAAATATTAGAATTATAAGATATAAAATTAAAAAAAAATAAAAATTTTAATGCAAGGTAAAAACAAACAAGAAAAGAACAGAAAAACAAACAAAAATATTTCGATTCAGTATGTACTACACATTTTATTATAATTTATTTTATAACAATATATTGAAGGGGAGGAATTGGATAAAATAAATTCAATTTTAGAAATGCGTAGCGTGCCGCATAAACATGTTTAAGCGGCCCGCGCGTTGCTCATCCTTGGTCTACACTCTACAATGACCGATAGTTTTAAAACATGCTAACAAAAGTGTGCCTTGAAAAGTTTGTAGAGTCTACAGTTCTACACTGACCGGTGGTGAGAGACTTTCGTAGGCGCTCCGCGTAGGGCTGGGTGGAGAGTGAGCGGCGTAGCGCGTCGTAGAGGCGCGCGCGTAGCCTACGCGAGTGGCCCGCGCGCTCTACCGCCAGCTCTGCCGCGTCCACCGCCTCTTGCTCCGTGCCGCATCGTTCCTACGACAGCGGCTCGAATTCTAGACCACCCTACCAGATACCTGATCCTATCTGTGGGTAAAAAGAGTGAGCCGAAGCCGTCCATCTGAACCTTACCCAATGTCACTTGTCATCGGCAAATATCATGTAATTTATTTCCCGCAACAAACATTGCATAATTACGAGAAAACTGGATCAAATGAAGCAAATAATCTATATCTTCTTCTTGTATAATTATATAAAAATTGCTGTTCGTTAGTCTCGCTAAAACTCGAGAACGGCTAGACCGATTTGGCTAATTTTTTGAAATATATGTGGCAGTCCAGGGAAGGTTTAAACGATGAGAAATTATGAAATAATTGCATGGAAAATCGAAATAGCAACAATTTTACTTTCCCATACAACGGTACCTGTCAACTATGCCGTGTAACCTGTCAAAAACTTTATGCGCGCGTACCGATTCCTCTAGAAATAATTTATATGGCAAAACAACGTTTGCCGAGTCAGCTAGTATATAAACAGCTAAATAAATATACAGATAGCAGGCCTATGTTTAGCAGTGGACTGAAACAGGCTGAAATTATGATGATGATGAATATAATAATATTTATGCCAGGAAAAATTGACAAATTATGTACTTACTTTTCTTATTATTATAGATTTTTATATAAATCCTACGTATTTCAGCACAGATTAATAGACGTGGAAAACTCGATTGTAAAGAAGTTCCTTTAGCAGTATATTATCTATTTATTTATACATTTTAAAACATTGCCCCTTCCCTGTAGGATAACACTATCCTCTGATGTAAGGACGTTTTACATACAAAAATTTCACGTGGACGATCAACCAGATACGAAACAAGCATTGGCAAATGCACCATGGATATCATTGACTGGCGTATTAAATTTTCGTGACGTTTCGGTTGTGACGGAGAATTCTTGCACCTTTATTCGCCTTGATCCCATGCTACAAATCCGTACTGTGCGATAAGGAACCAAGCACCAAAATATGAATTTCAAAAATCTCACGTGAGATTAAACATCATATCACAAAGAAGGGTTGAGAAAACGCCAAAACCACCTCACCTAATTGATGTATTACAAAAACGAAATCAAAAATTAAAATGATGTATTCATCAACAGGTAAGAAACATACTCATATATTGATTGTATTTTTTTTATCTACCATTGTTTCGTAATGAGATGATACTAACGGAGAAGAAACAGGCTCAAGAAACTCCGCAGGTATACTCTTTATTATATTTTTTTTTTTTAATTATCATACAACTGTTTTCTTTTCTTACTTTTAGAAATGGCTCGTGATCGATTAACTCATTCCCGGGGGTAATTGTCATTAATGTAAAAAAAAATGAACCATTCTGCTGTTTTTATGTAAAAAATAGAAGGAAAATAATTCAACTGATGTCAGTAGACTTATTTTCCTTCTAGAATATGCTGTTAACATAGAGGAGTAAGGGTCGGAGTACCATGAAGTCGATGTATCGCTCCCATAGGGCCACATCGCGCGGCGTCTCCTCCAGGAGGCGGCGGTAGGAGGCCGCGCGCTCGGCCACTGCCGCGGCCTCCGGCTCGTCGGGCACCCGCCGCCGGAAGTAGCGGCGGCGGGGCCCGCGCTCCGCGCCCCCGCGCCCCCCCACGCCCAGCCGCGACCCGCCGCACTCGTATCTACGCGGGCCGTGGGCGTGCCGTCAGACGCGGCTTATGAGAAGCTGCCAGGCCAACACCCGTAGGGTTGCGGATGCGTTGCGATATATAATAAAGTGGGCCCCAGCTACCTCACTCACCAGATGAAACGCAGAAGTCTAACACTTCCACTCCACGCCGGTCTTCTATGAAGTTGTGGTGCTTACCTGCACGGACCTGCTCATTCATGCAATAAATTCAATAAAATATGAATGAATGAATAAAATACATAATGAATGTACTGTTCTCATGATTATGATATAAGTTTTTGTTTGTCTATACTAGCATATGTATAAATAGATAATTCTGTATTATAGACTATTTTATTTATACAGATGTGGTTTGGATCTTTTATAAATAAAAAAAATACTATAATAACTATACACCATGACTTTAAATATACTTTCTATTGCCTATTTCTAACATCAGTCAATCATTGTCAACATGGACCAAGGGCAGAGTCGAAACAGTAAACTAATGATCTTTGATAAACAGACAAACTATAAGTGCACACCACTGACTCGGGTACAAACCCACAACCTGAGATTGCAAGTTTGTTATGGTCTTAGCAAAAAAAAATTTAAATTAGTAAATTAGCAAGTAATGATGATGCTATACGCTTGAAATACATAAATTTTGGACCTATTTTATTTTATAAATATTAATACAAATTAAATTTAAAAAAATATTATAATTACTTTATTAAAGTACTACTGTATTGTGTATCTCAACCTCATCAAAAATAAGGTAAAAATATGTTTCTTCTTAAATTTTTTTTTGCAAAATCTAAAAATCTTTGATAAATTTTACTTCATAATTATTATTTCAACATATTTCTCTATTGATTAAAAGCAAAGGGTTATGGAAAATGACCGTGCCACTAATCAAAACGTTGAATTGTCTTTGACATTTATTTTCTTGTAGTATTCTATGTTATTGTATCCCACAAAGTACAAGCATGTTACAACAATTGTATACAACAATGTTCTTTGCAGTGATTTTTGTTTAGCATATGACATTGCAAGTTCTAAGTAAAGGATACAGTAATGAATGAAATAAACATTTCCTTTACATAATGCAACCAAAGAAAATGAAATCATGAAACTCACTGCGGTCGGCCCGGATAATACAAAGTGGAAACCCTTAGATTACCACAATCCATTTTACAGTCCACATAAAAGTCCTCATTGGCTGCCTTATCATAGGTTACGTCAGGTTTCGGCACTACATGCACACTGGTGTCACTTTCATCTTCTGTATCACTTGCGAGAAGCTGAGCTTCCATTGCGTCATTGGTCTCTTGTACAGTTTGCATATTAACATCCCACCGTACTGTTAAAAATAAATAAAAAGTTATATTTGGTGTTGAATTTGTCTTAACAGATAAATCCGAAATATAAAATGCCGTATTTATATATGTTTAATATATATCCAAAATACATTTGCTTGCACACCTTGCTCATCGTTTTCGTTAGACTCTGCCGCTACTTTACTAGCATAGGCTGGGAAAAGAGCCATGATAAAATTCTAATAAAAATGCTTCTTTTAAGAAAAATAAACACTGTTTTGTTCGATTTAATGGAATGACTTGAATGACATTTTACAACAAGTTCGACTTTGACAGATATGGTAGCGTTAACAGCTAGCTTTATATCTTTACTGGATCTGTTCATTCTTATTCCTTTTCTCTCAATTTATGCATTATTTATCATTTCTTCATACGTTTACGATATTTTTACAAATTATTTTCTTAAACATAAATAAATGCAACAGTAACTTACAGCCAACGTTTTAGTTAAATGTATTTTATAATAAAATTGGCCGTAAGTTCATGCCAGCATACCTATTGACAAACAAAAGATATCGCAATACTGACTGACACATACTGAACAACAAGTAAGTAAATAAGAAATTGAACGTATATAGTTTGTACATACTTTGTAATTGTATTGTATTGTGGTTGTATGCGTATGCTATATGACAATCGTCGTAACTAGGTATATACTATTATATTAATACAGTGATGTTTACATTAGATGAATAGTTTCACTGATAACTAGGACAGTAATAATAATTATTATCATTTGTTTTTTGTACTTAGATTCACTTAATTCAGTCCGATAAAGAATTTGTAAGACATTTGTGCAGTAAAAGGTATTATACTTCGAATAGCCGATATCAAGAAAAATAATTGAACTTCCATTTTGTATAGATAAATAGTAAGTGATATAAACTTGTTTAAACAATCTTAAAGTTAAAAACCTTGAATATGTACCCAAGTGTTTTATTTATTTTACGTGGTACGGTATTTAAGTCCGATACTAAACTTCGGTATGCAAAGCCGATTTTCGGCATCAACTCCAAGCTTTATAGCAATGTAAGTACAACTATGCTTACAGTAAATGTTTTAATAGTTCTGCAGATATATGTTGTGCTACTATTTAAGAAATTTGTCTGTCGTAGGCTGCCAACACGACAAATATTTCTGTTGCGAGCCCTGCGACGGTGAAATCGGCGCCACTCAGCGACCTTCTGGGGCGACGTCATGATTATTTACGCATATCACTTACGGAGCGGTGTAATTTACGATGTACATAAAATCATTGTTATTAGTCAGTTACTCAAGTAAATTCATGTCCAATATTCATAATTTATGGTTTACGCAGGTCAGTACTGTATGCCGGCCGAAGGTGTGCCTCTGACGCCTCGCTCAAAGCTATTAACACGAGATGAACTACTACGACTCGTAAATGTGTTTGCCGGTCTCGGTGTACACAAGCTACGGCTTACCGGTGGGGAGCCTACATTGCGATCCGATTTGGCCGAAATCATCCGTATGTATCACTTTAAATATAAGGAGTAAAAGCTTTATAACAATATAAATAAAACAAAATAAGCAAATAATTGCCCCAATTATGATTGATCTCCTTTTATTAGAACTGTACCATTCAGAATATTTTTACTTATTAATTTTTAACTGACAATGAAAAATACTTTCTAAATTGAGCAGATGGGAAATGAACTGGCAGTTCACCTGATGTTAAGTGATAAGTGCCGCCCGTGGACATTTACAATACCCCTAGATAGCTAGCTAGATGCATTGCCACCTTATAATAAAGTGAAACTCACTCACTCACTCACTAGACAAAATGCAAGAGTATCACATTTCCACTTTTCGGTTTTCTGTGAGGATGTGGACTTAATCAGTGTATGTAATGCAATGCCACTGTGGATTGCAAGATTCATTGGTGCCAGCACTGGGATTCGAACTCAGATTGCTCAAGTAAATTAAATTAAAAGGGAGGGCTGACACATAGCTCTCACTGCTCAATAAATTTTATTATATTAAAACATATTATGCTTTTGCAAGTTGTGTTAATATAGAATGTCCTTTACAAATATACAGGAAGATTTTTTGAGAAGTGCCCAAATTTTCACAGGAGGTTCAGACTCGGTAGTATAATCGTTTATTGAAATGAAAAACAAAGTTTTTTTTTTTCAAAAAAATGCCATTCTATTCCCTAAAAACAGAACGTGTTGAAAATGCATGTGTCATTCATAAATACCTAAATTTTACTGTGCACGAACTTGTGTGCGTATTAGTTATGAATGATCGCGCGTAAAATAAATGAGTTACGTATAAATCACGCACTTTATGCGATAAGTTCAAATGAATGTAATCAATTGCTTACGAGTGATTTTAAATATTTATCATTTTTATATAACATTATTTATGTCTAGAATTTAACAAAAAAAAAGGAAAACACTTAGAAAAGCCACCCTGTATAAGGTTGTTTCCTGCACAACAAATGTATCATTGTCTACAAACATATTCCATTTCAGAGGAGCTAAGCAGTGTGCAGGGTATTCGGACTGTTTCCATGACCACCAATGGATTGGTACTGACGCGGCGGCTGCCTGCGCTTCAACGTGCGGGGCTCGCGGCAATCAACGTATCTCTAGACTCCCTGCGGGCCGAACGCTACGAGAAAATGGCGCGCCGACCGGTCAGCCACACAACCAAACAACTCCCACCTTTGTACATGTCAGCTTACACATAGGGATTATGTTTGCGAATGTCATAGTGCAATAAGTATATATATATATTTTTTTTTGCTCATAGGAAATTCTTATTATTTATTAACCATGCAACAGTTTCTGTTGTTTCATAGGCCGGCTTGTCTAGTAGAAGACCGTAGCAAGCCAGCTTATGAATTTTGTTTTTCTTTTTGTTTAGTAAGAGAGATTACTGGGTACTACTAGTGTACTTCAGAAAGGCCTCATAAAATTAGAATGGATTTATAGTAGTAAAGTCACAGCCTATACATGTCCATGGCAAAAGCCTCTATACAGAGGTTATCAGGGCATAGTCAACCACGCGACCCATATTGTATTAAAGGCGAGAGCCCGAACACTGGGCTATCACGGCTCTTTGGATGTCCCACATTCATGGTCAAGGGACAGACAGTATTGACCTATAGGTCATTACACGTTCATGGTTATGACAATGAACGCTCAAAATTAGAATTTCTTTTTTATTCCATAAGAGTTGGTACATTGAAATATTATTTATTTATTTATAATGATCAACACATCTACAAAGAATCTATATTGATAATAAAACACAATTAAAAAATTTGTCAATGAAATATTGCTAATTAACCTTTTTTATCTTACTAACATTGCCAATACATTAATTATTCCTATTATAATAGATGAACTGACTTGTATTTGAACCAGGGACTGCCTAAAGTGCTCGCCGGCATCGACCTGGCGCTCCAACTGGGATATCGCCCCGTTAAAGTGAACACTGTGCTAATGCGAGGTGTGCTCCGCTGCTTAAATGTTGTATTTGTTTATGGCGAGCGTGTTTTGAAACCCCCTTCGAACCATTTCAGGATTCAACGACGATGAGATATGCGACTTCGTCGAGTTCACGCGCGACCGCGAGGTGGAAGTGAGGTATTGTCCTCTTTCTTACTTTCAATAACAATATCTTTCCTGGATTTGTGCACTTACGAATTGACCAACTTGTGTAGGAAATATACTTCAACTTAAAAAAAAAACACCAAAATAAATATTGAATTCTTAACAAACAAGATGAAGAGTATGAAGGTTTTTATATAGTGTTTATTGCTCAGTTTTTTTTTTGTAAGGATATGTACCTATATGTAAATGGAACTACTTATGTTTATTATATAGCACTATACTCATCATTGATGTACTAAGAGAAAATTTTTGCAGGTTCATCGAGTTTATGCCTTTCTCGGGCAACCGTTGGGACGATTCAGTGATGGTGCCACACGATGAGGCTCTGCAAGCGGTTCGCAAGCGCTACCCGCGCCTTGCACCCGCCAAGCTGCGAAAATGTGACACCGCTATGGTACTACTGCATACCTCATACCTCACGACAGCAACCGCTTATGTCTCAAGACAAGAACTGCTCACGACTCACGACAAAAACTGCTCACGTCTCACGATCAGAACTGCTCACATCTAACGATCAGGACTGCTCACTTCTCACGATCAGAACTGCTCATGTCTCACGACCAAATTTAATCAAGCCTAACAAGAACTGGTCACAACAGAAGCTATTGATATCCCACGACAAGATCTGTAATAGGTACACACCACTCATTAGAAATATGCATGTGTAGTGATAAAAAATCATTTATCTTTATTACTTAGTATGAATTTTCATATAAAATAAATGAACGTGTAACTTTATTCAGGTGTGGCAAGTTGAAGGTCATTTGGGAAGCGTCGGCTTCATATCGTCGATGACTCGCCCCTTCTGCTCGACCTGTAACCGTTTACGTCTCACTGCGGACGGCAACCTTAAGGTGTGTGTTTTGTGCGATAACTAGGTTAGCACATCAACAAGCAATTTTTTTTAATTTAACATTGCCCTTTCTTTAGGATAACATAATCCTATTTTGTAAGGACGTTTTATAAACATAAATTTCACGTGGATAACACCCAGATGCGGAACAACTGTGTCTGTGGGTCACGCTAATAATTGTCGCGTGTGGGAATCGAACAGACGACCCCCGACGTCGTAACCAATACCTTGGCAACTGCGTCACGGAGTAATTCAATCCAATATTACGTACCGTTAATGGAGGTTATCTCTATATTTATCTATATTCAGTTATTGCATCCAGTTGTTTACGTTATTCTCCAATAAATTAAATAAATAAAAATTAATGTAAAAAAACCTTATGCTTTCTGTAAGTTGTATTGTAAAAGGAACAAAAGGCAATGAAAAAAGAAACAAAACATGCAGATATTTACAGTTGTTCCCTCAACTAACGCCACTAAGAACAAATCTGTTATTTACTGGTAGTACCAGTAATTGTAGACCTATTACAATTATTGAGGGCACATCGCTGAATAAAACATTATAAAAATGCAAAAATAAGTACAATCTTTTTTTTTATGTGAAAAATTGCCAAACGAGCAGGTGTTAACCTTATGTTAAGTGAATACCACCGCCCATGGACATCTGTTACACCCGAGGGTTTGCAGATGCGTTGACAACCTTTTGAAAATTAAGCTCCGGCCACCTCACTCACCAGACCTAAAGAGCCGTGATAGCTCAGTGTGCGGACGCTCACCTTTGATTCAATATACTCGAGCAACCTGAGTTCGATCCCCGGTGCCGGCACCAATGAAATTGTTAATTTCAAGTGCTGAATTATCACGTGCTCAGCGGTGAAGGAAAACATCGTGAGGAAACAGTTGGGCTGCGTGGTGTGCCCTGATACCCTCTGTACAGGAGGCCTTTGCCCAGCAGTGGGACATGTATAGGCTGATACTTTACTTACGCCGGTCTTCTGTGAGGTCGTACGAGCCTGCCCATTCGTGCAACAGCCGGGGCTGCTTAAATGCTTTAAATCTTGAGTTATTGGAGATAAAGAACATCAAATGTTGCAGGTATGCCTGTTTGGTTCATCGGAGGTGTCTCTAGCGGCCGCGATTCGAGAGGGCGCGGTTGACTCCGAGCTGAGGACTTTGGTTCGAGCCGCGCTTCGCAACAAGAAGCCGCAGCACGCTGGTAACGACACCCACCCACCCGCATAACACCCCACCTTCACCCGTTTTGTGTAAATAACTTCACTGTGGCAGGATACCGCAACAGCTTCTGCTATACAGGTACTGTACAGGCAAGTACATGGGGGGAAGTACTGAACTTCCCCCCGGGTGTTGTAGATGTGCTGTACAGGCTGGGCAGGTACATCTGGGGAAGTACCGAACTTTCACCCGGGCGTTTAGATGAGAAGTGGATTGCCTGCTCGCTAGACAAGTTTGCACATAAATAAAAAGCTTGTCCCTTGCCACTTCATACATGTTACATCAACTAGCACCCCCACCTCCTTCATCCATTTGGCCGGGAAATATAACAGTACAATTATTTAACATTCAAAAGGGCACCCCATAATAACCCCAATACATCTCATTCTGGAACCTTTGAAACGACATTTGCATTGGTCGTGGTATCATACTAAGTGGTCATCTGGTATCATTTGGTATGATGGGCTATCGATTACAATCAACATTTACGAGGAATGATTTGATTTCTATTATTGATATATGTTATACGATTTGGTTTCGTCTTATTAATTCTCATCTATCAGTATGCCGCTTGCTGCGTGACGGGTTAATTGCCACTGATTTATGGTCGCACCACCTACCCTCCACATTCATCGCACCATCCGTTATCTCCAAGTTCGCGCATATACATATCTGATCGCCGAAATGACCCATGACATATAACAAAACAATTTATTGTTGACTGTTCGTGTCATGTGTTTAAAACAGGTTTACAGGTCACGGTCCTTAGTTAATTTCCTTAGCTTTGCATTCGTTTATGTTGAAATTGGTGAAAACTAACAGGACTAACTATTCATGTCATGTCATTTAAAAAACAAAAATAATATCATTCTTTGCTGCTTTGTCTCCGTATGGCATACAATAAATATGGACAAGTGTAGGTCCTTGTGTGAAAGTGTAGTAAAGTAAAAAATTAAACCAAATAATAATAGTTTTTATGTATAAGCTTTACGCACTTAACGCCATTAGATTCCATCATTATTGCTTCGCATAAAGTGTATCATGGTTGTTGTTAATTAAAAGCTGCTTTAAAGTTCTACGCAAATTCTAAAAAAATGTAAAAAGATACTCAATAACTGACAATTAAATTTGGTCGTAGATATTTCGCATACATACATTGTTATTATCGCAATATGGTGTTGAACGTGTTGATTCCGTTATCCATTTTTTTTTTTCTTAGTGGTCTAGTGAAGAATTCATCATCTTCGTCATTAGGTCTCAGCGTCCTTCGTTTGCGTCACGGTACTCTCCGCGCTATAGAACGTGGTCTGACATTTTATAGGCATGCAGAATCTCGCGCGCATGGAGAATCGGCCAATGATACTGATAGGGGGCTAGCGGGTGGGCGGCCCTTTGATGTGGAGAGATGTGGAACGTTCACAGCGCGCGGACCGCGGGCGGGCGTGCGGGCGGCCAAGTGGGGCGTCGCTTCCGCCGGCGGTGCATCGTACCGCACGCCCCTTCCACCCACTGGCGGGGCGACGCCCCTCGCGCACCTGGCGTTCGGCGGCGGTGCATCGTACCTCGCGCGGCCGGACGCCCGCCCCCTCTGCACCGGCCCCGACGGCGGCGCGCCGGCCCTGACGCACCTGGACGCGAACGGGCGCGCGCGGATGGTGGACGTGGGCGGTAAGGCGACGAGCGAGCGCAGCGCCGAGGCGGAGTGCTTCGTTCGCATGTCGGCGCGGCTGCTGCGGCTGCTGAGGGACGCGCGGCTGCCGAAGGGCGACGCGCTCACCGTGGCGCAGGTGGCGGGCGCGCTGGCCGCCAAGCGAACGGCCGAGCTGATCCCGCTGTGCCACTCGCTGCCGCTGGAGGTCGCGCGGGTGCGCGTGCGCCTGCCGAGGGGCGAGTGCGCGCACGGCGGCGCCGCCCGCGTCAGCTGCGAGGTGAGGGCCACGGCGCGCACCGGCGTGGAGATGGAGGCGCTCACCGGCGCCGCGCTCGCCGCGCTGGCCCTCTACGACATGTGCAAGTCCGTCGACCGCCACATGACGGTGACGGACTTGCGCGTCGTGCGGAAGTCGGGCGGCGCGCACGACTTCGACTCGACGCAGACGCCGACGGCGGCCGAGCCGGAGGCCGCGCCCCGCCTGCGCGCCCACGACACCTCGCCCCTCAAGTCCGACGAGACGTACGTGCCGACGAACCTGAGCCACTTCTAACTCCCTTTGGCCGAGGCGGCTAAGTTGTGGACATTCCATGACTATAGACTGATAGATTGCAAACTGCGTTTTATTTGGTTAGTGTTAAAAATCGAATATTAGTGATATAAGAGCTTACAGTAAACATTTGCCGGTTTTTGGACAGGTTTTGGTGCTATTTAAATTTACTAATGTTCTTATTTATCTTCTCAAGTTTAGTTAGTCATACTGAATACTCCATGTCCAATGTACATACCATCCTTTAATAATCAATTCATGAATTTTATCAGTTTTTGTTCACTTTTCTCATACTGAGTTAGTTATAGAATCAATCTTGAATTTCCTGTAAAATGTCACCATATGAAATATTGAAGGTAAAACCTTTGCTTACTAATATGTATGATGTAAGTTTTTAATGATATTATAACTTTTAAGTTTTTTTGTTTATATTTTATTAAAGCTTTAAAAAAGTAGTTGTTTTCGGAATATTATGAAGTTGGCTTTAAAACATATTATGTTGTATTTAAGTAACACTGTCAGTGAAAACAAAAAAAAATATTTGGATAAATCATGAGCATGCTTAAATTACTCTACTATAAAAAATATATATGAAAAATCAGTGATTTTCAAATAATCTACCTGTAGTAATCTTCAAAAGTTATTTATTTACAATGAAAAATAAAATTGAAAAGCACTGTTTTGTATGAAGATATACATATTCTACTCCTAATGAGAGGACAATTATATAAAAATATGAAGTATGTAGTATAGAAAAATGTGACTGTTTATAGTTTTATATTTTTTACATCACTAAAATGGGAACAAGAGTTTTGTACTTAGAAAAAATAAATAAAAAGTTTTTAGAAATGTTAGTTTTATTTATTCAGCAATTTTGTGTATTTATATAAAAAAGCAGCATATATTTTAAATAGCAGTCCTGAACATTCATAATACAGTTCTTAACTTTATAACAATAGGTAAAGTTCCAATTTATTCCACATCTATTATTCTGTGAGCAAGTTAAACTTTTCAGGTTGCATGGAAGATTTTATATTTATCAAAGATGTTTCCCTAAACCTATATTGATATAAACTTAAAGATATACTTTAAGACAAATCTTTGACAACAAATACTAAAGTTGGTGATCTTGTAAACTTAATACACATTAAGTCTTCCTTCACTGTAACAAGTATTATCCAACATCCTTGCACCACACATCCTACATGCTGATCGATAAGGAATAAACTATATGAAAAGATGATACTGTTTCTCACATGCTGGTTTTAAATTCTTCAAGGGTCTTTCTTCAAAAATCACTCAGTAAAACATAATTATTTGTTCTTTAGGCGAGTAGTGAAAACAATAAATAATAGGCATAATCACAACATGATAGTTATGATTATGCAAGAACAACATCATGCAAGCTGGTGTGACTGCAATAAGAGTTCAATATTGAGGTTAAACAAAAATCATTCACTCGAAACCAGCACATTCGATTTGATGGGTTGCTCGGGCTCGGATTCTGGAGGCTTGTCGCCGCGCTGTACTCTGATGTCATAGGTTTCGATATATTCATTTATCTCTTGTCCCTTGCGAGTGAGCTGCTCGTTGAGTGCTTGGATAGCTTTGGGCAGTCGCTCCTGATTGTTCTCCAACTCTGGGAGTACGTCTCCCACGGTCCGCTCCACGAGAATACCGCCTATCATGCGAAAACATTTACGTGTCTTCTCTACAGCTTTAAGCGTTTCGATGACGATCCTGGGGATAAAAATCATGGCTTAGTCAACGCTTCCCGCAACACAAGCACAGTCTGAACACTGGAATTCGACTTACTTGTGTTCGTTCAGGTCCATCTCGAGTTCGGATATTTTACTCGCCAACTGCCTTTGTTCGCTTCGTAAATTTTGGAAACCGGCAAATATTTCTTCTGGAGTTTTTCCCTTAACTTTATTATCATTATTTGCAGCCATAGTAATTAGTTTTTAATATTACGAAAGTTTTTTAGGTTATATTTATTGTACTATGAATGTCAACTTATTTTACATAATATACCCAACGCCGAAATTATTGGTATTGTTTATAATGTAATTGATCACTCGCAAGATATTCTTAATGCTATTTCTATTTAGATTTTAAGAAATATCTAACAGGTGAATTCATGACAAATTATTTTTTTCCAGAGACAAAAATAACAGAGAGGCCATGATATTTTATCCGTCCAGCCACAGCTTTTTTTAAACGGCATTATTCTCTTTTAGAATCTATTTTTCTCTTAAATAAGTTTTGAAGTTATACGTCGTTTTACGAGAAAATATGAGAGAAAAATTTTTACGGTGCCCGCGCACGGAAACAGCCCAAAAACTGACCGTAGTATTACTTTATGTTGATTGGTAATCTCATAATAGAATATATACTCTTTTGATGTCAACTCGGACCTGTTTGATTTATGTGTTATGTTTGAATTACTTTAAATTTGGAATGTTAGTTTTATTTGTTCAGACTGAATTGTGTCATATTCACAGAACTTTTTTACTCAAAAAGTGGTCATATTTGATTGATTCCGTAAAAATCGTTTGGAGAAGTAACATGTCTAGCTATATGACATAACTCTTGTATTTTATATAAATTTCATAATGATTAAAAAAAAAATAAAGTAACAGCCTATACATGTCCCACTGCTGGGCAAAGGCCTCCTCTATACAAAGGGTATCAGGGCATAGTCCACCACGGGGCCCCACTGCGGATTAGCGGACTTCACATATCTTCGAAAAATATTTTTTTTTGTTATTATTTCGAAAATATGCAGGTTTCCTCACGATGTTTTCCTTCACCGCGGAGCACGTGATAAGTCAGCACTTAAAGTTAAAAACTTCATTGGTGCCGGCACCGGGGATCGAACTCAGGTTGCTCGAGTATATTGAAATAAAGGCAATTCAAGACTTTACTCTATAAAACTGACATGATGAAGTTGGTCGCTTTTAGAGATGGGTCTAAAATTAATAAGCTGCTAAATTAACGCTGCTAATTTTTTTTAGTGTCAACACCTATTAAATAAATTCTGAGATAGTTGTTAAATATAGTAGTCACAACTCTCACGAAAACAGATAAAAATAATGGCAGCGGATCGTGAATGGTAGATGTGGCTAATGGGATCATTTTCAAACCAACAAGACACTTAAGGACTGATAAGAAAACTATTTATTTCAACAAATTTCACTACTGCAGGCCGCAGCGCAGGACGACAAAACAAAGGATAGGAAAGGACGCGATGACAATGATGTTCGTTCCGTCTCTCTCTATTGAATTGTTTTCGACTTAGCAACTGCAAACTGTTAATTTTCTGTTCAGTGTTCACTACAGATTGTTATTTAGTCGAGTTGATTTAAGTAACTGTTGAATTTGGAAATCTTATATTTAATTAGTGTTAAATAAAGACTGATCATTTACTGATTACTAGATAACTAACACGTAAATATACATAATTTACGTGTGTGTTATCAAGGAAGAAATCGATGTAAATAAATTGATTCACATTTTAAATACGCCACCAGAAAAACTTGACAGTCCTAAGCCTATGAAAAGTATGAAGGAAATGAGAATTATTTATGTAAAAATCTGTCAGTGATGAATTTAACAGTTGCTAAAAATAACTGCTGATTTTAAGTTTTAATTATTATTAGCATTTAGCAGTATTTGCGCTTTGCAACTTCGACCAAATTTAGCAAAGAGAATGTAATCACAACGTTTGAAATTTACGATGGAAACCAATAACAACTGTTTGACATTTACATAGAATTCCAAGTAATTTATTCAAAACGTTGTTGATTGCATTTTATTTCTTTTTAACAAAAAGAGTACAGGCACAGTTGATATAATTTTTATTTAATTAAGATATAACGTGTATTTATTTTTAAATCAAACGTGCGATTTCTAAACCAAAAAGCGGTGTGTAGACCCACGACCTTGTCTTACAGTTACCTTTTTATCATAGTCCTTAAACTTTCTAACTTTATTAATTATTCGTACGGGAACCCCACGGACCCCTACAATTATTGCTCCAATGTCAAAAAAAAATCAAAATTTAATGTCAAAACTTGACATTTGATTGAATTGACAGGTTAGATGATTGGGTATCTCAGCTTTTATTTGTTTATTAAAATTTGTGAAGTAAACGACTAATCGTGAACATTTTGTTAAACTTTAGAAAGCCAATGTTATATACATGAATATTATTAGTAAAGGCTGGCAAAAGTGTATGTTTCGATCACAATGAAATTGGAAGATACTGCAGTGATCCGGGAGTGGGAAAGTAGAGAATTAGCAGGGGCGGATGTGATCGGGGCGGACGATAGACGACAGCGACTGAGCGTTGTGGCCGGCACCAGTGGCGGAAAACCTGGGGATGAGGGTACATTGCTGCTCAGCGAGGCTGGGACACCGCTACGTACCTGGCCCTTGCACACTGTGCGCTTGATCAGCGACTTACCTGTAAGAGTAGATTTTTTTAGCTAACTTTCTGTTCAGTATTTAGATCCAGCATAAGATTATAGTAACAATCAGATCGCAATTTGATGACTCTGTCCCTGAGCTTAGTACTATACATAGTAAGCATTATAATAACCTAAAGAGATGTTAGATGTTATACAGCGTGTCTTTACCATTGCGACAATAAATGAACACATGTCTAAGGCTACTTGCCAATAATCATAAAAAAAATAAACATAAAAAAAAATCGTAATTAAAAAAAATTTTTTTTTTCAAATAAACTAATTAAGTAAAAAAGAAACAAAATTTGTAACATCCTATACAACTACAACTGGCTGATTCATACATTCAGAGACTTTTTCATTCGTTGCCACAGCGTCGCATTACAAGCCTCACCTTCTAACAGTATGTTTTGTCTCTTTTAAAGTCATTCAACCCATTCATATGCTTTGTGACCTTTACAAATCATATGAATGGGTTGAATGAATTGAAATGATTTATGGGTTGAAATGCATCTAAGTAATATGCAATGTTGTTACATATTTATCTGATTATTATTCTTTGTCTTATATTAATTAAGTATAATTTAACTTAGCCAAAATCTTTAAGAGTACTTCCTCGCACAAACTGTTACAAAACACAATCCTGAGCCACCTACTGAGAATCAATATAATGTATATAATTGTGAAACTTAATCATAGTATAAAAATCACTAACAAATATTAGAATCAATAAAATCACAAATAATTTTTATTTGCCATTTTTATTTAATTACTACCACAAAAAATTTTTCTACATCCATAAATTAGGATCCGTTTAGGGAAAATTTTGAAAAAACACTGCTGTGTCCTCCTTATTCTTCTTTTTTCTTGAAAACTATACTTGTTCTGATTGAATTGCGATAGTGATTTCCATAGATATTTATTGTTGATGCATGATTAGCTTAACACTTTGTTTTACTTTAGAATGGTTCTACACTTCCCAACAATCCCTACAACTCATTCAAGAGTTGAGTTGGTGAAAATTACAAATATTCACATTCGCTGATCCTTTCATCTCTTGCTTTTGTTGTTACAGTTTTCTTAAGTTGCGTTCTCTGTAAAATGTACACTAGGATGGCACTCTGAGCCTGGAGGCGGGCGCGGAGACCCACACGTGGCGCTGTATGGAGGAGGGGGCGCGACGCTCGCTCTCTCGCGCTCTGAGCGCCGGGGAGCCGTTAGCTGAGGCGGCGCTCGCTGCTTTGCTGGATGACGAGGCGGCCGACGAGCCCGACGCCGAGCAGTGGGTGCGACGCTTGGCCGAGCGGCTGGCGCGCCTCGACGCTCTCAACGTGGCCGGGATGCTCGCCGCCGCCACGGAAGGAGGGGGCGCGCGACTCGCCGAAAGACTAGAGGTTTGTTCGCTTCCCTTAAGGTTGAATTCCTAGAGGTGTGTTCGCTTCCTTTAAGGTCGAATTCCTATCGATTGTAACTCGGTCGGACGGAGAGCTTGGTGGTGAAGTTGGGCGTATTCTTTAACTTTATTGTCGGTTATAGAGCGAACAGTTTTATATTGAATGGCTAGTGCCTGTTTTATTTTTAACCTGTTTTCGTTCATATCCAAAATATCTTTATTCAAATAGACGCTTGCGCGTCCTCCTGAAACGTCGAATTTTACATAAATAATTAATATATAAGTTCGTAAGTTACCATTCATTCATTTACATTATACATTTATATAGAACAGGTGACGAATGAAGTATTATATGGAAGTTTGCAAGCAAACAAAATGTCACGGCGTCCGGGGAAATGGATAATGTGAAATTTACCACCCCACCAGTCCAGCCAGTTAAATTGGTGGTATCCGCTCCGCAACAGCAGGGGGTTTGCAGGTGCACAGACAACGTTACAAAGCGTAAACGAGCTTCTTGGATCAACAAGGGCGAGAACATTTTACCGGCTATCGATACAAGTAAAATAACATGGATACGTCCTAATGACCAGACGCGCGACCCTACCCAACGCGGAGAGCCGTATCGAGCTCGTGGGCTCTGACTAGCCCACAAGCCTAGCTCTGCGTTCGATGACGCTTCATTGGTTGGATTGAAAAGAGCCGTATCGAGCTTGTCGGCTCTGGCCAGCCCAGAGACCCAGCTCTGCGTTCGATGACGCTTCATTGGTGTACGGACTGAAAGCAGACATAAGTAAAAGATGCTGAAGCGATGGCTCAACAGGCGGGCAGCACGGCCGGGGCGCAGCTGGGGGCAAGACTGGCGAGGTACGAATCAGCGGCGAGGGCGGCACGTGGCCCCGCCGCCCGTTCCGAGGCAGCGCGTGCAGACGCCTCCTCAAGGGCCCTCCTGGCCTACCTCCAGCGCCTCTACCAATGGCTCGACGCGCCCCCCTTGCGGGACCTCGACTCGATATCCGAGGTACCTCGCCCGTTGCTGCTATTCTTGTCGTTTATTATTACTTTTTTTAATCTAATTGTTTAGGTTGTAATTGTTTTTTTTTTGTTATTTAGCTTTATACTTTCTGATCATTAATGATTTGCCTATTAGAGGAAACTTAACAGATGTTTGTAAAAGTTTTTATAATAATTATAAGCGAGGTGTTTACTGTATGTTTCCCAAATAAATAAATGAATAAAATTAAATTCAAACACACATAACTTCACAAAGCAGTGATAGCTTCAATTGAAACAAAGCAGTGATAAATTCAATTCAATAGCACCATTAGTTCAGATTAAGATGCTGGCACTAATGGAACAGTTAATTGAAATTTTAATGACTGGCTGATCCCGTGCTCGGGATGATGAACGGCGATGAAAAGCATCGTGAGAAAACAAGTATATTTTCGAAATAGTAATAATAAAAAAATGTTTCTATTCCGGTTATAGTAATGAATTGGATAACTCAAAAGAATTTTACTTATTAAATAAAACGTAATTGACTCGCTATACATCGTTCAAATATTCCGCTTTATTATCGCCAGCACAGAGCCCCAACAACGCATCTATACTCATACTAACATATAGGTGACCAAACATACAATTATAATTATTAGATGAACTTTGCCCGTAGATATCGCTGGCGACGGCTGAGGGGCGGGCGCGGGCGTTGGAGGCGGCCGAGGCGCTGCGGGGGGCGCTCCGGGGGGGCGCGGGGCTGGTGGCGGGGGCGGAGGGGCCCGAGAGGCGGCTGGGGGCGGTGCGCGAGAGGTTGCGCAGGCTGGCGAGGGCGCGCGAGCAGCTCGCCGCGGCACTCGCGCGCCATCTGAACAACGCGCTCATACATCTGGGCAACGCCGCGCAAGAGGCGGCGGAGGCGCAGGAGGCGCGCCGCCACCACGCCGACCTCCTGCCCTACGCGCCCTTCATGCGCTGGCTGAAGGACATGGACGAGAAGGCGTACGAGGGCCTCGTCAAGGTCGGCACGGCTGGCTAACTGGCCTGTAGTTAGATTTATCAGGTGTTTTTAGGTGAAAGTTTGGAAGATACAAACGTACAATATTTTTACTTTATGTTGATGTGATCTTAAGCACATACAATATTTTTTGTTATATTCTTGCAATAATTTATACCTGTTTATCTGAGCGTTAATCTAAGGGTATTTTCTTATATTTAGTGTGGAAAGGAGTTGAGTCGTAAGTCCCAATGAGGGAATTCCCTGTTGAGGTCTTCCCTTCGAAAACATTGCCCCCTTACTGCAGGATAACATAATCGTGTGTTTTTACACACACAAATTTCACGCGGCCAAACACCACGCAAAACAGTTATCCTGTGTCCGAATCGAAACCCACGACCGCTGGTTAGCGGCCGGTTTTAATATTCTATCGACAGATAAATTTGGTTACCAGCGGTTATTTTTTGACATCATCTCCATAATACTTACGCCAAAATTCTATCTCTATTAACGAAATCTGTCTGTAGATTGTATATTGATTCCGGCCGTAAGCCAATACCGCCAAGGAGTCTTCAATCTAGGGCATGGATGTTTTTTTCTTTATAAAAAACCGGCTTTATTGCAGGATTACATGATCCTGCGTTGCAAGGACGTTTCACACACACAAATCCAAATTGGACATCCAACACCCAGATCCGAAACAATGATCCGTGTGTCTCACAAATAATTGTCCCTGCGGGAATCGAACCCACGACGCCCGGCTGAGCCAATACCTAGGCAATGGGCAGGTTCGGAAAGGGGAAGTTCGTGGTACTTCTCACGTCTCAGAAGACCGGCGTGAAGTGGAAGTGTTACACTTCTGAGTTTGGCTTGACGAGTAAGGTGGCCGGTTCCCACTTAATTGAGAGGTGGCAACGCATCTTTAACCCTACGGGTGCTGCAAAAAAAAAGGGATCATCGATCTCTGGTTCGGGCATAGAGGTTTGGAACGCGCAGGTGTACGTGGGCACGTGGGCGCGGGTGCACGAGCGCAGCGTCCGCTCCGCCTGCGAGGGGGCGCGCGCATCGCTCGCCGCCGCCCCCCCGGAGAAAGCGGAACAGCTACTGGACGAGGTACACACCACGGACTCCCAACTTGGAGCTCGCTTCCTTAGTTTGGGATGAAAAAAATTACAACGGAAGCTTTTCAGGTGGTAAACTCGAACTGAAACCCCCTAAATGTCTCTCATTTTGGAAGTATCTGTTTGAATTTAATGACTTTTAGTAAGTTTTTGAATGGCTACATGAACAGTTATACACATGTACATGTGTTATACACATGTACATGTGTATAACTGTTCATGTAGCAATTACATGGTAGCACTGGTATACACTCCCAGGCCCTCGCAGCTGACGCCCTGGAGCGTGGAAGGATCCTCTCCTCAGATTCAGAAGTCACCTTCGCGATGGGTCATTTAAACCTCACAGTGCACAAACTAGTTGATTTATTAAGAAAAACGTCGTGAGGAAACCTACTTATTTTTTTTATTTATCTTAAAAACATTTTTTTTATATTTTATTGTAAGGACGTTTTAAAAACATTTGACAAACACCCAGATGCGAAACAACTTTAGGATAATATTATTCTGTGTTGTAAGGACGCAACTGCGCCACGGACTTTACAAACATAAAAAATTTCCAAGCGCCGAGTGAAACACCCAGATGCGAAACAACCACCTGTGGGTCAAACAAAATAGTTGTCCCGTGTGGGAATCGACGGGCCTGCCCACGTGCAACAGCCGAGGCTGCTTCGTGGCCCTATCACCGTTAAATGATAATAAAAAGATATGCGAAGTCAGCCAATACGCAGTGGGGCCGCGTGGTAGACGATGCCCTGATAGCCTCTGTATAGTGGAGGCCTTTACCCAGCAGTGGGTTTTGGCACTTTTGGTTTATATATCGTATTTTTTCTAATAAAGGCTGTATATTTAATAATCAAAGTATTGGCCATTATTGTCGATCCAGTTTTGTTATTTTAATATATTCCCATGCTTCGACTGTAGATCTTGGGGATGAGGATCAATGGACTATCAACCTGAAACTTTTACCTCGTAAAATTACTAATCTTTATTAACTCAAGTATGAAAAATCGGTAAAGTTACAGTTAGGGACTTAACATTTACTCCCTATGCATTTGTAGAAGTATATGCCAATGATTTTGTTACTCAATTGGTTGACAGGTGCTCAATTTGGTTGAGGACCTCTGCAACGCTGAGCAAGACTTCTGCACGCAGTTCTTCCACCTAGATGTAGACGTGAAGGTATGTTACGCCGATGGGTTACACGTAAAGACATGGGTACAGACTATGAGAAAATTATACAGGGTGATTTTTGAGACGAAGTAACTTACTTTGACATAATGGTAATTGAGCATTCCATAATTCAAAAAAAAAATATTAATATTTTATTTTGACAAGAAATAACCAGAAAAATATCAATTCAAACATTGTTAGTTTATCCCGTTAAAATAGTCACCCTGTTGCTTATGGTTTACTAATTATGCGTTCAACGAACAATTTTAGTGCTCATGAATAGGTGATTGTATAGAGACGGTAAGGCAGGAATTTCTAATAGGGTGTCCATAATGTTTGAAAAAACATTAAAAATAGTCTGAAAAAAAAAATGAGATCACAAGTACGTACCGGATTCAGATTCTGAATCAAATTCAGAAAAAACTTACATTACAAAATATATTACTTCAATCAGTGATATTATTTACAAATACGAGGTAGATATGACACTAAGGCGTTCAAATTACTCGAATTGGTGTTAGATTGCAATTCTATAGACTGATCTCTCCGCACCATAGCATCTGTCACATTCACTTGTATATGTCATATAATGTAAAGCGGAACAATTTTTAACCGTCGCGCAGTATGCACATACGTCATCTATATTATTAAACGCCATTGATTATGGCCATCTGCTACTAGCTGAGCTTTATTCTATTGCTTGTATTTCCTCGTTCAGAGCGAAAGTAGCGATGGCGAGCGCAGCGAGAAGAGCGACGGGGGCGATAGGGGGGAGGGGTGCAGGCGGGGGGCGGAGACGCGCCGCTTCATGGGCGAGCTCTTCCCCACCCTGGAGAGTGAGCTGGTGGCCCTGGTAGGCCACATGGAGCGCAACGAGCCCTAGTAAGCTCACTTCACCTGGACGATGTCCCATAATGTGTCCTTGAACATTCACCCAAAATGTACCCATTTTTTGTGTGGGTGATTGGCAAGCGAGGTAGGGCCATGCTACCGCTTCTGCTGTTGCATGAATGGGCAGGCGCGGGGAAGTATCACGGCCTGACAGAAGACTGGCGTGAAGTTGAACATTTATACTTTGGCCTTTCTGTTGTCGTCTGTTTGTTGTTATTGTGTTGTTAGTTTGTAGCTATCGGAGACAATATTAGTCAACGTAACATTTATAGCATGCACTTCTCTTCAAAGCCCAGGTTGAAATATCTCTATTTGTACCGACGTACTGATTCAAGCTCTTAGGAATGCGTAGTTCCATGAACGTCTAGAACACCTTGAGTATACAATCGCTTTTCCAACCCGCGTGTTCCGTTAACGTCTCCACGAAACGCAAATGCGTAAACAGTTCCGCTTCAAGGTCTTTCGTGAAGCTTTGGCTGCTGAAGCTGCTGTAAAGCCCCCCGACAGTGGAAGATAGACCACTCGAAGGCGCCGTGTCGGGCTCTTGTATAGCCCCACTACAGTGGAAGATACGCCACTCGAAGGCACCGTTTCGGGCTTTTGTATAGCCCCCTCGAGAGTGGAAGATAGACTACTCGAAGGCGCCGTGTCGGGCTCTTGTATAGCCCCACTACAGTGGAAGATACACCACTCGAAGGCACCGTGTCGGGCTTTTGTATAGCCCCCCCGACAGTGGAAGATAGACCACTCGAAGGCGCCGTGTCGGGCTCTTGTATAGCCCCACTACAGTGGAAGATACACCACTCGAAGGCGCCGTGTCGGGCTTTCGTAGAAAGACAGACCACTCGAAGGGGGAGTGTTTGCGCTTTGCAGTGGTGCGATGCGCGCCCTCGCGTGCGCTGGGCGGCGCGTTCTGGGCGAGGGGGGCCGCGAGGGGGGCGAGGAGGGGCGCTGGTGGCGGGCCCTGCTGGCGGCCGTGGCGGTGGCAGCCAAGCGCGGCGCGGACAGGGCGGTGGCGGAGCGGCTGGCCGCGCTGCCGGACGCCGTGAAGCAGGCCTCGCGCCGCCCCAAGTGCGGCGTGCTCGGGTTCGTGCACGAGCTGGAGGAGATGGCGGCGGCGTGCGAGTCGATCTTCGCTCGCGGCGGGCGGCGCGCCGACCTGGAGCGCTGGTACCTGGCGCTGGGCGGGGCGATGCTGCGCGCCGTGCAGCGGGCGGACCACCCGCGAACGCCTCGCGCTGTCGTGCAGATGGGTGAGTGCGGCTGGACTCGGTCACTGCTCGATTCCTCGCGTTGGGGCTAACTCCTAACACCGGTTAAGATGATATAAATGGTAATATAATTTATTAGAAAACTTTTGTTACACCTGTTTCACTCTTTCCTTGTGCACACATGTTTTTCTTTTACAATTGTTAGCCGCAAATAAAATATCATAGATGACAGACGTTCGTTTATTTTAAGGCAGTGTGACAACCCGTAATCAACCTTATTACCAAAACATATGGTCCTTCGAGCCGGATCCCAATCGACTACCTGCTTTGGGTCAGCGGCTCATCGAAGAACAATAGAAGCCGAGTCCATCAGCGATAAGAAGCGGACAGTGCAATTTTTATGCAATAATTAACGCACAACGTGATAACACACATTACGTTAAGAACTTTGATATAGTTAAAATGATACTGATAAAATGATATTTATGATATGATAATTAGGTATGATATTTTGAGAAGGCGTGGTTTTCTTGATGACCGAACGTGAATTGATTGATTGTCGCGGTATATTTTAATGCTTACAACGTATTGATGGACTTTAGGTCGAAAGTGCAAACAAAGCTGTTTGGTTCAATAGTGAACCGAACACCTCGCCTTAATATTAAATGACTGCCGCTCATTGATATGTAGATCAGTTGAGGGGTTGCAGATGGCCTGACACTTCACTTACAAGACTAAACATAAAACTATAACACTTTCACTACAGGTCGGTCGTCTGTGAAGTCGTGAAACATCCTGGCGATTCACCTGATGTTATGCGATAACAGTCGCCCCTGAACATTTGCAACACTCATTCTATGAGTCTTCCTGGAAATATGAGAACACGAAGGTGTGCCTCCTCAGGTCTCCTCTCCCGGGGTACTAAGACCCGTTTCAGCAGTACGGTGCTATGCCACCGCAGAGAGACACCCCTTAACTGTCGCCCGGGGGCTCATTATCATGAGGGATAGTTGCACGCGTAACCCAGTGGTCTCTGGCGGTGGATATCCAGGGTGGCAGTTGCATCAAGACAGAACACTAAAACTACAGACACCGCCGTACGATGCATCATCAATACCCTCTCTGCGAGACGTATCGTCCATCATAAAGTGTGAAAACTGGCCATCACTAATGATGATGGTGACTGACAGAGAACTACCACCGGCTGCACGCGGTGATCTCGTCCCTGCGGGCGCCCGCGCTGGACTCGCTACGGCGCGAGTGCAAAGCGCGCTACGCGGACGCGCTACGCGCCTACGTCACACAGTACTTCGGGAGGCCGCTCGACAAGCTGGCGCAGTTCTTCGAGGTACGTTTACTGCCGCGCCATCAAACAACATCTGCATTAGAATAATGTATGTGTGTGTGAGGTAAGAAGTTATACTTCTTTAGCCCAACATAAGAAGACTAACTAAAAATTGTAGTGTGCCAGTACTCTTTGTTTGTGAAAAAGATATTGAATGCAATTGATTTAATAAATTTGATCAAATAACTTGGAATTATAGGTAAATGTCAAAAAGTTGTTTGTTGGGGGTTCGTGGTGGTACCGTGAAGTTGATCGCTTATTGGCTGGCGGTGTGCGCGTGCATCGTAAAAATTTTACTTTCGTTATTACAATAAAATTGAAAACCTCCCTTTTGAAGAAGGTTGAGAATGAGAAATGAAGAAAACATTTTACTTTCCAACTGAGGAAAAAAGTACAAGAATTCCCATCTTCCAAAAGTTAAAGACACTGATAGTATGTAGTTATCTACTAGTTATCTATTTTATCGTGTCTGGTCAAATTTGAGAGAGCTTATAAGAATTTTGAAAAATTACGTTGGTATATGACGTGGATGTAAATATATTTTTTTCTATAAATTCAATAACGGTATAGATGGAATGAATCTAGTCCTTTTACATGTGTCAATTCTGTTACATTTTACATATCTAAGAATATTAAAAATTAAAAGCGGACTGTTTCTTTTGTTGCGACTTTGACTTGATTGTTTTCACCAATTGGTGACCGCTAGCAAGCGTCATCTGCGCATGTTTTCGTCGTATCTCACAATTGAAAGTATCCCGGTCCATTTCTCAGACCAAATGGCATATATTAATATAATATGAGTAACACCTTTATCATACAATAAAGTTCACGTTCAAAGTTTTTGATACCATTTGGGCTACCCTGTTACTTACAAACACTAACAGACTATGGACAATGTACCTAATTTTGTGTATTGTATGAAATAAAGATTATTATTATCAGTGAAATTTCTTCTGAATAAGAAAGCATGTTACTTTAACTGATGATTTGGGCTTCATTCCGTAGCTTATTACGGCCAAATAGGAGAGTTTGTCTCATACCTCTCATGCCAAGTGCATTCATCCAGGGTGTGGCAGAAGCCGTGGCGTCGGGAGTGCGAGAGGACGAAGTCTGCTACCGTGCCGCCTTCAGCAAGCACGAGCTGCGCCGCTTGCTGGCCATGTACCCAGCCCCCGAAGGTACCTTGCATGTCGCCTTTTTGTATGTGAAAAGTTCGCCGCCGCGGAAATCGAATCCACACCATTCAGATTCCATCACCACCACCACCTCACGGTGTTGACAAAAAAATGTTAACAAGTATCTAACGTTCGTTCTATTGCATTTTTAACAATGCTAAGCTGTATTTTATTACAATGCTTTTTTTTTTTAATTTTAAACTATGTCAATTGTTGAATTACCTCCGTCCGTTCCAGTTCGCAAGTCTCTGCACCGGCTGTATCGCACTGTGGAGAAGCACCTGAGCGAGGAGGGCGGCCTGCTGCAGGTGGTGTGGCGCGCCATGCAGGAGGAGTTCATCGCGCAGCACGTGGCGCTGCAGGTGAGGTGCTGCACACCTCACTGTGCAGCGTACCTACACGCTGTCCGGATGCACACCTCACTGTGCAGTGTACACGCTATCCGGCTCTCCCATCGTTACAGAGTTCTTTGTCGTGTGTGAAATGTTAGCAAGCAAGCGGGCAATTCACCTCATGTTAAGTGACTGCCACCGACCACATACTATTATTATCAGTGCCGGATTAAGCAAGCGCCCGTAGTGAATTCTTTCAAACAGCCTTTGATCTGCAATGGGTTCTTAAGTATAAAAACAATTCTATACTCTTACTTACTAGATATTCACTCAAAAAATTACGCTCAGACGGAGATGAGTGGGTTTAAAAATGCCGGACCCGTAGCAGTTGCTACTCTTGCTACGTGGTTAACCTGGCACTGATTTATTATACAAAATTTGTACATTTTTTTTGTTTGTGTTAGTTCAAACATCTAAAACAACCCTGTGATAGATGCATTAAGCCCGGTTCCTATATTCAACGAACTGCCGTTAGTTACATTGTCATTATGAAGTCGTTACTACGAGTCGTTATGAAAGTTATGTAACTAACAGCCATTCGCTGAATATAAGAACCGGGCATTAGTAACGTTGAAAACAGTGGGCCCTATTATCTCATTCGTGTAGAACTATAATACTTCCACTATACGCTGGTGCTCTATGACGCCGTGGTACCCAGACAGTCCTGCCTATTTTGTTGTGTCGCCGTCTCAAATAACAACGAACTGAACTAATCCAAAAAACAAAAACTCACAATAGAAGTGAAACTTCAAAAAAGTAACCTACGAGGGATTGAAATGAACATTAGAAGAGTATGACAAGTAAGATGATTGTAAGACTTATTTGTTTCATAATGTTTGTGCCAAGTTTAAAGGTTTTTTGAAATTTAAAAAAATTACATTACATAATATTCAGTCTGGCATGTTTAACTTTTAACAAACGACACGAGACACAATTCTCACATTAAAAAACTCTGTAGTGTATTCTATCTCACTCTCTCGCCGGCTTAATCCTATATATTTATATTTCTCTTTTTAATCGTCAGGCACGAATCGCGGCTTGCTACCCTGGGGCGGGGCTGGCGTTGCCGCTCAGCACCCAGGACATACTCGACGCGTTCTCCGACATCGCGCGCGAACACTGACACGATGTCGCGTCATGTCGTGACACATCGCGTCATGTCGTGACACATCGAGTCTGCTACCGTGCCGCGTTACATCGTGTCGCAGAACATCTCTGCCGTCGCATGCAATGCAAGGTCATTGTGTCAAGGCATATGTGGGCAAAATGTCTCAATGCAACATATTGGAGCACAGGGCAATTGGTGCCCGACAGATGGTAGTCTATTATCACATCGACCTAATGTGTTTGTTGTAAATAATGCAAATGATTATTTATATAAATGAATAGTTTTAAGAATATTATATTGTATAATGCATGTGTTTATGATTATGGAACTTGTTAAGCCTTATACCTATTTTTTTAATATCCAGTTTTTGTTAATTAAATTGAATTAACGGGTCGACAGATTATGTTTATTGTATAGAGATACAGTTTACACAATTTTTATAAAAAATACATGTTTTAATTATAGATAACAATAGTAATTGACAGTTTTAGATTATATTCTTTGTAATCACAAGTTAACTAATTACCATTAACTAAATGAAACTATCCGAAAGGCGCAGGTTTGAATTTTGACAGATGCGAAAAATGTTTTGGTGCAACAGCATTATCGACAAAAAAATTAAGATACCTTTACACATTTGTACAATAAAATGATGGTTACAATAAATCCCAGTCAAATCAAATCATAATGTCCAAACTTCTGTTTTTTCAAATAACTGGAAATATTTGTAATAAACTTTTTACTTGTAATTGGTTATATTATATTATTGCGAAATATATAATTATATGTACTACACATAAGAGATGACCATTGTATAAAGTTTGTGTAAATTACACATTTGTTTGAACAAGTCACATTTGTTTCAAAAAACTTAAAGAAAACCAACAAAAGCAGCAAATGTATTAAATGTACTATGGCTATTAAAAAAACAAATAATTTTAATTTAAATACTATTATTTATTGGAACTATATGGTTTTATTTTAATACATAATATTAACAATAACAATCAATTAATCCAGAGACTTGGGGGGACCATAGTTAAAGTACACCAAACCAGATGTCTTGGCCTGAAACAAAAAAATTAAATAATTCAATATTTAACAGTTGGAAAATCAATTTTTCAAAGTATAAAATGATTATAGGTAAACTTTGCAGTTGGGTCATTTAAGCATACATAGAGTTTGTCTTATTACTAATAATATATTACATTTTGCCTTAATTAATTACTATAGTTCACAATGGCCAGTGGAGGTTTTGTAGTCTTGGCTGCCTAGGGCAGCCAAGACTATGTAGTAAGTTCCAGCCGACCCTTTCTCAGCGCCCATCCATATATCTTGTTATCATCAGTGAAGTAATTACATAAACAGTAAATTAATGCTAATTTACATAGCTTCTTTTTAAGCAGTTGTCAGCAAGAAATTCTTTAAAAATATAGTGTTGAATAAATATTATAGACTCACGGAACCCGTGCCATGACAGTTTATAGTCCAATTTAAAATCTTAACTCTGATTGAGTACCAAGGTTTTTTTTATTTATGTGAGAAAGTTTGCATCATATAAAGTAAATACTGCTGCTTCTGGAGGTCAGCTCGATGTTTCCTGATACTTTGGCAACTTTAAAATAGTGGGCCTTCCTTACCAAACATATCTAACAAAAGGCAAGAGCATAGTCCTTGAACTTTATGCCGATCTCTGGTGAGGCTTCATAGTACTCCCCGTGATGAGTCTGAACATTGGACAACAGCAAAAGTTGCTGTGGGACTTAACAATATTAAGCCTTCGATAAGGTTTATCACATGATTAAAAAGTCTATATGCTAAGGTTTTATTTGAAACTTGTTAGTGCAGTCATCAGGTATTGCCTGCAGCGCTGGAGTTGTTTGTTTTATTCCCACAAAGGTTATGTATTTGTGTGACTAACTGATAATTGTGTCAGATCAGAGTGTTGATCCATGTGAACTTTATGTCAAAACCCCTTATGCCAAATATCTTTACAACACAGGATAATGTTATCCTACAGTAAGGGGGCAATTTTTTTGGAGGGAAGACAACAATAGATCTTTCTTTGTAGTGGTCTTTGGGATTTAGGGGTTACTTACCAAATGGGTTGGGCACCCCCTTCCGCACTAAATACAAGGTTTTAATTACTTAAAAGCTTATGATATAATATCATACCACAATTATTGAGACCGTTGTGAAGGCCAATCCGAATAACAGCGCAGAGTTGTAGCGGCGCTGGTTTGCATCATAGCGTGCCTGCCATGAGCCCTTGGGAACTGGAAGCTCATCCATGGTAGGAGGCTTGAATTCGCCTCCATGGTAGCGGCGGACTGCACATGAAAAATTGATGTCTTTAATTTTTTATTCTGTCAGAAAAAAAGAGCAAAATATAACATATTTACTTTTCATTGGGTGAAATAAAGACATTGGGGAAAACAATTTTAGCCTTTTCCTTATTTTGTATATACATCATAACCTTAATTATTACCTAAAGAATAGTGACAGACATAAAATAAACACTAGAAATAAGGACAAACTTACTACACCATTGTTTTGTCTACAATAAGTAAATAGGTTGTTCATGGGGCAAAGTGTGCACATGTATAATAAAATCCCACAGTCGATATTAAGTCAGCCGCTTGTAACGTTTCTATATGGGATGGTGTATAGTTAATGATGGGAAGATTTAATAAAAGATATATTAGCAGTTAAGAAGTTGTATTTATCCCTTCAGTTTAATGTTACAATCCCTGGACTAGCTCAGATACAATATATTTTCAAAATATAACAATAATAATGAGTTGGGCGCCTTGTCTGTTAGGAACAGACTGTTGTAATAAATACAATTAAGTATCTCAGGGAGTCGTGAGTACATAGGACCTACAAATTACTTTGTGCGACCATAAAAGGTTAAATAATTAAATTAATTTGAGATTATGAAAGTTATGCAATTCAATTCAAAAACAAAGTCCAATCAGGTAGTTATTTAAAATCTATGTCACCGCAGAGACATCTGCCCTGTGTGCACAGGTCAGCGTTGAGCTCAGAACCAGTAGAGAAAGTCAGGCCAAGTGTAGTGTGTACAGACACACTGTTGGGGGGGTATGTAGGAGACCTCCTGCCAACAAACACTAAATTGTAGAACTAACAAAGGCAGGGATTTGAATCCACCTACAATTATAAGATGTGAAAAACTTACCAACTGGAGGTAAAAAACAATATTTAATAGAGCAGCAGCTCAGACCAGCTTGCCAGCCACCTATGCCTTCAGCATCTACCTGTGATATTCGAAAAACCATACTTAGAAACACGAGACAATAAATTCTCAACCTACCTTTATGTGAGATTTCTAAATACATTCACAGTGCAAGTCTTTTACAATTTTAGTAGGAAACCAGTGAAAATAACAAAGGATCTTACCACGAGGGATAACAAATCCAGCACAGAGTTTCCCAGACAGCAATCAAAAATAATACGACCAGGAACGTGTTCTGATTTCAACCTCTAGCCATCCACTGTAAAAAAGCGAATTGATAAGAAAACGAAATACGTAAACAAAACAACCACTGGCATGAACAAAACCAAGCAACTACTTACCAGTCGAAGATAATGGATCCACAAAAACTAATTTATCCAATGTCAATTCGAAGCGGCGGCAATCTCAAATGACAAGTACGACCAAATGAAGTTAACTTTTACATTCGTCCTTTCGAACAGGCAAAGGTTCATATGACATGCAGCCTAGTCTTTAGAAAAACGACAATTTAGACAAAGTGATGAAATCACACGTTACAATATCCCCCAAGCACACCTTGATGAATTCACGGCTGTCCTCAGCCGTAAACTACTAAAACTGAAGAAAAACAGTAACTATCAAATATCAAAACAAATACTAAGATTAAAAGAAAACTACAAGTCTCAAGTCAATCTGAAAGAACAACTGAACAAACCTCAAAACAATGTTAACAGTCTCATCTAATAACTAAAGTAAAACATCCACCAGAAACAACTTTTAAGGAAAACCTCAACATCAAAATAAAACTTATCTATCTAAAAGACATGTGCTCGAATGAGAAAACTTTCAATAAATAAATTATACATTATTTATTTATTGAAAGTTTTCTCATTGGTGACGATTTTCTGGATCAATCACAATCAGCTCTTCCTGCATAAATTACATACATCATAGTAATATAAATAATTCCCTAATAATACACATATATTCCACTATCGCAACCATCCCTATCAGACCATAGAAAGAAACCAAAGAAATAGAAAAGAAAATGAAGAAAAGAGTCAGCAGTCATCATAAGTCTCACAAACACTACCTTCCAACAACAACCTTGCATAATTCCATCAACCACATAACCATGTTTACTGTTTATTGCAATAAATATTAAGTTATGTAAATTATAATAAATATATATTGATACTAAATATATGTGTAAACCATATTCATATTATTCACTCCCCAACTAGTGATTAATAACCCTAATCTGACTATACAGTTCGCCTTTTCAATATAAGACTAACTGAAATCACTGTCTTTGAGTCACCCATTTTTTACAATTATGACTGACTCGTGACAATCCCCTATCACTAGTCAAGTATTGAGTGAAAAACAAATACATAAATAATATCTAATGTGAATGAGTTAGCATAACTTTAGGCTTATTTAAAGAGTTGCTAACCACTCTGTAAGAAAAATGCTACTCGAATGTTTAAGACTACCAAAATTATGTAGGTTTTAAGGCTTATTTAACGAGTTACCTACCACCGCTCACTATTGTTCACTATGGCAATTATAAATAGATAATTATTATAATTTTACATATATAAACAATGTTACGATATAACTTCACAATTATTTTTTTTTTCACTCGAGACAGTCCCCTTACCTATCTACAGTATTCCTAACCTAATCCAAATTATTTCCATCTTTTACATTTCCATTACAGTAATCATTCCCTTGCATAACCTGCACCTAGGACACAAACTAACACAGCCTAACCTGTGGTCCGAGGGCTAGTCACCAAAATTAACTAATATTTCCTGCTAATTACATTTCCTTTTCAGTAATCATTCCATTGAATAACCTGCGCCTAGGACACAAACTAACACAGCCTAACCTGTGGTCCGAGGGTTAATCCTCAACAAGAAAAAATAACTCAAATAAATTGTATTTAAAACAAGAGTTATTATAGCAACAGACCACAAAAATTTGTCTCTCAAGTACAGCTACAAATTATTACATAACCAGGCTTACAAACGACTTCAACAACGGACATTTCCGCTCACAGCAGTCAAATTATCTGCCAAGAGCAGCCAATTCTGCCAACAGCAGCCAATTCTACCAACAGCAGCCAAATCTTCCACAAATCCACCCTATTAGCAACAGAATCAAAAAATTAAAACACCTATTAACACAACTAGCTGTAATTACCTACCTTATTATTACAGCCAGACTACAAGCTTCATTCAAGTCACTATTAAAATTTCCTATTTACACACCTACACTCCCCTTAAATTAAATTTAACATTATTTAGCCTACTGTAAAATACTTAATTTTTTAATTTTAAGTCTTTAATATGCCAAATCCCAGCATCTTGATGCCTTCTCGTTAAATTGTAATATTTAGCATTCTTATCATAAGACATTTTTCTTAACACCAGCTAATTGCTTTATTTTTATAATTCAATTTTGCAAGTTATAAAGATCTTTAAATCCTATATTATTTATGGTCGCAGTCAGTTTACACTTTTCCATTAGTAAGTTATAGTTATAATATTGTTATACCTTAATAACATATCATCAAGTCAATACATTTACAAAACTTTTTCAAACTTTTAATTATTTTTGTTAAAATGACTGTAAACAGAACAACCACTGGCATGAACAAAACCAAGCAACTACTTACCAGTCGAAGATAATGGATCAACAAAAACTAATTTATCCAATGTCAATTCGAAGCGGCGGCACTCTCAAATGACAAGTACGACCAAATGAAGTTAACTTTTACATTCGTCCTTTCGAACAGGCAAAGGTTCATATGACATGCAGCCTAGTCTTTAGAAAAACGACAATTTAGACAAAGTGATGAAATCACACGTTACACACTTGACCAATTTAAATGTAAAATTAAAAATCAACTATTGATTAAAACATATTATACCATTTCGGAATATCTCGACGACGCCAATGTGTGGAGTTAATACTGTTGATACTCACGTAGGCTAGAATAAGACTATTATACTTGTATATTATATATTGTACCCTGATATTTTTGAAAAAGAGCAACTGTTGAGTTTCGTGCTGTCTCTTCTCAACAGAAACTGCTTTCCGAACCGGTGGTACCTTACGAGCCTATATACATAATCTTTGATGTAAAATTTGACGATTCATAAGAGCACGCTTTGCTATTGCATGAATGGGTTCTGAGTTTATTCTGGTGAGTGACATAGGCAGCCTTCTTAAATGGAAGCAACGCGTCTGCAACCCTATGGGAGTTGTAAATGTCAATGGGCGGCAGTTATTAATTAGCATCAGGCGAACTGCCAGCTCGTTTGCCACCTTCTCATACATAATTTTTTTTTATTATTGATCTGTTTTGTTATTTCAACTGAACTTGTTAAAAATTTAACACATTATGGATTTAAGACCATATTACAAGAATAAGTTACTACATAATTATTATAACCCAAAAGGCAAACAAATTGCTTTATTAAAAAAAATTATGCAGTGATAATTTTCTATGTGAGGTTATTTTTGAAGTTATGTAATAACACTTGGGTATCAACTTCTTTCAAAATTATTTAAAATTGTATCTAAGGATATATCCTAGCTCATATAGTGACATCATTAACTTTGTATTTAATATACGTAAAAAAATAACAATTATATGCAGCATTGAAAATTAGCTAACTTTGTTGTGTTCGAAATATGAATTTAAAACGCAAAATTAGTAATACCTGTTTGTTGCAGCAGTCGCGAAACCACGGGCCTTGTAATAAACATTTTGTTAATTGGTTGTTTCTCCTTTTTTATGCTTTCTAATGTAAGTAACGATTTGAAATCTAAATTTCAGCAAACTGCAAAATGCAAATCGTGAATCGTCTGCTCTAGGTCATAATCGATCGATAGAAGCAGTGTTACCAACTAATAAAAAAATGCCCTTAAATAACCTTATAAGCAACTTTCAAAAGCCTTAAAAAACCAAGTTAGTTTAAATGAGGTTCACGTTTTATTGAGGTATATAATATATAACTTAGTTATAATTACATTTCATTTATATTTATCTTTTTTTACTTTTATTGTTCCGTCAAAATAATAATTCATGAAATATTATTCATGCCCCTAAACTTTTTTGGACCTAAAAAAGAAAAAGAAAATGCGTATTTCCGCCATAATTTGTGGCCAAATGCCCTAAATTGGCAAGCCTGGATACTAGCGATGTGCGACTCGAGTTATTTGACTCGAGTAACTCGAGTCAAACCTTAAACGAGACAACTCGAGTTCAGTTTTAAGCAACTCGAATCAACTATATATGATAGAGTTCGTAACGAAGACATCCGCAGTAGAACTAAGGTGACCGACATAGCTCAGAGGATTAGCAAGCTGAAGTGGCGATGGGCCGGCCATATAGCTCGTAGAATCGATAACCGTTGGGGAAGAAAGGTTCTCGATTGGCAGCCTCGTACTGGCCATCGCAGTGTGGGACGACCCCCCACTAGATGGAGTGACGACCTGTGCAAATGTGCGGGAAGTCGATGGATGCAGGTGGCTCAGGATCGTACTTCGTGGCAGTCTATGGGAGAGGCCTATGTTCAGCAGTGGACTCAAACAGGCTGAAATGATGAATCAACTCGGTCGTCCGAACGCAAGCCGGACGCGGGGGCCTCACGAGTTGTTCCGAGTTACACACGCGGCTCGCGCGCGTGGTTCGTTAGGCGTTGCAACTCGCATCAACTCGCATCAACTCGAGTTGAGTGAAATGTAAAGTTACGTTTCAGGCGCGCGCGTCGTTCGTAAGGTGTTGCATCTTACTCGCATCAACTCGAATAGAACTCGGGTTGAGTCGGGCTCGTTCGGCTAGGATCGGAAACGGAATTGCGCAAATGATAAACCGCTTTAAAACTTTATTTTGTTTTTTGGTTGACATTTTGTTATTATTTGGATTTTATTAGTTGGCCGTTGGCGATCCGCGTGCGAACTGACATTTTTGATTTGTTAGTGATCTGTTTTGTTTTGTTTGTAACGACGTCAAATAACAGAAGTGTGGCGTGGGAATTCTTTGCTATAAAAACAGAAACTTTTTTAACTTTATTTTCGATAAGCAATCGACTATGTATGACAATTACATTTTATAAGTACGACTTTGAGGCGATAGATGGCGGTATTTTTTTGTCGTATTTTCTTAAACACGATGTTGAGATCTGCGCTGGAATAATATACCCTTTGTTGATTGATTTTCGTAATAAAATGCACTCTAGTGCCAATTGATTGTAAATTTTGTCTTTGAAATCCCAACCGTCGGACACTGTTCGAGGTCGAGGTGTATAGAAAAAGGAGAGGATTAGTTCAGACCACAAACGAAGTTGCGAATCGACTCGAGTAGCAGCCACATAACATCACGATTCCACATCATTAATACTTCCTATATAGCCTCGAGTCGAGCTGACTCGTGCTCTCCGAGTTGGCCGAGTCGTCACCCCCCCCAACCCCTATGTCCCTACCTGAGACTTCGATGCGAGTCAACTCGAGTTGCGATTCGAGTAACTCGAGTCAAAAAAAATCCAACTCATCACATCACTGCTGGATACAAGTCTTAGATGGTTAAGAAAGTGTAGTGTTGTAGCAAATCGAAATGTTTTCAATCGATTACTTCGATTATCTAAGTCTTGTTTGTGTGATATATTACATTTTTCGAAGCACGCTATTTATGTTTATATAATTAAAAAATATTTAAAACTGTAATAATTACAGTAAAACCTTTGTTTAGTTACTATTAAAGGTGCAAACGCGCATCGACGATCACAACGTATGTAAAAGCCGCCGGCCGCCTCGGAACTCCAATTAGATCAGATATCACCAAACAGAGACGTCTGCCGTTCTCTTAGTCAAACGATAGATGACACAATTAATATAGACAATGTTATAAATCATCCTCCTGCCCTTGTCCCACGTAAGAGAGGTCGACACAACATGTGTACTAAGCTGTAAGCGATTTTGGCTATCGTTTTTATGATCAGCCGCCTCCTGCCTGCCGTCAACCCGTCCTTGGAAAGCAAACACCCAGATCAGGAACAATTATCTGTAACAGAATCAAAACCACAAAGTTATATTAAAAGATAATCCAAATACAAGCACCTACCTAAATAATAATCTAAGCAAAAATAGTCGGCTATCGTTACGCCATCTACCCGTAGAAAGAATGAACCCATAACGGATTATAGATTTTATAGAAATTCCTTCACCTAATTTGTATTTTCATCAATAGATGTCGCAATGGTTATCAATTGACCGCAAATCACAAAGAGAATGTAATCACTACGTTGGCAAATCAAAGCAACTTGTTACCGGGTTGTTACGGGCTTGTAAAAATAATTTACCAACAGACAAATTACCCCAGCTCTCGATCAAAATTCGTCATTTAAGATGCTTTTCTTGCACGCTAACGGCGCAAAGTGGACGAGTAAAAGGAAAGTAAATGCGCCGCGCCAGCAACGGACTGCTGTGGTATTTTCACGCAACAGATTCTGCTGTAGCAGAAATGGACAGGTTCGTCCGGGGAAGTATGGCCTCACAGAAGATCAGCGTGAAATTCGCGTTTCGTCTGATGAATGAGGTATACGGTGCGCACTTTTAAGTGGTCAGGGCAGTGCCTGGTTAAGTAAGCGTGGTTCCCGTTGAAAAAAAAAAACTTTCAAACATCCTTTATTTGCTATGTGTTCTTAAATATAAAGTGGTAAAAAAACAATTCAATACTCTTACTTATTTAATCAGTTTCACTCAAATAATTAAGGTATCTACAAGCTTTTAAGTATCGTAGATGTAAATGTAATCGGATTTCAATTAACATCAGGTGAACCGCCTGCCCGCTTGTAAACTTTTCACAGTAAAAACTTATGAAACTCATGAATTGGGCAAAGGGGGGAGAGGCATGGAATTCTAAATAACACCACATAATTGTAAAAAATAACTATTTGTGATAGGGCCAGGCAACAGTGTCCACTGTTGCACAAATGGGCTGGTCCGTCCGGGTAAGTACCACGACCTCACAGAAGACCGACGTAAAGTAGAAGTGTTATACTTCTGCGTTCCGTCTAAAGATGGAAACGCATTAGCAATCCTACGGGTGTTGCAAATGTCCATGGGCAACGATTATCATATAACATCAGGTGAACCGCCAGCTCGTTTGCCACTTTATCACATAAAAAAATACCTAGCTATTATTTATAATTGCTGTTTAATCACATTGTCTTTAACACATATGTATACCTACACACCTGATAAATTTTTCAATGGTCCAGATTGATAAGGAGTAACAATTATAATGTGATACGTGCTACATTTATTTTATAAAAAAAATATATGTACAGATAATTTGACGCTCCTTAACAATTGCACATTGAATACACCATTGTATGAAATATGTAACATAAATGTTTACACTTAAAACTTACCGTCGCTTTGTAGGCGTGATGGATACTCTGATAATAAGTACCGTTTCTTGGTCCAAATCTAAGAAATGTTCTAATATGCGTGTTAAAATTTTTGAGTAGAATAATTAATGATATACTCCACTAAATAAGGAAACATATTCATAAGAAATTTATTAAAATAACTAATTGAAGGGGGTTATTATACACAAAATATGGTGCACCACGTGTTATAATCATTTTTGCGTGTACTGTTTGCTGTTGATTTTGTCTTAAAGTAATTGTTTTTGAAAAAACTATTAATCCTACTGAGTTTCTCAACGATTCTCCTCTGGTGTGGACTAAGAGGAGTCGACCGGTTCTGTGTAGCTGATTCGATATCTGATAACTAGTAATTCTAGTACATAGTCAGTGTGTGAAATGGTGTTTTACATGAAGCTCAAGTCATGTTGGCGCCAAGTAAAGGGAAAACTAAAACACTTAACGTCTTTCTGGTAGCGCCAGGCCCATAGGTAGAGCAAGAGGGCGGTCGCTCTGTAAATGCAAAAAACAATTTTCGCAGACAGACAGAAAGACGCAGGGCAGTTTGTGTTAACTAGAAATCAGATGTCATTATTTATTTTATGTTAGTTAAAATAACGAAAACTAATATTTTAATTGTATTATTGAAATAACAACTATTAATTATATTATTAGGAGCATTGTTAATGTCGAAGAAGTAGGAGTGTAAAAGAGCTATTTGTTTTTATTTGAATTTAGATCAATGTAACAAATGTAATATTATGCTTTGCTTCAATTAGTTATTATAATATATATACATAGATAACAGATCGGATCATTGAGCGACTAATTGAAATGAACACGAAATTACAATTTAATTGCGTAGCAGTAATTAATTTTATTTAAATTCAATAACTATTGATGTTTGCAATAAATCGATTTAAAAAAATTGGCACTAAAGTGCGCTGAAAACCAATCTTGCTCTACCCTGATCAAAGACTGGCACTCTTTCTGTGCTTCGCTTCTTACGGTCAGTTTGGTTATGACCGATAGGTATTTGACATTAGCAGTTAGCTCAATAATTCTATCTCCAGTAACCAAATCTATCTCTACATAGAATATTGAAACCGGCTCCTAGATAAAGCGGAACATTTTAGATTAGCATTGACCTTTGCTATACATCTTAGCGGATTTAGTTCACCTAGACTCGCACAGCACTTCATCTACACTACATCCATTGCATGTAAGTGAAATGGTAAAGCTCTTAAGTGACATATTTGTCGATTATCGTATTTTGTAATAATTCAGTACTTATAAACATATTTATGTCCAGCTAAATAATTTTAATTCATCAACTGTTTTTATGGAGTATTTAATACATTGCTTGTATAGCGAGTTCAAATTCAATATTTTTACGAATGAATTTTCTTTGTGTACTTTTTTTCTTCACTTCTTTTTATTGTAATCACAATTAATGCAATTAATTAAAAGTTAATTAACCTACACTAGGTTAATTACTTTTTGATTAATTGCAGTGTAGTGATAATTATAAATGTCAATTGTGTCCTTCGCAATTTTAGCCTCTAATAGCGTTGTTAAAAATGTTATTGAATTGATAAAACATTTATTTACGTTAAGAGTAGGTAATCTTATTTGCGCAACACAAATTTTACAATCGATCAATATCATTCTGAAGTTAAGCGACATTGATAATAATGAACAAAATGAATAAAAATATGTTTGTTTGTGTGTGATCTGAGGTTGATATCTGTAAAATTGTGCATGTGTTCCGTGAGAATAATGTGTCGTTTCTGTCTGAAAATATGCGTGAGCGCATGCGCTGTAGCTCTATCATAGTAACCAAGTTGCTTTGTCCGCCGATCGTATCAGTCAGAAGAGAATGTATAAATTGTTATCACTACGGGCGTGTATATATCGTCACGCGTCGTATAGAAAGAGACGGAAGGCGCGGCAAAGTAGTTTCGCTTTCGAATGCCGAGGCCTCGCCGAAGCGAGCGAACAGCACGGATGCCAACTTAGAAGTTTTCTTCCTAAATTTAGGAAGATATAATTTACAATGAAAGTTTTTAGGAGGTGCGTTCAAACAAAAAGTACCTAAATGATAATAATTTAGGAAGTTTTAGTTTGAATTTAGCGAATTTTAGGGGATTTTAGCGGGTTTTTGAATTGCTATAGGAGTATTTTTTTAAACAGTTGGTAACACTGGCGAACAGCGAATCAACTCCGATCCGAACGAATTCCGATCCGAATTCCGAATCAGTCCGGTTGAGTTGCGCGTGGGGGGAGGCGCTTTTTCCCGCGCGCGTTCCTTTGTTTACTTCGCGTATGCGTCGCGGTGAATTATTCGTATGATGCCTTTTGACGGCGACCGTTTGTGTGGCAACTGTGTGTGTAGCTAACGGGCGATGGAGTGGCTGAAGAGGATGTTCGGACGGGACGGTGGCGGAGAGGCGGTAGACCAGGAGCCGAGCACGGACGGCCTGGAGACGCCGCGGGAGCGCCGCCAGCGCTGGCGCAGCGTCTACGTGGTCTACTTCACCATGTTCCAGATGTCCCTCGGTTTCAGCATCGTGCTTACGGGCGTTTGGCCCTACCTTGACATGGTAAACTACGGCCGTCTCTGCTTGCTGTTCCCTCGCGTTTGTGCGTACGTAATTTTAAGCACCACATAAATCACCTGATGGTAAAAAGCAAAGTGTTAAATAGCACACCTATTATGCTGAAAAAGAAACGATTTATACTTTGCTTGACATGCGAGAAAAGGTATTTTTTACCTTAGTTTTTTGTATGTAGTAAAGTAATATCTTACTAGCAAAATAGGCAAGTGCGTCAATTGAAAACACTTTCTATTTGCTGGTGCGCTATCTGGCAGATGAAGTTGTTTTGATAATTATGTCAATACAATGTAAGTTAGTATAATGCAGTCACTTGTATATTCCTTTAATTACTTATCTTCCAATACTACCCAATTTTACTATCGCATAAGTTTCTCTAAGGTAAAACGGGACCCTATTATTAAGACTCTGATGTCATTCTGTCTGTCTATACGTCTGTCACCAGGCTGTATCTCATGAACTGTGATAGTTAGACAGTTGATCACAGATGATGTTTTTCTGTTGCCGCTATAAAAACAAAAATGAAATATATTTAAGTGGGGCTCCCATACAACAGGCCTGATTGTTTTTTTTGCCGTTTTTATAGATAATGTACGGAACCCTTCGGGCGCGGGTCCGACTCGCACTTGGCTGGTTTAGTCATTTACCATTATTATAATTATGTCTTTTGCTTCGTTTTTATTGCGAGTCTAACGTTTCTACACTTAAGGAATCATTAAAACACACTTATCTTATCTGTGTGTGATGGTTGTCAATATGTTGAAATTACTCTCAGAGTCGAAAATACAACTTATACGATCTATCTAGCGTATAAATATTAATAAAATCTAATAAAAGCCAGTCAGTTTAATATTTTTAATTTTTAAATCCAGAATAGATAACAAATAATATTGATTGTTACACATCTTGCATAATTTTAAACTTACATAATTTTAATTAAAAAGATAAATTAATGAGATAGGCTCACTATAGTAGAAGAACCAGACAAATTGTAAACAATATCACAGTAAAGACAACCAAACAAGATGATCATCAGAATGAAAACCTTTATCGAACCACTCTTCAGGTAATCCTATTTATTATAAGTGCGTTTGAATTTCTTTTTATAATTCTTTTTATATGTTCTGCTGATTAGGGATGCCGATAAAATATCGATTTCGATATTTTTTCGGATTAATACCCCATGTATTTTGATCCGATATATCAATATATCGATATAAAATATTCGATATCGAATATCTGAATATCTGAATCGGACAGATTTTGTACATTCAAATATTTAATGCAAGACATACGTTTTTTCTTGGACAACAGAGGCGCTCAAATTACACTAATTGGTTTAATTAGATTGCAATTCTATAGACTGCTACCTCTTTCCGTATCATAAGTTCTATAATTATCATCTGTCACATTCACTTACATATGTCATATAATGTCACATGCGTCATATATAAAATAAAGCATCATTGCCCTCCTGTATTGTCAGAGATAGCCTATAATATATAGGCAAGTGTACTCACTTTTTAAGTCCCATATTGTTATGGGTGGAGCATTCGCTTTTCTGGTCATGAACCCAACTTTTTACTCCAGCACAGACACTCGGTAGTTTCTGCCTTTGCATTTTCGGCATTATCAGTGACATTTTACGACGACCCGAATGGCGTTGTGGGTAGTGTACCTGCCTCTTGCGCCAGAGGGTGTGGGTTCGATCCCCACTACTGGAAAAATATTGTGTAATGAACATGGTGTTTTTCTAGTGTCTGGGTGCTTGTACATGTATAATATGTATTTATTTCCAAAATAAAAGATGTTTAAGTATGATTATCAGTTTTCTAGTACCCATAGTACAAGCTCTGCTTAGTTTGGGACTGGAAAATGTTGTGTAAAAATGTGTCCTAAAAATATTTATTTATTTATTATGTATTTATTAAGCATTTGAGCCGTGATAGCTCAGTGTCCGGGCGCTCGCCTTTATTCAATATACTGGAGCAACCTAAGTTCGATCCCGGTGCCGGCACCAAAGAAATTGTAAATTTTAAGTGCATCATGAATCACGTGCTCAGCGGTGATGGAACACAGGAAAAACATCGTGAGGAAACCTGCATGTTTTCGAAATAATAACGAAACAAAAAATATTTCGAAGATATGTGAAGTCCGTCAATCCGCAGTGCGGCCGCGTGGTTGACTATGCCCTGATACCCTGTGTACAGAGGAGGCCTCTTCCCAGCAGTGGGACATGTATAGGCTGTTACTTTTACTTTACTTGCATTTTGAGTGACGTGTGTGACTATGTGTGACGTCACACCAGGCGAACCGCCTGTTAACTTGTCATGACAACCAAAAAATTTTACCAATAAAATTAAAAATTCATACATTTTCTCCATATGCTTCCTGATATTTTTGATAATTATGCACAATAAATACTACACGTTTCCACAAAGGAAACTTAAAAATATCTCTTGTATATGAACTACTTTATCGCGAACGCTTCGCATCGAAAGTGCATTCCTATGCGAGACGAAATAAAATCGTAGGAAATCACGCCCGTGAATGGACATAATATTGAGAACAATATTTAAACATTGATGAATATAATATACATGTTCTAAATAATATGTTTTATACAAATGTGTATACGAGTACTTTTTGGCATTAGTCTCGTAGTCAAAATTCGACCCTAATAATTTCGGAAAATTTTCTAAAACTTTTTTTTTAAATAGGTGCTAAACATTAAAAGATCTATTGAAAAGAAGAAACGAAAGGCTGTTCTTTTCATCATAGATTCTTAGTATTAATAAATATTTTACAATTTATGTATAATATAAAATGAAACACCAAATTTTATTCTTAGTCAAGCGAAATACCTTCAGATGTACTTACTGACAAAGGTGTATAAAATCTTGGAGGTCCAATGCTTGCGCCTTCCGAATCGTACAATTAAATTTTCCAATTAATTTGGTTATTTACCAATTCATATGGGCGCGGCACGTAAAGGCCATTGACCCCACTTGATGTAAAATCTGACCAACTTATCATTTGGGTCGTGCGTACAATTTTAGTACTGATACTTAAAGTTTATCGATATTTGCTTTCCGATTAAGGTAGAGTTTTGGCTGCAAGTTACGCTATTAACTAAGGCCACGACCACGATCTAAAACTAAGACAATTATTCTTTCCCTCAACAAGTATCGACGACCATTAAAACTTCTTAAGGTTTTGTTCTGTTCCTCAACAAGTTTGGGTGTTAATAATATGTTGTCGGCCCTCTAAGATGCGCGAGGCTATTTAAATAAGAAGCGCGCAAACTTATAGAGATTGTTGGGTGCTACCACCAGTTACTATTTATAAATTTCAATATAAGAACAAGCTGCTTCATAGCTTCATAGGGCAATAAATATTTTTTTTTAACATTGCCCTTACTTTAGGATAACATTATCCTGTGTTGTAAGAGCGTTTTACAAGCACAAATTTCACGGGGACAAACATACAGATCTGAAACAACTATCTGTGAGTCTCACAAACAGTTGTCCCGTGTGGGAATCGAGTCCACGACCCCCGGCGCCGAAGCCAATACCTTGACAACTGCGCCACGGAGTCATCGGGAAAATAAATAATCAGAAAGGTGACGGCAGCCCGACAGACATTAAAAACCGAAAATAAACGCAATCCGTAAAATGGACTTATTAAACAATGAAACCTTCTATAAACTTATCTGATTAGTGTCTGCTTATGAAAATAATAAGTTTAAAAAAAGTAAAGTAACAGCCTATACATGTCACACTGCTGCGCATAGCACCCCTCTGTACAGAGGCCCCACTGCGGATTGGCGAACTTCACATATCTCGAAATATATATTTTTTTGTTATTATTTCTAAAATATGCAGGTTTACTCACGATGTTTTCCTTCACCGCGGAGCACGTGATAAGTGAGCACTTAAAGTTAAAAACTTCATTGGTGCCGGCACCGGGGATCGAACTCGGGTTGCTCGAGTATATTGGATTAAAGGCGAGCTCCCGGACACTGAGCGATCACGGCTTATGATAATAAGTATATTGGTAGCAAAAAATATGTAATTATTAGAAGCCCTGTAGCCTGTGACAGTTTAGAATTGTGTTACAGAGTTGTGTCTTGCCCTCATAGTTAATACTCATTGTAAGAAAATGAAAATGAAGATAAAAATTAATTACAATTAAAAAACTGTTCCTGTTTATATTTGTGCGTGTAAAGTGCGGCACACATGGATGTTACACTTGGATCCTTAACTGGTTTTCACTGAAGCGGTCGAGTTTGACATAGCTCGTTGCTGGTGGCGTGTTCGGTCTGTACGATTTGTCGTTTGTATATGCATGAGGCTGCGAACGTCAAGGTTCTTCCACTCAGTGAGAGGTCTAATAAAATATCTCACGTAGCGTCTAAAAATTACGACCTCAAAAGTTAAGCCATTCAACCATTCTGCTCGTGGTTGGCGTCCTTCGTTTAAACAGTGTTCAACCGATAAAATATGTAGAAAAAGTGCGAAAAAGTGCGAATTTAAAGCGCGTTGTTAGGTTTAATTTATTTAGAATGTAATTACAATTTTAATAATTCACAATAATATAATTAGCTGTCCGTAATCAGCGGCCCTTAATACAGTCCGCGTAGATTTAAAGTTTCGGAGTTGAAGGTTCCGTGCAGGACTATGCCGGAACCCTAAAGCCGGAACAATTTCGAAATCGTGTAGCCTGAAATCGTTAACGATTCGACGACGAAGACTCGAAAATTCCACTATATGTATGGTGTACAGATTTTTATTAGAATTGCTAGTTGTTTGTACGTAATGTGTGTATCAATTATCTGTTCAAACTTGAAACTTGTATACCCGAGCGGTAGCCGTACAACCGTAGCGGTTGTGAACCTAATACTCACGTAATTTGCGTGCCAAGGTCGTGGGTAGTGGTTTGTACACTAAGATAAAGTGTGGTGGTCGGATGAGGCAGGCGTTTTCCAC